ACATAAAATAAAAAATTTATATCTTTATGTTTGAAGCCTGAAATGTGGCAAAAGGTTGAAAAGTTCAAGGGGGCCGAATACTTTCGCAAGGCACTGTATGTTAATGCTTTGCGCATCATATGCGCGTGCTCGCACGTGTTGCAGACCAGGCAGCTAACAGATTTGTTTAATGTTTCTGCTGTTTGACAAGTGTTTGTTGTGTTCTTAAAATAAAAAGTTGTTTAATTTACTAATTAACTGTCTGGTTTCTTCAACTTTCACCCAGGAGAAAAAAATCTGCCTTTAAACTTGAAAGAAATAATGATTTGACATTTATCGTGATAATTATCGATATGGACTGATATGAACATTTTTATCGTGATAATGTTTTTGGCCATATCGCCCAGCCCTACTCCAAATTGGGAAAGTATAAAATAGAGAATATAACCAGTGAATTCAGATTTAATTACACAGAAAAAAACATGGAGATATAGACTTATACTTTCAACCTTAAAGTTTGTTTTTTCAACAATATTTTTTTTCAAAGACATAATTAATAGGTTAAATAGAAAGTTCTTTACTAAACATATTCTGAAAGTGACAAACAGTGGTTCACATGGCCTAAGAGCAATTTGCCCTGCTTCTCAGAGCCCAATAATAAATACAACAGGGAAATAAAGAGTACCAGTATTAAATGTTCTTGGCATATTTTAAATCACAAGCTCTTATTTTTAGCCAAAACGTTAGGAAAAACCCCTTTTAATGTAGAATATTTAGTCCCACAAAGCACTAAAACCACAAACCACTAAATGATAACTGCACTAAGGTTATGAACTCAGACAGTGTAGCTCTCATTCTCACAAAATAGGTTAACGGTTATTAAGTTGTGATTAAAAGCGAGTCTAGCTCACTTTTTAAGGTTAAACAGTCAGGGCTATATATAATCATTTCTTGCTCTATTGGAGTGTGTACATTACCATACAAATCAGTTAATTAAAAAAATCAGTAAATGATTTTTCTAAGTAATTCCACTGACTGTTTTCCAAACCACATTCACGTGGTTGAACACAAAGTGGATGTTTCACTTCTGCACTATATTTTTAAAGACTTCAATATACTGTATACTCCATTGCATGCTTTTAAACACAGGAATCATACATAGTAAATTGCACCAGTGAAGGAGCCCCCGCAGAGGAGAATATAGATCAGGTTTGTTCCCGAGGAGCCAGGAACACCACCAGATGACATCTGTCGAGCAGGGACTGCAACAGGAAAGGCAGAAAACATCACAAAGTGATATGAAAAAGGCACATGACGGCTGTATCTTCTACAAGGAAAGACTCATATGTCAATACCAACCATATTCTTCAGAAAATCTTACAAGCAAGATTTAACAAAGTGTATTTTCTCAGGAGGAAACGTGAATGTCTGTAGCCATTTAGTCGTTTAACACACTCTTGCATGGCAGTTGCTCTCGAGGACCAGTAGTGTTATCCCTCTTAATATGCCTCCTGTCATCAGATATGGTCACTTTAGAAAACCCTTAAGAACTAGGATGATGAAAAGGACTATGGTATTTCACTTAGGCCAATACTGCAGCCCACTAATAAGGCCACAAGGATAAAGTAACTTACAAGGTTCTTCATTATACTCTCTGTGTAAGAGCAGGTTTTTTTTATCAACCAAGTGCAGAAGAAGTCACTGTTTTAAGAATGACCAAACAAACTTAATCTAATCTTATACAATATAAAACAGCTGACAATTAAAGTATAGTGGTGGTTTATCTTCTTTGTCATGCCAAGACTCCTCATGTTTATTGGATTGTGTTGGAGCATCCAAAAATACAGCTGACAAAGGTGATTTACTTCTGCCTAAATTCTCCCTAATCATCTTCTAAAATAGTCCTGGGCAAAGGTGTTGGACCTTCTGATTTTCCATGGAAGTAAATACAAATAGCTGTTAATGATTAATGATAAGGATGGTCAAGCATGAATTATGTATAAAAAGAAATAAGGCACAGGCTTCCTTAGGGAAAATACCTCACTATGGAAACTTTCCTATAAAAATGTTTTGTTTTGTTTTTATTTATAATGAAAGCAAATTGGCACAATTCTAAATGATGACTGGCCCCCTCCACTGAAAATGCCCTTTCAACACTTAAAAAACAACTTGCTGAGTTTCCAAATTATGCTCATTATTTAGATTATACTCCACTTTCCACTGTCACTTTTTTAGCTTGAAAGATATTTACAAAGATGCAATTTTCCACAATATTCATCTCAGTTTACAAATTATGTTTCAGTGACAATAAAAGATAAAAGCTCACATCAAGCAATACTGATAAAATATTAAGCTAAAAGAGGAACAACAAACATTTGTCTGTAGCCTGTGCTGACTTTATGACAAAAGGAAAAATGGTAAAGGCTTCAGGGCAGAGATCATACTGGTTTCTGCACTGTGGAGTGAACTGGAGAGTATGACTTCTTCTCTGGAAGGGACATCTCTTCACAAGTAATGTTATACAAAAACATTTTATTCCATTTAATTTCTAGAAATAATTCAATTTTTGTCACAATTCTTCAATTTATCTTGTAGAAAGTGATCTGCACCAAACTTCCAAGATGTGTCATGTATAACAATTGGTGATTTTGCTTTTGCTCACTGATTAAATACATTTCATTGGTTTGTATATTGACAGCTGCAGGATTTGTTTTTAAAATAGTTTTAAATTAAATGTTTAAGTAAAATGTGCACAATTTTGAATCTCAATCTCATTTTATGAATAATTTTTGTTTACAACAAGGAGGAAATGCACCTGAATTGCATTAGCTTTAGGCTGTCAAAATATTTGCATTCTAATAAAAAAACACAAGTGCATATTGCATACATTTTCAAAGCAAACATTTTACCTGGATAAGTCTATTCTTAGATTTCAAAGTTGATGTTATATTTAAAAAGAAAATGAAAGCTTTAAGTTACATTTTCTGTACACTGCAGATATTTAACTTTTGAAATTTGTGAAATAATCCTAAAAAAAATAATCAGTTCCGTGCTGATAAATTTACCATATTGACAGACCTTAATTAACAGATCTTTGTTAGTTAAGAAATATATACCTGGGTACCTTAGAGACCAGTTTATTCTCTCTGTAAATATTAAATAAAAGACAGGTCCTTAAAAAAAAGGAAAGAAACATTTTCAATCTTCCTTTAAGACCATGTTTTTAACTAGTTATTTTTAAGATAGTGTTTTTGAACCTTAATGTTGCCTATATTATTAAACTAGTGTATACATCTTATATTTATATTAACTGTATTTACCAATGATCTGCACCTCATGGCACACCTGTGTATACATCAAAACGTTCAGGGCCCACATAAAGAATAATAACACATTAAAACAGGATTCTCTGAACTGAAGGTTGTATGTAGCCATACAGTATGTATGCTGCCAAGTCTAGGAGCCTTAAATATACATTACTATTCACTCAGTGGGATACTTGGTCTTGCTTCTGGGAAACAATCAGCTCAAACTGGTGTGGGATTGGAGAGAAGCTGACTTGCAGAGTAACATTCAAAGTTGCTTTCAGTTTATTCCTGTTCTTTGATTCCATGCCAGTCGCGATTGAAAGCCCTGACTCTCACAGGTGTGTGGCGGCGAATGGCAACAGGAACTTGCTAGCACATTCTCACAGGCAGGAATATTCCTTGGAGGCCCACATCCAAAACAAAGCAGAGTCATGTTTTGTGAGCTGAAGTTTCGGGCTGATGTCAGCTAATGGTTCAAGAAGCCGAGTTTCCAATACAGTGGATAGGGCCATGCTTTCTACTGTCAATGGGTCCACTGAGAACAGGTCTAAACTGAAGGACAGACATTTTAGGGATCCTCTGGGAAATGACGTTTGAGTTTATTGAACAGCTGAGTGAAACAACTTTGGAGATACTGATGTGGGGAGAATCCTCCAAAATCTCACTCAAGAGCGGGAACATTATTATCCATCCTTCTTGCATCGTCTTGTTCCACAGTGTGAGATTGTTCCTAAATCCTTCAATTTTGTGAGGTCCCAAAAATATTCTGCCATTTCTTCCACAGTAAAATATGTTGAATCGTGAAGTTTACGTAAAAGCCACTCTAGGAATGCCAGAATTAACATTCCACTGATGTAATCAGGATTACGTTTAATGCAAATAGAAATATTTTGAGATGTATTCCGAACTCCACAAGAAGCCAGTGTGAGTAAGCTAAAACAGGCATAAAAATTCTCATGTATCAGTTTTGTTAAAAACCCAAACAGTTCAGTTGTGAACATGCTGCAACTTGTTAAGGCCATGTTTGGATATACACCATCAAGCACTGCAGTACTTTAGTCAAGGCTGGGAAAGGCAGAAGTATGCCTCAGGTTTTCTGGATCAAACTGGGAGAGAGATTTAAGAACATTGTTAAAAAGGACAACTTCAGAACATTGAGAACATAAGCTTCAAATGCAAAGATAAGATAAGTCAACATAAGTTAGATTTCAGAGGTAAAATGTTTTGTTGCACTCATTTTTTTAAACAGTGTGACAAGGCAGACAGTACTTGATTCATGTGACAGTACTTGATTCAGGTTTCATAAACTGGGATATCATAGAAAATACACCTGATGACATTACTACAAATCAACTTACCCAACTGTAATGTACAGATTCCAAAAAGAATTAAATTAAAGGGGAACTGACAGTAAATTTACACGCAATTCTGAAATTGTTTCCTGGTGTATCATGCACAAATCTCATATCCAGTTAAAATGGAAATGTAAAGTTCTTTTACCTGGATAAGTCTGTTCTTAGATTTCAAAGTTGATGTTATATTTAAAAAGAAAATGAAAGCTTCAAGTTACATGTACCACATACTGAAAGACCAAACTATTCAAACTTTGAAAGTTAGAGATAAAGATAAAGGTACCCCATTTTTTGTCAGACAATGCCAGCTCCTTTGTGTTCACAACAGCAAGCCTATACACTGTAATATGGGATCTAATCTATACCTATATGAATATCTTTTTATCGGTGAACTGACTTGCCTAGGGTTTAAGTACAGGACACTGGTGATCGCTGATACAGAAGCTGCATTGATTTTCAAATGAAATTTTTAGGTTCCTTGGATTTTACAATTTCTGAAAACAAATGTAAGTAAGGAACTTCAACCATATTGTTCCTGTAATAAACCCAGCTTTATGAATGGAGGCAAATTTAAGATACTCTGCATAAAAGGATCAGCCAAATTAATTAGTCATTTGGGGTTTAAAGTAAGTGAAACCATATATAGACTAACCAGAACAAATATCCATTCTATCGCTTCAATCTCAAAATGTTTAACAATATTTTAACACTTAACATTTTGAGGTCATAAAAGCATTTTTTTAAAGACCTACAAAATTTTAATTGCTAAAATTACTAAATAATAGTTTTTTCTCATTAGTGTGACTGACATTGCATCACAGGGCATAAAACGCCTTGTTTGTACCTTTCCTTGTTAATCATTTTCACCCTTTCAGACACGCGAGGAATTTATAAAAGAAGGGGCGGATCTTTCAAGCTACATAATTGTCTCCAGGGGTCACTGTTAAAAAACCATAACCTGGTGCTCGCATGTTCAGGAACGTGCCACTGATTCGTTGTGGTTTTTAATTTCACATGAATTTATTTAGCATAAGAAAACCAATGTACCCCCAATATTTCATACATTAAAGAAATTTAGCACAACGAGAATAAAGGAACAAACGACCATAACTGGTAAAACTCCATGTGACATTTATGAAGTAAGGAGCTGGTCATCTTCCAAAAAACAGACAAAAAAGAAACAGATATAATCAAATAACAGTTTAGTCCACTGTGCCCCCCCGTCTGTGAAAAACCTCAGCAATCCTTTACATTCAAGGCCTACAACCCAAAACATTTCATGTTCAAGTCCAAGCAATGTTGGTATTTACACCTTAAATAATTTTTCAAGTAACAGAAAAAAAAAACAATTTGTTATTTTTGTGCATATAATGTTACAGTATTGTAACCCATTTGACCCATCAACATACAGTATATGTTTACACAGTATCTGAGCTACTGTTGTATAAACTAATTGTTTGACACACGCTTCCTCCTGTGTGAGGAATGCGAAACCAATATGAGAAACAGAAGGTACAGCGCAGAAAGCATTTGGTAGAAAGCGTACAGAACCTATGAATAACACAGTTATGCATGGACGATTTTTCAGCGCAGCTTGCTGAGTTAGCATTATATCGCACTGTTTTCGTTACATGACGAGCTTATTAAAGGATTTCGCCTTCTGTTTTAAAACACTTGACCAACCTTTACTGTACTCGAGTAAACCCAGGTAAAAACATGAATTTCTAAACCCATCAAACCTTGTTTTAATGGTAATTTCGAGCACTTCTACGAGATTTTCTAATTATGCTACCAAGCTGCCAATTCATTCTCGATGCATTTTTTCATTCCTCTCGTGACCTTCAGATCTCCTTTACTGTGACTAGCACAGAGTACTTGTCATACATTGAAATCCGTCTGTTTGCATTGCAATTAATAGGCTACAAATTATTTCTGCCAGGAGATTTCCAAAATTGTAATATAATTTTGCATTTTAACACCTGAGGAGAAAAAAACACTCGCAAGGGACATACACATTTATTTAACTCTTCATACACGTATGACGGTTATTTATTTTTTAAGACTTCTTACAAGGGCAAGGGGGACAAGACCTACCGTTTCTGGAGAATGCCGAGACTGACATCCGTGCCAGCGGAGCCAGTTTTCGCCAGGCCGCCCTGCAGAGAACCATATCTGCTCAGTTGACGATCAATATCGCTGCGACGCCGGAGTGCAGAAAGCAGCAAGAGCCTTTATAGTGAATGACTGCTCACTACTGGTGAAAACTGCCTGGCTGGTTTTGCCTGGCTAGGTCTACACCCCCTGGAAACGTCACTTACTACAGCTTGGAAAATGTCGGCCAAACACGTGGTTGAGCATTTAAAAACCAAGGCTGGTTTTAAACTGTTCTGAAACGTAAAGCTTATAAATTTCTTAAATGTGTAATTCTTGAAAATGGTAGATTTATCCACAGTGAATAACTTAGGTGTCTCACGCAGTAAAACGGTAAGATAACACAGGTGTCCTCAGGGCCTTAAAAGAGTATGTCATGTTGTAATATTGTTACCCCCTATATTTATAAGAGGTTAATAATTTATTTTAATTGAAACACCCTTTCCACGGCAGATTTACAGTGAAATCATGTAATCTATTGTTATAAGGATCTCCTATGATCTTGTACCTCTGGTATGAACCACACCCTCCAGAATCTGTCTAAACCAGAAGGAACATTTTTTTAAAGTTGTTGACTTTAAAATGAATTATTTGTATTAGTTCTCGAATTAAGCAATCATTGACTATAGATCAATTGATAAAATTGGTTCAAACAATACTGGCTTTGATTATTCTCTCTCAATTTGAGAAGTTCATAAAAAGCTTAAATAATTTACCTTATTTATAGTATTAAGGAGTATGCATTCTGCATTAAATTTAATTTTCTGTTGGATGGTAACACTGCACATTAAGATGTTTGAATATAAAAATGTACATTTGAAATGTACATGAACACAATTAACACACCACTGTTTACTACTAAATATCAAGCAAGAACATTTTGAAATAAAATTCCCTGTATATCTCAAAAAGCAGCACTACAGTATGTAGCGGTGGTGGGTGAATTTCGACCATCATTTAGAATGGTGTCTGTCATCTGCTTGTGCTGCAGGCTTACAATTGAAAGAGGTGGTTTGCAATTGGCAATCACCTGTACTAGTCTCCAGGGGGTTCCCTGTGCAAGGGTTACAGAGATGAGCTGGACTGGGTAACAATTGTCTACCTACAAGGTGGAGTATTTTACTTCGTTTTCTTCCTCGGGTTATTTTCTGTTTGTAAAAATATATAATTAAACCAAGACTGCCCTTGAGATTTCAACATGCCTCTGCTTCTCACTCCTATTTTGACATCTATTACTACCCTGGTTGTTTCCTAACACAACCCTTTCTGACAAAATTCAGTCTAAAACGAAAAGACATTCAATTCCTTTGAATGGGATGTTTGAATACTTGCTTCTAACGATCCCATGGCACTGTTCAAAAGTGTAGAGGTGTTCACCATGAGCCTCTGGCTACATTCCACTTTGGGACTGCAGAACCTGGTCTTCCTAAAGTTCTTACAAACAAAAAGTCAACTCGAAGCTGAGCAGTAACCCTGCTGGCATGTCATGACTGTCACCTCTATGTCAGCCAGGTGGGTGCTGCACTTTAGAGCCAGTTGAAGTGGGTCCCCATCCTCTATGTAAAGCACTTCACAGGATCCTTCGGCATGAAAACCTCTAATGAAGTGTGGTTCTAATAAATTATAATTCTCAAAAATAAAGCTGAATACTGAAATCACTTGAACCACACACAAAGCAATGCACAAAGAAAATATGTTGTGAACCAACATTCATTATCAGATTTTGATGACAGCATACCTTCTTGAGATGAATGTGGACTAGGAGTTTTTTGCTTTGGACTTTTGTTTCTGTGCAGAACTTTCAAAACAGTCACAGATGTCTTAGCTTTATAGTAGTCTTTAAACAAAAAGAAAAGAGATTGAGTGCATGTTTATCATAAATAAATTTATTAACTTTATCACGCTAGTCAAGCTTTCCATGACCACAGATAACAGTAAATATGCTGAGGGAACAACGTGGAAATATTCAGTGCAAACAGCACGGCCCCTTCCAACCTTTTCCTCTTGAATGATCAAATAAAACTTATCCTGCAAAAGAGAAAAAAAAGATTTAAACACATTTAGCTTTTTAACTAAATACTTACTACTCCTGAACTATCATAAAGATCACTAAGGAATGCTTTCATAAAAAATATTTTGCCTGCTTCCATTAAAAATGATACATCTCTTTATTTACAGAGGTGCATTCCATCACTACATATGTTGTGCAGTGAAGATGCAAGACATTTAATATCCTGTGACTGATGTCCTAAGGCAATTACATACACAGTCGGCAGTATTTCACGAGCAGATCTCCTCAAGAAAACTGTTGGGAGGAATCAAACTTACAACAGCTTGAGTCCATCACTCCAGCCCATTCCTCTTCTTATACTCCTGCACATCGGCACTGTGCTGCCTGAACAACTAAGAAAAGAAGGTTTAGTTTAGTTAATTATTCCTAACATTTTTATCAATACAACAAGCTTACATTTTGAGTTGTTGAAATATGGTGATATTGTGAAACTAATCACAATAACTTCCTCAGGTCCTAAACGAGGAGTATCCAACCCCAAAAAATCAGTTTAAATGTAATCAAATTAATGTGAATTGATTTTTGTAAATTAGGTAATTTAGAGATGGTTTGAAATGTAAATCAGTATACAGTGATGAAAAAGAAAGTACTAACTCTTACAATTCTATGGTTTTACATATTAAGACATATCTGACCTAGTCGTAACAGTAGCTACATCTTACCTCATGTGACAAAAAACACACAGAAAGTTTACTTGGTCATTATTTATTAAACAAAAAATCAGAAGCCTTTTCTGAAAAAGTAAGGGCACCTTTACGGCTTCCAAATCAGTTAAGAATGTAATTAGAATAAGGTCCTGCTAAACAATTATTCTAATTTCAATTTACAAATGAAGAACGTTCAAGCTGGCTGTCAATCTACCCAGGAGTGAGCATCCCCACAAATTCACTGCAAGATCAGACCACACGATGCTCCTAGAGATTGCAAAGAACCCCAGAGCCAGGGATCTATAGGCCTCCTTCAATACGGTGAACGTTACAGTTCATGACCCTACCTTTAGGGAAAGGCTAAAAAAGAACGTTTTACAGCAAAAATCCCTTTTCTCCAAAAAGATCGCTGTTGCTCATCTTAGGCTTGAAAACAGCACTTGAATGAACCACAAGACTTTTGGAACAATGTTCTCTGGACAGATTAGACCAAAGTGGAGATGTCTGGCTGGGATGCAAAACAACTTGTCTGGCAAAAACCAAACCCCACTTTCCTTCGGCACAAGAACCTCATACCAGCCGTCAAGCCTGGTGACGAAGAGGTGAGGATTTGGGCCTGCTTTGCAGTTGCAAGACCTGGGCACCTCACAGTCATTGGGTCCACCATGAATCCCTCTCTAGATCAGCACATTCTAGAGGAAAATGAGATCACCTTTCCAACGGCTAAAATCTAGCTGAAAGTGGATCACGCAACAGGACGACGATCCAAAACACACCGGTAAATCTACGACTGAATGGCTGAAAAAGAAAAGAATCAGGAATGGCCAAGTCAAAGGCTAGACTTCTACCACATTGAGATGCTATGGCAGGAACTAAAGAGAGCTGTGCATTACCAAATGCTCTTAAACATCACTGAGCTGAAGCAGTTTTGTAACTGGGCCAGAATTGCTCCCTGGCGATGTGAGAAACTGATAAACTCCTGCAGGAAATGTTTATTTCAAGTTATTGCTGCTTAAGGGGGTTCTACACCTTACTTAATCATAGGGTGCACTTTCTTTTTCACACAAGACAGCTGAATGGTGGCTGATTATTTTTAATAAATAATGCCAAAGCTAAATTTGAGTGTGTCATCTGTCACATGAGGTTAGATTTATCCACTGTTAGGACTTGGTGAGGACTAGATGAAGGTTAGATATGTCTAAATATGTAAAACCATATAATTGTAAGGGAGTGTCCTTTCTTTTTCACATCACTGTATCTTTCAGCCCTTAAGGACCAGAGTTCCTATAACTGAACAAATCTCTTTCTTAATTGATCAAAAAATGTCAGTGATCCTAATCTTTCAGAAACAGGGGATTTATGGTGACCTCTACGATAAACTGGATTGAGGCTATCCAGTACCAAGGGCTTATGGATTCCAAGGAGATCTTCCAGCCCACTTGTTAACGGTAAATATTCTCACAACTAATATTATTGAGGGTTTAATCTTCAAAATACAGAATCTTGGATTAAGCAAGAAGGCTGAATTAAAAGAGAATTAAGGAAACAGCTGTGAGTAAAGATGATCAAATGTGATCTTACCAGGGTCCAAAGAACTGCTGTACTGCCAAACGCCATCCCAACACGTAACCAGTTAGGGTTGGTGAAGTCAGGCTTCCTTGCAGTGAAGGCAGAACGGGTTACATCTGAAAAGAACAGATTTTTCCACATGCTATTATTTCTCCAGGCAATCCCAATTATCCAAGTGGCCTAAATATAAAAGAAAAGGTTAGAATGGGGAGCTATGTCAGTGTGTGACTCACAAAAGAATAGACAGGTGTTAACTCCACAGTGAAAAGTATAAAGGAAACACACAATGTTTTGTGATCACACATCAAAACAAGGAATTATAATTTTTGTTTTCTCTTCTTTTCGGTGTGGCATGAACCTTTACTTGTTCCTCGTCAAAGAGGAGTATGTATTTATGCATTTGCACATACACATACACAGATATAAACTAAATGTTTGAATAACTGCTAAAAAGTTGATAAATGTGTTTTTCTTTTAGTTTTGAGTAACTAAAGCTTCCATCTTTAAACTGACTAATGCTCCATTTTGGATGGATGTTGTAGAAAACCTCTAGAAAAAACACCTGGCTAACCTTGAAAACATTGGAAAATACTAAGTGTCCCTAAGGACTGCCTTTTACAATGACAGCCTTACTTTATGCAAGAACCTGGAGCATTCACTTCTAGAAATCACCCTTTGCTTTACTGTTCCATTTTCACATTATTGTCGAAAATCTTATTAAAACTACCCAGCACAATCCAGCTTTTTCTTACAGCTGTTTTTTCATGTTTTTGGAAACTAAAAAACTATATTAATGAAACATGGAAGAAGAAAGGACACTTAGAAGCGAACACATTGCCAAAGCTGAATGATCTCCGAATTGCAAACTTGTTTCAATGCTCTTCAACCAGTCCCACACAAGCCGAGCGAAAAACAATTTCCAACGTTTAAAACTCAAAATAAAATCTAGACAACAAAAAAGACGTTTTCAGGCGAACTTAGTATATACTAAGTATATAGTATATACTTAGTATATAATGGATGCTGCACATTGGTGGTGGTGGAGGGGAGTCCCCAGTACCTGTAAATCGCTTTGAGTGGAATGTCCAGAAAAAGCGCTATATAAGTGTAAGCTATTATTATTATTATTATTATTATTATTATTATACCCTGCATGTGTTAACGTAATTAAATTGCAATATCTTTACTATTCGTTAGATACGACAAAATAATGGTTTAATTAATTATGGGGAAAATAACGTAAACACAAACTGCACATTTAGTGATTCATTGTTACTTACGCTCTTAGCTAAATAACTGATGTAACGTATTCCTCTTTAATCGAACAGAGTTCAAACAGTATGATATTGAGAAAAGGTCAGGTAGGGGCCTGCCTCTGTAAAAAAAGCATTTGTAGGTCGAAAGACCTAGAATAGTTTCATAATCTTTATTCGGAAAATAAAAGATAAGTTATAAGTAATAAACTTACTCTTGCTAACAGTCGCTGTCTGCAGCAATAGCCGGTTTAAAGACATGGTCAATCTCAGTGTAATATTTTCAATAACGTACTCGCACGGCGAAAAAGCTCGCTCCTCGATTAGTAGGACTGGACAAGGAAGGTTCAGGCGTGATAGTTGATCTCAGATTTCCTGATTGTGAGAACTGGACAACTTAATGATATCCAATTTCATTTACATGCAATCTTCAATTCGGCGTTTTTCAACTCAAACCATTGGCGATTAAATAAACACGGGAAAGTATAATGTGATATTTTGTAAATTTAGAGATGTAGAAATTACCCATTGCTAACTCTGTGTGAACTAATAAATTCTTGAATTATAAGTTCTTCTATGCAATGGTTACCAGTAGCACAAAAATGGTAATATTACAATTTACAATATTAATAGGAGTTAGAATCTTAATTTTAGATTTTCCAATTCCCAATATCTATGCCATAAAAACAACTAATATTTTTTTCTGCTACTGTAATGTTTATTAACCATACAGTAGGGCAAATACCATTATCCATCCATTAATGAAATTTCCCTGGAAGTATAAGGCACAAAGAGATATACCTTTAAGGGATGCCAGTCTTTCAAAGGGCACACATAAGTTAGAGACACTGGCTAACCTTGCTAGCATGCCTGGGGTTACCTTCTGTAACAGAATCAGTGCAAATAAGCCATTTGAATAAGCACTTTGAGTGGAGTGTCCAGAAAAGCACTATATAAGTGTAAGTAATTATCATTATTACTTCAACCCACAGTCCTCTATCAATTGAAAAAATCTGCTATTTCCCTCACAGGATCAATAGAGTATCTATCTATCAATGTAAGATTTTTTTAGATGATTAATGAGATGTAGGACATCACTGCATTGATGCAACATCTATGTCTTACATAAACACTTTTTATTCCATTAGAGATGTTCTTGCCTTTATTTCTCACTTTAAAAAGCCAGACAACATGAGGCAGATTCAAGCAGGCAAATCAAAATAATGGCATTACTGGTGGGTTTGTAGATGATCTAACACTTTCAAGGAAAGTCCTTCAATGTATATGGATGAAAGCATGTCTAATGCATAAAAGTTTTATCAGTCTGTCTTTGGCAGGTTCATATATTACTTACACATATCAACATCGCTTCAGCAGAGAAGGATATAGCATTTTTTCAGCAGTGCCAAACATACTGAAGCATTTAAAGCTTAAGCTGTTCTCTGGCTTCAGGGCTTGCAGGGGTTTGGACTAACACGCAACTGAGTGATCCAGAAGTAAACATTTCGGCTGAAATGTTGAGGTGGTAAGAGATTATAAACAGGAAAAACGAATCCCGAGTCCAGGAGAATTAATGACTCATTGGGTTGTGCGTGTGGCCTAGGGGACTTCATCTGAATGTCTTCGTCCCTACCTCCAGAAACTCACACATTACAGACCTTTCATGATATTCAAATAGTTATGTCTTAGAAATGGAATGTAGAAATCAAGGACACATTTTATAAGATGACAACTTATATGGGAATATATAATGAAGTTGTTTTTGAATAGCGGAATGTGTTTCACTATTCTATACACATTTTCTGTTCAAGTCAAGGACTTTTTTGAGGATTTTTTTTAAAACTGACAAGCACTGGAAATGATCTTGAGGACCATGAGACTAAAGCAAAACCTCCTTAGTAACAGACTTAATCTGTCCCTTGGACATAGGAAAATCAGTTTTTGGAAAGCTAAAAAAAGAGTGCTTTTGTATTTATTTGAAGCATTTTTAAGATGACATTTCCTTGAAGGTACTAATCCTGTGCAGTTATTCTGAATTTTTTTTAAAACTAGACATTTTTGGAAGTAACTTACAAAGCAAGGTCTTTCTTTGATAAGGTACGATTCTGTATAAAGTCAACGTCTGTCCTCAATTAGCTCAATTCAAGATGGTACTACAATAAATGTAAAACCAAATTCTATTTTATCTCTATGTAATAAAGAAACTGTTATCCAACAGAAGAAACAAATGTGATTTATATGTCCAAAAATATACAGAAATGAAAAACTTTATTTGATATGATATTTTAGGAACAAGTAATGGTTGCTTTGACGCTGAAAGTTGAAAGAAAAAAAGGGTCTCAGTTGTTGAGGTTTTCTCGGATGTATGCTTAAGAAATTAGGTTGATCTAATACAAATGACATATTAGAAACTGGAATAATATCGTTATTTGCACTTGAAAGTTATTATCTTTTTAATCTACTGTCTTTTTTCCCATATGTATTCTGAAGATTCTGCGCTTTTCTGGTTTCCCAAGACCACATTTCAAAATGAGTCTTGGAATGTTGCCTTCTGACATGTTCTTGGGGAAAACCGATTTATCGTCTTCTTTTGACTTCTGCTCGTTTTAGAAATATACTTTAAAATGCATCATTTTCATGAAAATAACACGCTACCAAATTAAGACAATGCAACACATTGATTTTGTAAGTACTATTCAATTAACACAATTGATAATATTGAAAATATTTTTTTAAAGATTGTGACTAAAACCTCGCTCATTATTGCAAACTAACACAAGCGAGCAAATGGGTGTCAAAATATTTTCAAGGTAACCATTTTGCTGTGCGCCCCCTAACGACGCGGAGGACTCAGGGGGCCTAGAGCGCCTCCACCACCTGCTTCCTGCGCCCAGGGTGCTGCGAGCGCTTCAGCGGCGGGGTCGGTACGCAAACGCAGACGGGAGCTTGACCCGGAGGAGAAGTACGTCGGCCATTTTGGGCTGAAAGGGGCTTTCAGTCACCACGTGAGAGAGGAGAGAGCCCGAAAAGAGAGAGAGCAAGAGAGAGCGAGAAGCCTCAGAGAACAAGGGGAGAACGGGAGCGAGAGAGAAGGAAAGAGATTTATTTATACAGGCCTTCTTCACATGTGCTGAGCACCGGGAAACAAGGAACGATGCCGACAGTCACACTGCCGCCGAAGGAGAACGCTCTCTTTAAGAGGATTCTGGTGAGTGGATACCAGCACACTAGCGGGCTTGATCAGAGCGCTTCGCCGGCACGCATTGCCAGATCGCTGCCTTCCCTGCACTGCGAGGAGTAGTGCTGTCAATCCTGCACCAAACGGCCTAGCATGGCACAACCGATCATTGGACAACACCGGGGATTTTAAATGCAACCCCAGCTGCACCGTTTTTGTTTTCTGTAACAGCGGAGCTTGATGTAACTCTTTTCCTTGCCGGTTGCTCCTGTTCGTGTCCTTTACCCTCTTGCAATCAGAGACCATGTTAACTCCACGGTCTGCCGGGAGATTACTCCCACCGAGGCCAGATGCGATGTTGCCTTAGTAAACGCCGCATTCCGATGTGATTAATCTAAGGTTTATTTTTGCTTTATTTGCAATCACCAATTCCCCCCAGTGAATTAAAATTGCGTACATAGCATATTTGCTTTGTTGCTGTGTCAGGTGTCGTGGTGGTGCTGGTAGGGCTGGGTGTTCCGGGATCATTTATAGCTGTCAGTGTTTCTGGACTCAGTACTGCTCCTTCTATAGTCGGGCTTTCTACTCCATATCTACGATATGGTATAGACGCACATGCCACAGTTTTCTTCGTGGGTTTAAATAATTTTCCGCTCAGGGTTGCTTTCAGCTCATAAACGTCTTGAGCAGTAAACTTTGAAAGCGATAGTGCACGTCTTTTCTCGCGTGTCATACATTAAGGACTGGAACTGAAAGCGACGGAAGTCCGTGTTTGAGGCCTGCTTCACATGCTAAATCATCCCTCGGGTTTGCTCAGGTGCCCCCTGCTTCTGTCCCTGTTGTGAAGCAATCGTAACACGTTGTTATTGAACTGTCGTTTTCTGTTGCAAGTTAAACCGCTTTAACGGTTTCATTTTTAAACAGTACGAACCCTCCAGCCTACTTTTAGAACGGACAGGCCTTGTACAGTGTGTGCAGATTCTCCCTGTGATCTAAATGAAAGATTCTGTCAGGACATTATGATGATGAGCCTTTTCATATCAATGAGTTTTTTTTTTTGGTTCCTCACACAGGGTAAAGCAACAAACTGACAAAGCGAATGCCAGCTTGCTTCCACACTTGGACGGTTGCAAAAAAGTAAAAACCAAAAAGGTGTTTGAAATAGAGAAGTTCGAATTGAACCCAACACTTTTTGAACCCTATTTTCGTTAAACGCCCACTTTGGGTGAAGCAGTATATATGTTGATTAAATTATTTTTCAAAAGTGTCTTTTGAAGGAATACAGTGTTCACAGATTAAAGTTCTGATACATAAATACGTAAAATAAGACTCTTTGTAGTATGCGAGTTCCTTTGTTGCCTTGCCAGGTAACTTATTTGTTAGTACATGAGCAGAACTTAGTATCTGCATGCTTCTGTGTGATGTTTTGTAATCCGTTTGAGTTAATATTGTTTGTTTTAACCCTGTTCCAACGTGCTGCAGATAATTAGAATGTATTTTTGCCATGGTTCTTCATCAAATGTGTTTCCAGGTGCAATTTATGACAGTCTCAAGTTTCATAACTCCAGAGCTTTTCTGGTTTTGTAAATCTTGTAGCAGATAGTTATATTTTCCTGTAATTTGCTTGAAAGTTGACTGTAGGAAACGTCTAAAGGTTTTTTACCGTGTAGTCCTGGGCGTTTACATAGGACCTACCCATGCACTTTGTGGAGTTGTACGCAGAATGCATCAGTAGTCATATTTCCTTACTGAAATAATTCACTAATTTCGAGCTGCAATAAACCAAATAGGTTATTTTGGTCTAGTGTTTTGTAGTTTGCACCCTTGGATGCCAGAATTATACCACATTGCTAACACTGGCAAATTTTTCTGATAATTTCAGCTGATAACATTTAAATAAATACTGACGTTTTTTTAATTTATTGCTTTATTCGGTCTATCTGGTCATAATTGCAGCTCTTCATTTCGCTATGTAGTCATAAAACTTGCAACAAAGAACTCCTAATTTCAAGCTCATCCTTTGAACTGTACTTCAGTTTACCTGTATGTGAGTTCATTAAGCTATATAAGGGGATAATATTATGTGTCCTATGTGCTCTGGGTTCTTGAATATTGTAGTTTTGTAACATTTGCAGAAGTGTTCCCGAAAAAAAGCAGTTCAGGAAACTGTTTAAAGGGAGTGTAGTGTATGTAGGAGGAACTATAATGCAGGTAATAAGTCTTAATAATTAGCAAAAGGGCATTTGGCAAGTTTGACGTTGGGACATTCTATCACATTTTCCATGTGCAATGGAACATATATTCCTGCAAAAAAAGCCCATAGTGCCTTCACCTAACCAAATATGTTAGATGTGTTGGGTTTAGTGGATAAGCATGATTTCCTGTTATTTCAGAGTACACATTACCATAGGCTCCTAGCATCATTCCAGTCTTCAGTGCATATCTGAGTTGTCGTGATTGCTTATTTAGATTTTTTTTAATTTGTATTTTCTGTCAATTCTCAGTTTCAAAATACCCAGCTTCATTGGTCTTTCCAACAACCTAAGCATACAGAAATCTGGCTTGCCAATATCTGACTAAAAAAAAGAGTTGAATCAATCAATGATGAACAGACACAGGTGGGACTGAAGCTGTATCAGACTCTCCCTCTATTAGCGTTTTTCCTTTCTGCAGAGGTCAGTTTGGTTACCTTTCAGGCAGGTGTCCTCATACAGGTGTTCTGAAACTCTTCTGTAAATTACATTAAAGTACAGGGTTGATACCAGTTACAAATCCCATGTGACCTTTTAGGAGCTGAGAGTTGGTTTAACAAATATGCCCCAAACAGAAACCTTAAATAAACTAGCCAGAGATTAACAACTCAGCCAAAGTAAAAACCGAAAAGGGCAAAACAGACCAGGTGATGAACTGTGATGCACCTCTTTACATTCCTAGTGTTGCAGTCAGACTACGGTTGTCTGGTGTGTGTGAAACCCCTTTTGATACATTGTATAATATGCAAGTATGTGTCCACACTGGTTATATACTCATCATGGTGTTGGCAATGCTGTTAGATCAACATCCTAGTATCACAAGCAAAGACTGGGAGACAGGAAGCTGGGTTGTTGGGCTTTCCTCATCTCTGCAGATTTGGACATCAAAGGTGTGTGTCAAATCTGATGGCCTTTTCCCTAGGTTATTTTCCTCGCATTGTAAAAATTACGCTCCGTATAAGCAGAAGCCTCATTCACTTTGACTGTGGGCCTAAACAACACTGCTTCCTGCATCTTGTCCTTTGATCTACTCTGTGCAACTGAATCATTCTGATAATTGCAGGGGCAAGAGGTGGCTCTCAGAGATTAAAAATAGGCAAGTGCATTCCTTCAATTGGTTATTATCTGTAATTAAAGTAGTTTTCCCTTGCATTATTAGATAATGTAGAATGGGTGGCGATTTACACAAATTTATTTTAAAGTTTTTTCCCCCCGTCGTGAATAGAAACTAGTTTATTTGCATGTGCTTAGAAATGCTTTATTGATAGAAAAGGGTAAATCGGTCCAGTTGAATGATGTAATTAGTGGTGTACCACTTGGGTCGGTATTGGGACCATTGCTCTTCCTTATATATAACTGTGGTCCAGAGTCTAGTATTGTTAAATTTGCAGACCATACCAAAATAGGATTAGTAATCACTATAGAAGCAGCTAGGGAAAATGAAAAAGAATTGGGCAGAATTCAAAACTTGGATAAATTATCTGTGTGTGCCCTGTGATGGACTGGTGTCCCATCCAGGGTGTGTTGTACCTTGCTCCTGTTGCCTGTTGGGATAAGCTCTGCCTCCCCCTAGAACGTGAATTGAATGAAGCTTTAAGAAAATGGATGGATGGGATAGTTAGTGCAAGACGATACTTGCAGGCTTAAAGGAATGTCCTGCTTTGAAAGACAAAAATAATTTAACCTTTTTAGTTGGGAAGAGAGAAGACTAAAGTAAGATCTGATTCAGGTATACAAAATCCTCAAAGTCAACCCTCTCTCAAAGATGAAAACATGAGTCATTAAGAGTTGTGGGAGTAAGCTACCCTGCCATGTTGTTAAAGCTGATAACCTGACTTCTTTCCAGAAATGGCTGGATGAGGTCTTTGGATCATTTAGCACTACCACCCAACTGGGCTATATGGGCCGAAGTGCATCCTCCTGTTTGTAGCCTTTCTAATGTTCTTCAGCACTTTTTCTTTCTGCATTTCCCAGCAAGCTCTCAGGGCAAGTCGCTACATGTTTATGTTCTGAAGATGCAAATTTAGCAGGGTTTCGATATTCACAGATTTAATATTGTCAGAATTGATTATTTGTGAGAGAGTCACTAGGATCGATTTGGGCTTCAAATGTGAAAAATGCGTTGTGGGCTTATTCTAGCCTACCTGTATATCCCTTCTCACTTCAGCTCCTTGGGACACGCCTCTGTGGCTGCATGTGCCTTCTCTCCTGTCAACATGATATTCCTGAAATTACATTTATTTATGACAAATGCAAAATTACATTTATAAGGAAGCGTTACATACATTTAATGACATTTTCATAGCTTAGGAAAAACTCCTTTAGTTATTATAGGCAGCAGGGTTATTTTCAGCCTTTGCAAAGGTTTTAAACACCTGACGATTACAAATGTTGAGACTCTACTGTAGTGGAAGAAATCGCTTTTGGAATGTTGGAATGCTGGAAAGACAAAATTGGAGACAGGGCTGCAGTTGTCTCACACGCGCATCCATTTCGGTTTGAAATAGGAAAGCACCTGTAGCCCTTGTCAGAATGTTAAGGCCTCAACAGCGAAGGTGATGCATTAAAATAATATTTAAAAAGTCAACTTGAAAGATTGTAGTTTGAGACCGAGGTAGTGAATTTCAGTCTTTGATCTCCAGAGTCCTGCAGGCTTTAGAGAGACTTTTAATTTGCAGCTGACTAACACACGAAAAACAGGCGATTTGACTTAATAATGCAAATAATTCGTTCTTTTAAGCTAGTAAGGTTAGCACTAATGATAACCGGTTTTACTCGAGATCTTCTTATTGAAACGTATCGAATCAGACTTTAAAGTTGGTTTCGTTAAGAAAGTAGACTAGAAAGTAAACGTTTCCGCAATTGACATAATAGATGTTGTGAAATTGGGAAGTGCCCCTGTTTTGTTTTTGTTTTTTACCAATCATGGTATAATTAAAATGTAACATTTTGTCAATATTTCTGTAATTGTCATTAACATGGAGTCACTGGTTTTGTGTCAGGTCCTCAAGATTGTAATCTTATGTAGCACAACTTTTTTTGTTCTTCATTCAGCATGTTTCCAAAATCTAAGGTGTTAATAACCATTTTGTCACAGTTTTACAGAGAATGTTGTCTGAAGAGACAATCCTGCCGGTGCCTTTTATGTATGTTTATAGTTGAAGACGCAGCGGGTCTGTCATTGTAACATCAGTAGCAGTGGACAAAAAGGATGCCTTTGGCCTTCCTTCACTTTCAGTTGTACCAAAACATGACAGAGCTGTGGTGTAGTTGATTTCCATCACCTTTTTAACATTTACTTTCTTCAGTATACTGTTTTACAGATCAGACCATTAAATCTTAAAAGCAGACCTCTTGGGAAGAGAGTACTTAGGTACAGTGTCTGAGAGCTATTTTTCAGTTCTGTGCTCCTTACAGTATATTACAGTGCAGCAGGCTTACTTGTGATCTATTACTGTGTTAAAGGAGGGTATGAATTAATATTGTAAATCATTTGTATTGATAATGCAATGTGTCCTATATAGTTACTATTAAGGATTTAGGTGGGTATCAGGAGCATGTACTTGCTGGAAAGATAAGGGTAGATAGTGGAACTGTGCTAAGTCGAGAAACAATCCGGCTACACTAACTGCATATAGAGACAAAAAATCCGGCAATGATGCATTTTAGTATTCTTCTTAATAAGAACTCGGAAAAACTTTTTTGCATATGGTGACTTATGTTTGTGTGTTTTCAATTACTAGAATAAAAATTTGGCCATCCTTCTTTGGAAGAAGAATTTGTATCAGATTAAAACCAAGATAAGTTATGTGTGCACTGCTTTGTGAAGTCTGTGGTGCCACACTTAATTTTAGAGGTGATTTTCTGATAACCCATTTGGCAGTGCTGTCAAATTCAGTCTCTGAACATTTTTCTTTGAAACACTATAAATATAGTCCTGAACAGTAAGCTATTGTGTCTGGGTGCGATTGAGTTCAAATCTCATAAAGCAATTGCCAAAATTAAAGGGAGATTTCAATAGTTAAAGAACACAATGTTTTTTTGTACAGAATTGTAACAAAAACACATGGAACTTTTCAAGTTCAGTATATTCAAAATATAAGTGCAGTATATCAAACTTCTGCGTCGCTTAAACAAAAGCTGTTTATGTTGCATCTCTTAGATGTTACATAATTTATATATGGACACAAAACACTCGTAATATCTTCTGTAACCTGAAATGGCAGGCTTTTACTTAGACAATGTGCAGTGGTGAGCAATGTTGAGATGCCAGTTAACATGAACAGCCTGCCTTGGATTAAATAATTAATTTAAAATCAATTCATAACTCTTGATAGGCTTTCATTGATACAGATTTAGAAAATGATTAAATTAGTGTTGGTTGTGACGCTGATCCTTTGTTTGAGGACAGAGGTAATGAGTCGATTAATCTCTTCTTACAGAAAGAATAACATTTCTTAACTCAGGCCAGTACATTCCCAATGCTTAGAGGTCAGTGCTTGAATATTTTAAATGAATTGTCCACAGGTAGGCAATCTTTGATCTTCAGAATGTATAGAATACAGTGTACAGCATGTTGATGCTGTGATCTAAAAGCCACAAATGCTCTTAATATCATTTGTGCTGATTTAGTGATCAGTTTCATGAATCTTATGTCATTTGTGTTATTCACATAAATACCTGTTGGAGTGTGTATGTGATACTGTGATTGTTTTACAGTTTTTTTATACAAGAGAGCAGCTTTATTTTATGTCACTTTATTTCCGGATGTCTTTAAAGACCAGGGAATTTTGAGAAGTTACTTTGGGTTAATACTGTTCTTATTTTGACCATACGGCTACCTCGATATTCCTACGGTGAGCAAGCACATGGATTTTACCTTGTGCCAAAAACTATTATACATGAGGTATTACAAGGCTTTTTACATAGTAATATTTTAATGACATATTAATACTGTTAAAATGGACAAACCTATGGTGTTTTACAGGGTTATGTTTACTAAATGTGTAATATGTTTTACCTTTTTACATGATAAGTCAAACAACATAACTGTGATTTAATTTCCTTTGATGCTGTGTCTGGGACTAACAGTTACTGCTCACACTGAGTTGTTAGCGGCATATTCTGGGAAGAGTTGAAGACCCAATGTCCTGTGCTGCCAAGCGGACTGTTTTGCTTGGGTCTAGCACTTCTGATGAAAGCCGTGAGGAGCAGAGCTTCAGTGCCAGCCTGAGGACAGCCCCACGTATCGTATCCGAGACAGTCAGTGCCGCCGGAGCGGGGTCAGCAGTGGCACAGGAAGCTGTCCTTTCAACCAGCTGCATTGCATAGGCGGTGTGCTGACACTGGAAGATCCCTGGCTTCTGTCTGTGGGTGTGGCACAGCTAGAATTACGAACTGTGTGGAGGCACAGCTATATAAAAAGGCATACTCCTGGTTGTCATTGTGAATGTGAATATGTCGTTCATTGCCTTTCCTGGTTGATTGTTTATTAATATTTGTTATAAGTGATGTCTCGTAGTGGGCTGAGATCCTGTCCAAGGTGTATTCTGCCTTGTACCCGTTGGTTGCTGGCTCCCCCATGACCCTGTATTGGATAAAGAAGTGAGAAAATGGATGAATAGATATCTGATAATATGGAATGGGTTGTTTTTAGCAGAAACCAAGTTCCCTTAACTGTAGGCCAGTTTGTTGGAGTTTACAACCAGTGATTTACTGCTTCATCAATTAAAAAAGCCCTTTTTTCCTGCAGGAACTTTATAGACTTGCTTTCTTCTGTAATTCAGCAAAACTGTTTATTGCCTGAGCTCAGTCTAGGCTTGATTATTGAACTTTGTAACACAAGCCATCTTGTTCAGATCCTGTGGTCAGCGTTTTACTCGTTTCCTTCTAAAGTTAACTTTTTTTCATGACATAATTTTCACAATTTCTGTTCTGCGCCCACAGTTTCGGGTCTCTGCACTTGTGATTAGAACGTTGTGTTTAAAGAATCCTGGGAGGATTCAAACCTCCAGGTCAACATTCTTGATGTGAATTTGCCATCAATTGCCTTTACCTGGTTAAAGAAGTATGTATTACTACTTGGAATCGCATTCAAATATTGAAATAAAAATAAAAACAGAGGTGATAAAGAGTATCAGTATGTTGGAGTCGTTGCTATGGCTATGTGTCTGTTTGAAAAATTATCCACCCTGTTCAAAGACACACTGTGGTATCATATTACATGAGACAAAGCTGCTTTAGAACAAGATGCTTTTCAGAAGTGAAATCATCTCATTATAACAGCAGCAAATTAATTATGCTTGAAAATGGACATACTAATATTTAGATCTGTCTACCCTTGGAAGTTATACAGAATATTTTTTGTGGTACTTAGGATTCATTATCAATAAGATAAATTGAACAGCAAATTGACCACCCTGTAAGCTGATCTCTTAATATTTCAGGAGAAAAGTCAAGGTTGAGCTAAATCTCAATGATGGATCTGGATGGATCTGCAAGGAAAATCAGGTTGCTGCTATAAGTAGCAGCAGCATTGGTTAGTGGACCAATAGGTGGCGCTCTTCCATCTGGTCTGAAATTCCCAAGCCACTGCTCCAGTATGGTGACTGCGTCACAGTGCTATAGGAGAAGCTGTTAATTTAAGTTTCTGCTGTCTAGTGGGGCTACAGGTCACCCAGGTGGCAGCTGTACATCAGCGGTGATTGAAATGGGTCCTTTATGGAATGTAAAAAAGGATCCAAAAGGATTTCAAAGCACTATAAAATAGGAGTCACAGTAAGTATTATTAAATATGGGGAAATGCTGAATACTTATTATTGCAAGATAAGCACACTTGGATACTTGTGGTAGTTCTTAATGTTCTTCAAACTCTTTCTTGCCTTTTTACTGCTGTCTTGCTGCAATTAATGTTTTTGTTCTTCCTGTTTTTTGCAGAGATGTTATGAACACAAGCAGTACAGAAATGGCCTGAAGTTCTGTAAACAGATCCTTTCTAACCCCAAGTTTGCTGAGCATGGAGGTAGGTAAACATAGTTTTGACCAAAACAGGAGATTTATAGTTGCTGCTAGCTGATGATTTATCTGGTAAAGAGAAATGCCTTTTCAGGATCTACAGGTTTCTTTAATTAGTGGTTATCCACACATACGTTTGAGGCAAGAGTGTGGTTCTTAAAATTAGCTCTGTAGGTATATGATGACTTGACAGTCAAATGGAAAAAAGCTTCCGGTATTTTGCTTCTAAGGAAAGAAACGGATCCTTCTGCAGCTTAAATTTGTTACTCAGCACTGTCAAAATGCCTTTGTGTCTTGATGGAAAATTAGCAATGTCAGCCTTTCGCAGACTCTACTGGCATGTTACCTATGATGTTAAACAGCAAGGCTGAAGAATTTATGTAAACCATTTCTGCAGAGAATTGAAAAATTGATATACTGAATCTTTTCTTCTTATTGATACAATGGGTTTGCGATGTTATTTTTAAGAGTCACAGTCAAATAGTTAGGGTCATACATTTTCTGATAATTATAATTTAAAATCTGTTTTTGCCATTTTATTACAAAACTAACATTTTGAAAAGACTTACTTTTCATTTTTCAAGGCCTGCATTTGATTAATCAGTATTGCCCTGTATTCCATGACACTGTTGACTTACAGTCCTTTGATTTTGATGGTTTTCCAAGTTGAATTTCAACATCAGTTTTCTAATGCTGATGATTTTCATGTGATTTTTATGTTGCGTCATGAAAATTGCAAGGTCAGCTCCATGGTAACGGCATATTTAGTTAGTGATCAAAGGAGGGCAGATGCTTCCCTTCAACTTCATACGACAGATACTAAAATTAAAGATATCTTACAGTGATTTTAAATGTCATCACCTTGACTTGTTGACTTTAACAAGAATGTCACCTTCAACTTTCATGAAAATCGACAAATCCATTGTGCATTTTTTTGCTGAACTGTATCTTCAGAGTGCTTATCAGGATCAAAATAGAACATGGAAGAAAGTTGTTATGGCATGAGCTGGGCAATCCAGAGGAAATATCTAAATGACTCCAATATCTAAAATTTAGATTAAGTGAAATTGTGTGGCCACTTTTGGTTCTTGAGATACATTATATTTTGTGTATTTTTTTTGCTTTTTATGGATGGTTTTACTGTGACTGTTGTCTGTACTTTTTAAATCTGTACTGAAGGCTGTTTCCCTTTCAGTTTTGCTTTAATCGGATATTTAATAGGAATTGCTTTATTGCCCTTATAACATAATTTCAGACTGCTATGGATGTTTACTCTGATTAATAAATTGCAATGTTTTCCTTTTTCAGAGACTCTAGCAATGAAGGGTTTAACCTTGAACTGCCTGGGCAAGAAGGAGGAAGCATATGAGTTGGTAAGACGAGGCCTGCGCAATGATCTCAAGAGTCACGTATGTATCCTTTTCAAGAGCTCGAGAGCTGAGCATCTTTGCTGTCTGCGACACCATCCAGCTCCCACTTTCTCTGGAATCTCCTGCTTCTAGCATCGAGTGGTTTAAGATGGCCCTCTCGTCATTTATTTGGGTGTTTTCATTACAAATCTAGGAAGGTACCAGAGTTTAGTAGCCTTCCTCTGTTTAATTTTACTTCCTTTATACGAGCTCAGTTTGTAGCAAGCCATTGTGGTGTTGTCTTTCTGGTCTGGACTAATATTCAAGCTTCATTGTGCACTTGTGACTAAAAGTGCTCAAAAGCACAGTTACTTTTCCTACTCTGAATTGTTTGATTTACCCAGACACTGGCTGGTGACAAGGTATTTAACTGTGGTGGGCTTATAAACCAATGGAGCTCTGTCCCACGTAGCATTCTCTTGCTTGTATTTTCTAATTTGAAGTGTAATACATCCATGACCAAAGGGTGTCATGCTGCCTCACACTTGGGTGATTTTAGTCAACAGAAATTAATCCTGTAAACATTTCTGGTTTTTGGCTTTTATTTTTAGTAAAAACATTGAACCTGTTTTAAATAGAGGGATGCATTACTGTTTTTAAGTATTATTTTGTTAAATAGTAGGTTGTACACAGAACCTCTATGGCAGCATCCTAGTTAGACAAGTTCTCTTAGTTCAACTTAAATTATGAAAGACTAACCTTTTGTAAAAAAAATAGGTACAAGATTCTCCATTTATCAAGAATGGATTCAATGAATGGCATCAAGCAAAGGCAACGATCCATTCTCACTTTGCATAGCAAGATACCAAAAACAAAACATTTGTTCAATGATATGTTCTTCTAAGAATAACAAAATGTATTTGCTAGCAGCCATATCACCCTGCAGCTCACAACTGGCAACCCACTGAAGCAAAGGAGGTGTGAGCCTGGTCAGTACCTGAATGGGAGAACTCCTGGGAAAAACTAAGGTTGCTGGTGGAAGTGGTGTTAGTGGGCCAGTAGGGGGCACTCACCCTGTGGTCTGTGTGGGACCTAATTCTCCATTATAGTGACAGGGACACTATACTATAAAACGGCACTGTCCTTTGGATAAGATGTAAAACCAAGGTCCTGACTCTCTGTGGTCATTAAAAATCCCGGGGTGTTTCTCGAAAAGAGTAGGGGTGTAACCCCGGCATCCTGGCCACACTTCCCATTGGCCCTTACCAATCATGGCCTCCTAATAATCCCCGTCTATGAATTGGCTTCATTACTCTGGTCTCCTCCCCATTGATAGCTGATGTGTGGTGAGTGTTCTGGCGCACTATGGCTGCCATCGCATCATCCAGGTGGATGCTACACATTGGTGGTGGTGGAGGGGAGTCCCCACTACCTGTAAAGCGCTTTGAGTGGAGTGTCCAGAAAAGTGCTATATATGCATTTCATCATCTTAGTAAATTCCAAATGGAAAAAAGGTGGTGTATCTCTTAAAGAGAAATATATTTGCCATATTCAGTTGGTTGCCCTGGTTTTCCACTGCGGTACATTTTGCAATTGCTGTAAGGAACATCACTGAAATACATTACTAGGGGAGCACAGGTGTTAGAATATGATATGCCAAATTCTTGGCAGGTGGGTGCAAAGTTCTGCACTCAAGTTGCTTTGTCAAATAGCAACACCCCCAGCTTTCATTATACTTATTGTTGCAGGCAAAAACAAATTTGGCATCACAGTTGGTATTATGGGCTTTCATATAGATACTTTAACTTGAAAACCCATCTATCACTCCCCTTAGTACATATTCCATAAAGTTTCATTTGTCATAGCTGTCCATATACCACAGGTAATTGGTTCAGAGTTGTAATATGCTCTCCGTTGAATTGTACATCGCTGGCGTTGACCCCATCATGGTCAATAACGAACAGAATTCATCTAGCAGTTTCTTGACTCACTCCCAATCCATTTTAATACACTTGAGATGCATCAGTTTGTATCCATATTATTTGCAGGTATTTTGCTTTTCCTGTAGCAAGAATAACACCACATCCACAATGTCTGGATAGTGTTCAGGAAAAAAGCAGGGATTGGTATGAAAATTGAGTTTTCTGTATGCTGTAACAGCAAACAAGGATTATGTTGGCTGTGTAGCTCTGCCTCACCTACCTTCACCTTTCCCTCATCCCTCTGTATAAAGCTGGCAGAGCAGGTTTTTCATAAAGAGGATTAAGACCACCTCAGCATATTTTATCCCAGATTAGATTCTGCGTCGTCTGCTGGAAAACAGTATTAATGTGATATTGGAACATTTTACCTGCATCCCATTTACCCTTGTTTAGTAGGGTTTCAAAAGCACTGAATATTCACTCCTCTTTTATACCATATTAAGGAAAATAATGGAATGTTTTTATTAAAGGTTGCCCCCCACCCTTCCAGTTCAGTCTTCCCTCATACCGTGTGCTGTTTTGGGGAGTGTATTTTCCTTTACCAGGTTTCTCAGGTTGGCATGTCTACGGCCTACTGCAAAGGTCAGACAAGAAGTATGATGAAGCTATCAAATGTTACAGAAATGCACTGAAATGGGACAAAGACAATCTCCAGATTCTGAGGGACCTCTCCCTGCTGCAGATTCAGATGAGGGACCTTGAGGGTTACAGGGTGAGTGCTGACAGAAGAGCAGTAGCCTCTGCAACGTTGTTACATGAATCTGATATACTCTCCAACGTACAAAAGCCCTTATCAGCAAAAGAACATGGGAGGCCGTTGGAACACACAGTCCCTTGGACGCCTTCCTAACATCTTTTAAAATGAGATGTGCACTCCTGAGCCACCATATCTCGCTCTCCCCTGAAGCCAACCTTACAGGCTTTTCAGAGTCTCATCTTTCTACTGCTAGTATACCTCTGTAAAGACATTTCTGTATGTAAACTTTTTGTATGTACTTATATTTTGTATGTACTCTATTCTGTATGTACTTCTAAGAATTAGGCCTTCAAAAGTCTGAAATTAATCATTTGCACTGTGAGAATTTCTTCATTAAAAGCATTCCCATAACTTTTACAAACAACTGAACTGAAGTGCTAAAGGAGTGTGTAGTCACGTCCTTGGGGGTAAATAGCGACCCCTGGTCTGTCCAGAACATGGTAGTAGAAGCAGAATGAGAGTCAAGTAAATGAGAAAAATAACTAATTTGAGAAACTGTCAGAGCAGTGCAGTTTTAGCGGGGAATGACAAATTCACCATAGAGCCCAGAAACCTCTTTATTTTCAGACTGTCTGAATAATAGACCATTTTAAAATCCAGATCTTTGCATAGAAATTGTTAGATATTTGACCCCCAAATATCACAGCAATATATTTTTAGCATTACTCAATAAATCATTTAACTCTCTTTGCAATAAAAATATGCCGTGTGATATTCTTTATTCCATTTGCCTACATTTCGTTTTTTTTTTTCTAGGAATACAGTTTTTGAATTAAACGATGCAATTAAATGTAGGAGATTTGTTTTCCATTTTGATGGTTTTTCAGTAATATTTTGTCCCTTTTACTTAGGTCTTGGACTGGCAGTGTAAAGATAGGGTCAGAATTTAGGGCTGTAACGATTATTCGATATTGTCGACAATGCCGACAAAAAATTGTTGAAAAATGTTTCCGTTGTCGATTTTTCGCTTACATTTTCAAAAGGGCCTCCAATCTCCAGCGAGTTAATGTCTTAACCTGAAGAGGGCAGCAATGTGGCTAGACCGTCGTAACTATAGAACATGTTAAAAAAACAAAACAACAATAATGGCGGAAAGTTCAAAAAGAAGCAAAGTTTGGGAACATTTTCTTAAAATATAAAACCGTAACATGCAGAATATGCAAGGTTGATTTAGGATTCCATTGCAGTACAACATGCGTGCAAATGCATTGTGTTCGGTGGCGAGGGCATTGTTCTGACAAACTGAGCTACCTGCTCAGGATGAGTTACCCGTTGTTCGAACGGTCAGAGTAGTTAACAGAAGGAGCTACCCTTACCAAAATCACTGAAGCTCACCATATCCTATCAAATTTTACAGGTAATTAGAATGGGCTTCTGCTTAATAATAAGTATTTATCAATGGCGAAATACAGTACCACAAGCTCCAACTCATTTGTCTATTTGAAATATTGTTTAACAATCAGCAACTCACCCTGTGATAGCGTTCCATCGATTGGGTTATGTAAAATGATTTAGGCTAAAAACAAATAGCTTATACTGTAAATCCATTCATTCATCACGTGAACTTCCGTCATATATAGCTCATCTTGTAAAATAAAAATACGATCAGAATAGACTACGGTGTTAACCCAGTTAAATGATACTGCAGCCGAGAGATAATCTACATGTTTATTGTTGATCAATGTTCATCACCACAGCTCATATTAGCAAATCCTACAGTCAATCAAAATATTACTTACTTGCTGTGCTGAGTACACAGTTGGATTACAAGTGACTTATTTGAAGTTTATTTTGAACTTTGAACTTTTTAGTCCGCTTTTATTTTATACTCTGAACATTATTTTGAATTTTGTTTTTGTACAAAAAAGAAGAAAAGTATTTTCCTGAAATTTAAGAGTGAAAGAATGCTGTAAGATGTAAGAAGATGTTACTGAACTTAAGTTGAAACTTTTTCAGAGTTTGGGGTTTTTCATTCTTCTATTGAATAAAAGTATATGGCAACTGAACAATGCCAAACATTATTTGTCACAGCCTTTCTCATTTACACAGCTATAATTTTCTGCTAAGCCGATTAATCAATTAAGCGTTGTAATATTCGCCTGAATAATCGGTTATTAAAATATTCGTTTGTTGCTGCTCTATTAGAATTCCCATTGACCTTCGTCCTCTATCCTCTATATGGCATTATCTTGTGCTCACAGGCTTCTTAAATATTTAGTTAAATTTTTATTATCAGAATTTTGCTTTCCATTGAAACAAGTTAAGGGGTATTAAATTAGTCAGTACAACACCTGGTTAGTGAAAAACATGCCTCATGTAGTAACAGCTGATGCAAGCAGCTAATATGTGAGTATAAACACTCGACTAATTTTCTTTCTACTTTTGAAGTCTTGGTTGATTGAATTTACAGTCCATTCCTCATATGTTCCAGTTCTTCTGCTCCATTTCCACTTAAGTGCTGTGCTCGGGTATCCTGGTATCTGGTGATCAGCCGGAAATAATCAGCATTAACTATGCTCAGTGCTGTAGAATTTTAAACATCTCCACACAGTCACACATAAATGTGTTTTCTGTTTTATTTTTTCCTTCTCTTTGCAGTTCCTTTTCTTTGGGAAAAGAGGGTAAATGGGTTCCCCATCTTTGAAAATTTTCTAAGGCAAAATCTTAATTTTGTTTTCTTAGGCATAAATGTTATTTTTCAGATGATCTGACCCAAACCATAAACAATAGCCAACAATTCATTGCATATCAGGTAATTGTAGTGTATATTTTTCCAAAACTGTAATTTATTTACCACAGTCCCATTACCTGTAGGGTGGCAGTCATGGGACCCTGGGAGCCCCAGCAATATTGCCAACGTCTGTAAAATTCTGTAAAGCACTGTGTGGCCAACTGTTTGCGAAAGGTGGTAGAGTAAATAAATTGATTGATTTTATAATGCTGAGGTTTGATGTCATTGTTTTATTTAATTTTGGAATTTGGCAGGAAACCAGGTACCAGCTGCTTCAGCTGCGGCCGGCACAGAGAGCCTCGTGGATTGGCTATGCAATAGCATATCACCTTTTGGAAGACTATGAAATGGCTGCAAAGATTTTAGAAGAATTCAGAAAAACGCAACAGGTAACAAGGGGCTCTGAATTTTCATTACTGAAAAACACTTTGTGTTCGTTAAACATTTCTTAGAGCTGGGGCATGTGGATTTTGGGGTTATGCGTTTTGGTTGCTGTGTTTGCATTTAGACCAGTAATTCAGAGTTGAGTTGGAACCTCTAGCGCCTCCTGTCAGGCATCTTACAGAATGTCAAAGCACGGGCCGGCCTGTCAGAGGAGGGTTGTCCACAGGTCTTTCTTTCTCCCACGCCTTTCAGGGGTTGTTGCCATAAAGCCAAGAGACACTTCCAATTTTAAAGAAATAGGTGTCCTTGAAAATGATACTACTGATCATTGGGGCGAGTCAGGTTGACCTAGATACCCTCTACATAAAAGGTTTCCAAAGTATTATAGAGTGTGCGGCTCACCCCCCTTCTCTGTGAATTTACACCCCTCCCATCTGGGAGACACCCCTGTGCCCCAAGGATTAATGGAATTAGGCTTAGGAAATCAGACATCCTCTCTGCAATTACTTTATATAAAATGAAGCTTTTATCTCCTGAAATATTGTTCTCCTCTTTGTTTTTGTTGTGTTGATATCTGCCACAAAAAAGTTCTCCCTAGGAGGTAATAAAGCTTGAATTGTACTGAAGGTTGATTTATACATGATTTAGATTTAGCTGTAAAGGATGGTCTATGAGAAACATTGATTTACAGTGTTATTTTTGTGTTACCTTCTTTGTTACGAAGTGTACCTGACCTGCTTTGCCAAAAGCAGGAGTCATATGAAATAGAAAATGAGTTTTTGCTCAGAAATTTGGTTGCTGTTTGCTAATTGAGAATCTTGTTCAGCTGTTTCATAGAGGAAAACGGGTTTTCAACTTCAACCACAGGACTTGCTATGTTGTTCCATACGCTTGGAAGCCTGACATTACTAGATTATGTTTTATGAGCACAGAAACTGGGACAGCAGGGCCAGATACTTTGTGATCTCCGGCATCTTTACTTCTCTGATTAGCTAGGTTTCTCGGCCCCCCTTTTCTGTATACAGTCTACTTTTGTTTACCTGTTTTTTTCCTTTTGTTTCCACAAAAACAATATTGTTCAGAATATTTTTGTATTTTTATTCCAAAAGCTTAGTAAATCCATTATGAATTAGTCTCCCTGATATTTTGAGCAGCACAGGTTAATTACAGCATTAGTTACCTACTGGTTACACAGAAGTTGCATACGTCACGGATGTCTGTGATGAGCATTGTGCCCTCTGAGTTCCATAGGGTGAACTAGAGACCAGAGAATTAGTCGGCAAAGAAACAAAGCAGCTGTTGACGCAGATTGAGGTCATATAAAAGTGCAGGGTGCAGGAGTGGGGCTATTACTGACTCACAATTGCCAAGGGGCCCTGATTTAATTGCCCCTTTCTTTTCTGTCCTTTAGCAAAACTGTAGACTTCAGTGCTGACGTACTGATGTATTTTTAACCGATTTCCGTTTTCTATTTGTAGGGTTTTTGCGCCAACTTGAAAACAAGTGATAGTATTGTGCTTAGACGACGGCATTCTGCCTTCCTTAACTTGTTCAGCAAAAGGGCATTCTGATTTAAAGTATTTAAATATTAGCTGTGTAGTCACAAACTGCAAGGGCACATACCTTCAAAGAGGTCCGTCCCCCCCAGTATTTCAATAAGCACTTAAAACAGCACAATGGCACAGCATATCTGTAGCTCTCCTGATAAGATGCTCTTTCCTTGAATTGTTGTTTTCGTTCTCTTTAACATCAGATCTTAGGTCAGTGAAGATAAGTTAACAGAACTCACTAGTCCATTTGCTGTATTTTTGTATTAGCCCTAGTTTAAAAACACAGTTAAGGGCCTGTTGACTTAAAAAAAATATATTTAAATGCTCAATTCAGAAAATAAAAACATGAAAAGAAATGGAAATGGAAAGCTCTTACTCACTTTTGTGGGAATCTTCCAGGCTTTGTGTGGATCACTCTCTGTTGGCAGTGATCTCCTCAAATATTTTTTTCTTTCTGCTGTAATCCCCAAATTAATTCCTTATTTCCAGTGACTGTTGCAGTTTCTCCATCTCTCTTAATCAGTTCATGTATTTTTTTTCCCAGACGTCTCCTGATAAAGTGGATTATGAGTACAGTGAGCTGCTGCTATATCAAAACCAAGTTCTTCGAGAAGCCGGCCTTTACAAAGAAGCTCTCGAGCACCTCACCACTTATGAGAAACAGATCTGTGACAAGCTGGCGGTGGAGGAGACAAAAGGTATTCTATAAGACACAATTTGGAGAGGTTTGTCTGGGTTGTGTAATGATATAACATCACTGAGGTTCATCTTGTCTTATAATATCCCCAGACTGTTTTTGGAGTGAATGCTAAACTCCAACTTGCATTTTACAATATTTAGCCCCTTAAGGTACTGAGAGCAATGCAAATGCAGTGCAATCTGATGGTTGTGTCTAACAAAGCCCTACTTATGTGGTCCTGCCTTGTAGGGATCCTACTGTTGAAACTGGACAGATTGGAGGAGGCAGCAGACGTATACCGCAGGCTACAGGAGCGCAACCCAGAGAACTGGTCCTACTACCATGGCCTAGAGAAGGCCCTTAAACCTGGTAAGAGCTCCTTCACCAGGTGCATTCAGCTGTGTCTTGTTTTGAAGTGATGCAGAAGGAAAAGCTTAATCACGTTGTGCAGCAAAGGTCTGCCCATTGTGAAGGTCAAACCTGGTATGAAAGAGCACACGTGGTTTGGGGGAAAGAAGAAGAATATTTTGGTGAAAGAATTAATGTTATTGCTGATGAAGCAGAAGGGTTTAGAAAGAGCTCAGGTTGACTTTTTCCAAAGCAGAGATATACAAAACCCTGACATGCCACAGAAGCCGTATCTGTCCTGTCTTTTTAGAACATTTATTTGACAGTTCTAAAGAATCCATCTGAAGATAAATGGTAACCATTTTTTTTTCTTTGTACACACCCATTGCTAATAAACTGACCTTTACTTTCCACGGTGCTCTTACCAGTTCTAAAGAGATTTTGACCATCTAGTCTTAAAAACCGTTCCATATTGCCTATCCGTTCAAACACACTGTTCGAATCACATCGGTCGTTAATGCAAGACAGGTTCAAGGTTAACTTGGCTGGCTTGAACCCACCCAGTCTTGGAGGTATTCAGCCAATGGGGAAGTAGTGCTTGAAGAGTATGGATCACAGCTGCTGAATGACAAGCCCAAGCTTGAACTGGTAAAGTCCAACTGATCAGGCCAACCTAAGGGCTGAATGAGCATCTTTGAGAGCTTCTCTTTTTACACAGTGTGTACCTCTGTACAGTCTGTATCAGTTGAGGGCTGTTTGCCATAATATTTAATATTTCAATTCAGTTGCAATTTTTAAAAGAAATTGGTTTTGCACTGTTAAAATAATATCCCATAATAATCATTTGCCACCACTGCAGTTATCTGCCTTTGACATAAAAAAATGTTTAATTAGTAAAGTGCTCCCTCCAGATCTAACAGATGAGTATAATAGTCTGTGTGTGTTAGGATTTCAATGCTTTGTGTGAAACCAAATTGATGTGAAACCACCTGATTATCAATGTGCAGTTTAATATACATTTAACTTTGAAATACAGAAAGGTTGGGTGCCTGGTTATAGAGTTTAGAAGGTTAGCCCTCTTTGAACTGTCACTCAGGACAAATATTTGAGATGTTTGCAAACATCAGTATTTCACACAGCCCCCTTTTTGCATGTTTTGTGAACTCTTTAATATTGATCCATCATGTGTGTATGTAGTATTAAGATTGTATGTTTCAAATGTGCTTTTAATAAAATTCAGTCATGGTCTTTAGACATTGCTCTTGCATGAAAGTTCTGATTGGCATTGCCGGCTCTCAAGTACAGTGATGATCCACAGCCTTAAATTGTAATTTTAGATTTTCACTGTACACAATCCCACAACTGGCTGAGACCTAAGAAAGCAAGCTACTTGACTGTAGTATTAATTGATTGCTGTGTGCTTGTTTTGAGTTTGAAGAATCAGCTACTAGACTCCTTTTCACCAACAGCTGCCTTAAGAACACAGACTGTTCGTGTTTCTAGAGAGAATGTTATGGTTATCTTTTAGTGTTTTGTTGCATTTCACCCACTGGGTAAATAAAATGTAAATTCGTGAGCCATTAGATTCATTAATTTGTTTTCTAAAATGTATGTTTTTTTTTTCAGCAAGTGTAGAAGAAAAGCAGAAAATCTATGAAGAGGCCTGGGTTAAATATCCTAAAGGCTTGGTGCCTAGGAGACTGCCTTTAAACTTTTTATCGGGTACGTCATTTGGGTGTTGTGATTGTTTGTCCAATCTTTGTCTTTATTCATTCTAGTATTGAAACAGCTAAGTGTTTAATGATAGAGTTGACTTGTAATGTAAGGTAGCTTTTTGCAATTTTGAATTTCAAGCTAATTTTTACATTACAGTGCATTTTTAGACATCAGAGACCAACACAAAATTGGCACATGAGCTAGGTGTAGCAGTCAGCTAAATGGTCAAGAAAATGTATACAATATTGACGAATATAGTTATGTTAAAGCTTATATGATCCTTACAGGTGCATGCATACTGTACAAGTGCACAAATGGACCGAATATACTAAATACATTCTGCATTATGCAAATGATATGCAACGATAAATGTATGTTATGTTCTTCTCAAAAACGATTGCTTATGCACGCCGTATCTTCTACATGTCCGAATACATTCTCAATCTCTGCCTCATCCTTTAGTCAGTGTAGTGGGTCAAAGTGTACCACACTTTTGCGTTTAGATTCCCAGTCCATTCACATGCATTATTCTAATAATAACTCTGTTCAGATGAACTGTACTTAAGTTACATGAGAGTCTTAATTAGATACAGATAACTGTTTTAATGATGTGCTAATTATTTTAAGCGTCTACATAAGAGGTACTCACCTTTGGGACAACACGCACCTAATCATTTATGACTGTTCCTGTGTAGATGTTTACTGAATCTTTGTGACCGAGGACCTCATTTAAAAAAATGTTTTAAGAATTAGTAAGACTTTATAATTTTGGTAGTGTTAATGGAATTGCTAATTCTGCTCAGTTGTTTTTCTCTTTGATTAGGTGAAAAATTTAGGGAATGCTTGGATAAATATTTAAGAATGAATTTCAGCAAAGGCTGTCCTCCAGTTTTTACGACGTTGAAGTCTCTATACCACGACAAAGAAAAGGTAAGGGCCTTGAAGGCAATATTTGAAATCAAGGGATTTCAGTCAAGTCTGAAAGCTGCTGTTTGTTTCATCCTTCATGAAAATTATTGTACACCGTGTAACATATTTGTGTTATCTAAAACATTAATTGAAAATATGTAAACAGGCTGATCTGGGATAAAGGAGACACCTGCACAAATGCAGAATCAGCCTTTGCTTTGTTTCTCTATTTTATGTGGTGGTTTTTAAAAACTTTGTGACTACAGTGAGTTGTTAACTGTTTAGAATTTGTGTCTAAGTAGTAATGGTTACATTTTACCTTATAAATTTAGAAAATGTATACTGATTAAATTTGCTAAAGTTCATTTTTTAATTAATTTCTTAAATCTATTTAAACTATTTAGCTTGCTAACTTGCTTTTACATGAAATCTGAAATTCACAATTTGTTTTTTCCATTGATTATGTGAAAATTTTGTTTGGTCCTTTTAGATTTTGTAAATGTCTAAAAAGTGTTTTTTTGGCTTTTGCAGGTATCAATAATAGAAGAACTGGTAGTTGGTTATGAAACAACTTTAAATAGCTGCCGAATGTTCAATCAAAATGGTAAGTCAAGAGAAGGGTTTTTAAATATGAATATGTTGCTGATTTATTTTTTATGTTTATGGTTGTGAATAAGAACAAATTCTAACTCAAGTTTTGCAAAAACTGCCAGGTTATTGGAGATGGTGATTGTTTGGGGTCCTTCAAATAAGGTTTGTTAAATTAACCTTAAATGAAAAGGCTAATTAAAATCAGTCACCAAAACTGGCAGGATCATTTTTGTCACCTTTTTAGTTATGATTAATGTGTGAAATATTTGACCTAAGCAGTTGTGGTTTAAATGTTTAAACATTGTTTAAACATGTTTAAATCTTACTAAATATATTTTTGACTCTTAACTCCAACATGTGCAGTGCCCTCTAGATCCACGCATACTTCTGAGGAAATAGGAACAAAAACCATTGTTTAGTAGATCAAGTTAGCAATTGTATAAGTTGTTCCTAAAAAATCTCTGTAAACGCGTTGCACAGAGCAGTCATATTTGTTATAATCAAATTCCAGAATGTACAGGGGTCACATTTATTCACATCCCAGTACAGTACTGGTAGAAATAAAATCCAGCAAAAATCTGCAGATATTTTTCTGCTCTTTGGCAAGTTCAGTTGAACCATATAGAGACCACTGAAGGTTTCCTGTTTCCCTGAGGCATAAAAGGAGGTAACACGTGGGAGACATTCATTACAAGTGTGCATCATCCTTGTTAGTGAGCTCACCAAAGGCTGCAGGCAAATGGGTTTTGACCTCCACCTGTCGGGGTTTGTTATAACAGAAGCCACAAAAAGCTAAATCTACCGCCTTCCGCGGTAGCGTCCATTATTAAGGATACATGTGTAGTGATAAATCTCACCACCATGAACCATGAGACAATTGGTTCAGGAAGCAGCTATAAATCAAAAGCCCGCATTCTCCAATACAGATTGTATCTAGCAGATAGAAAAGTGTCAGAACTGTTATTTGATGTCATTGGCTTGAAAGCGACATTCATGAGTAGGTTGTAAGGACGAACCCCCATTATGAAGATGACTCAGATTTGCCAAGCTCTGTCTTAACGATAATTGGAACTGTGTCGTATGGTCACATGAAAGAAAAATTGAGACACATTCATCCGCCTTTGGTGCAAGACAAATAATGCTCTTGTTGAGAAAATGCTTATGACCACTGTGAAATATGGACTGGTGGGGTCTGGTGAGTGTTCGCATAGTTTTACATCTGTGAGTCCTGGAGCTTTTTTGAAGATATGGGGTCATCTTGAATTCCAACACTTACCTGAACATTTTGGCCAAACACTGAGGTTCTGTTGCCAGGCAGGTTCAAATTTTGCAAACAATTGACATTCTAGCATGCCTATGTTCCAAAGCAAATTTAATTCCGAGAATTGTTAATTAAGTGGCATCGTGAGAAATAAATGGATAACTCAATCTCCCAGCTTCAATCCCTTTTCTGTATTTCACAAACTGAAACCAAACAGTTTTAAAGGCATAGATCAATTCAGGGTGGAGAAATTAATTTGTATGTCTTTGTTGTAGCATATTTTTGTTTCTCATTGGGTGGCCATTTGGTGCGTATCTTTCTTATTTGGTGGTAAGAAGATAAATGATCAGAGGATTACATCCAGTTGTTTCATGAAAGAAGCCCAGATGTCAATTTCAACAACATGGCTGGGTAGCTTAGAGTATGTAATGATATGAGGACTGATAGGAGGACATTGTAGGCTGAATGCGATTCAATGTAGTAATAAAGGTTCATACAGGATATGGCAACTCTTTCATCTGCAACTTCACCTTTGAAATAGATGATTTATAGGTATAGCTGGAAGGTGCCCATATATTTGTCTGGGACTGCAATAAACATCAGCAAGGGTCTCTGTAACTTGGATGTTTCATTATACAGTGGGGGCTTACATTTTTGCAGAAACACTGTACAGATATTGCACAAAAAAATAAGAAATTAAGATTTAGGTTCCAGTTTTACAAGCGTATGAGATAATTATGCTAATACATTTAGAATCACCTGTTATTTTTTAATAAAGAGAAGCCCGTTTTGTGTGTCTGACATCTCATCTTAAAGTTATTAACCTTGTAACCTTTATAAATGTCATGGATTCATTTGGTATGATCTTAGTTCTGCCTCTTCAAATGTGATTTTATTTTTCAAGCCACTTTATCTCAATCTCCTTTTTGAATTCATGGTATACACTAAGGATGAAATAGCAGAAAACGTCTGGAAAAAGCGTTGATAGTCACAGTTTCAAAGATGTTGTATCATTGTTATGGTTATCGTAAACTAAATCACATTTTTGTTTTGCAGATGACGGTAAAGAAGAGCCCCCTACTACTTTGCTGTGGGTGCAGTACTTCCTAGCCCAGCATTATGATCAGATTGGCGAGCAGGCCCTGGCATTAGAGTATATTAATGCTGCTATTGAAAGTACACCAACTCTCATAGAGCTCTTCCTTATCAAAGCCAAAATATACAAGGTAATAAAATGACAGAGGAATTTCTTTTTGTTCTGTTTTGTTTTTAATATTTTTTACCTTGTTGATATAAATAATAAAGGAGGTTCTAAAAAATAGGAATGAGGACCTAACACCAGCTTGTCTTGCGAGCATTTAAGTTAACAATTTCACACCCTGCACTTGGAGGCAATAGTGAGTGGAATGCTTAAAAGCACATTACAGAAATGAACAGAAATCAGTCTTGCAACTTTGGCACAATAACTGTGTAGTAAATACACAGCTTTGTGCAGGGCTTAATCACTCACTAATAATAATGCTAAACAAATGGTTACCCTTTGACTTGTTTAAAATACTGCAGATCTAAATAAGCTTTCTTTAGCTTGTCCACAATAACTTTTTCCACAAATTCAAGCCAACAGTCTCTTACATAAAATCTAGGTCGGTCTCTTCGGTGTTCGCATTACTGGAAGTGATGTTACTCTCTGGTCTACCCAAAAGAAGAGTCTTTTCATAGCTCAGATTCTTCTCTTGTCTTTCTTTGTTCTCTGACCTGTTCCCTGTATTGTCTTGAGACCTAATTTTCCTATGTCCTATACCCAATAAGGGTCGCTTAATGATTTATTTACCATGACTGAGTCTTAGTTTGAAATTGATACAGTTGCCCTGCCTTTATTGGTATAGTTGCCTACCTCAAAGCCAAAAAAAGGAGGCATGGTTGAGTAGATGCTAAAAAGAATGCTTATCGTCTTATCCAAAAGAATGGGGTTGTATGAGATATTAAACATTTATATACCCCCTCTGATATGTAACATTAAGTTCTCATATATTTCTTTCCTATATGTATAATACAGATTCGTATTGATGAGTCATGTGTAATAACTATCCTGACAGGTGCCTTATGTAGCCTACTGATAAAACTACCCGACAGTAATTCCTAATGCCGTGTTTCTAAGTTGTACATTGTCCCTGAATGTATTAATTGCAATTTAATTTATAAAGCAAACTGAAGCGATCCATTTCTTGGCCAAAACACAGGGTGTAGTTGTGGAGGTAGTGTTTCTTAATATGTCTTTATGTCTCTGACAGCACGCTGGCAATATCAAGGAAGCAGCGCGGTGGATGGATGAGGCCCAGGCATTGGACACCGCGGACAGGTTTATCAACTCCAAGTGCGCCAAGTACATGCTGAAGGCCAACATGGTGAAGGAAGCTGAGGAGATGTGCTGCAAGTTTACAAGGGTAGGGGGCCATTCTCTTCGCATTTTATACAACGCTTGTGTGTGCATGCTTGTACAGATAGGTGACTACAGTTTTTATTTTTTTTATAGTGTCATAGTTTTTTTGCAGAAATTGGAAGGATCTTATTTTTGATTGGGTTTTAAAGTTGGTGTATTTTTTTAAGTGCGAAGAAGGGTTTTAGAACAAATAAAGACCTGTTCCAATGGTGAGATCGGTCAGGAATGGGACTGGTTCTCAATGAGTCCTCCTTTCCCTCTCCTCCTCAGGAAGGCGCCTCAGCAGTGGAGAATCTCAACGAGATGCAGTGCATGTGGTTCCAGACAGAATGTGCGCTGGCCTACAAGTCCATGAACAAATACGGGGAAGCTCTGAAGAAGTGCCATGAGATTGAAAGGGTAGGTTCATCTGCACAGCTACGGTGCCAATTAATTTCTTCATCTTTCAAGAGTGAATTTTTGTGATCTTTTGCCTTCATTTCCAGTAAAAGAAAGTGCCAGTTTAAAGTATTTGAAATAGCAATAGATTTGGACTTTCTACTACTGTTTGGTGTAAATCAGTGGTTCTCAAACCTTTTGGACCAAGTACCACCCCTGGTCAAACCAAAACATCCAAGTGGCACCTACAAGTCATCTTCTCATAGGAACCACAGAAAATCTCAATGACCAACATAAGCGTGCACGCACATACACTCACACACACACGTATAATAAAAATAGCACTGAGCACTTACCATTTCAGTTAGAGGGGTGAGCCTGTTTAGTTGAGCAAAGCAGATGTGAATTCATTGGTCGAGCCTTGATACAATTCACAACTTTGACAGCACAGTCTAAGATTTTAAATCCTCAGGCATTTTCTTGACTGCCAAGGCCTCGCGGTGGCTGCTGCAGTGCGTCCATTTCATATCTGGAGCAACCCCTCTCTAATTCGTGCAACTACACCGCTGTGTCTGCCTGTCATCACTCTATACAAACTCTGACGTGTTTTTTCCAGTCAATGCCATTCTCTTCCATAAATTAATTCAGAAGCTGAAATATGTGCTCTCCTGTAGTTCCTGTTGGTAGGGGCTTACAGAACAGAAAGTCCTCATGGGACGTGCCCTCAAACTCGTATCTAGTGTAAACGAGCAAATTGGCCAAATCAACAACATCTACAGACTCGTCTAATTGCAGTGAAAAGCATCTGCTCATCTTAACGTGCTCTGTCAACGTACTTTTGACATCATCCGCCATATCCATAATTCTACTAGATACCCCGAATTCACACCAGAAGCGACACGTCAGCGCAGCGAAAGCATAGTGTAAGCGATAATGGGTCCAATCCACACCAACTCTGACAGTTGCGTTCCGTATTGAAACATGGGATAGTCAACGGAAGATTCGAGAAAGGGAGAAAAACAGTTGGACTACCTGTAGACTACATAGTATAGTTGATTAAAACCCAACACGAGCAGGTGGACAGACAATAGATCAATGTTTATTGTGGCGAAACAACAACAATGCTTTACCCGTGTCGTGTCGTCAGCTAGTTATTGTGCTCGTGACAACTAAGTGAAAAGTTGCACTATATCAATGGACCACTCTGGTGTATTTTTTTCAAATTAACCTGGAAAAGTCCTTAAATATTTTTCTGTTATCTATCATGCTATCCTGTGCTTAGAAAACTGGCAGTGTTCCAAAATCCTGCACATTTTCCTATCTCCCTATTTGCTAAAGACAACTGTTTTCAATAAAACTGGCCACATAAGTTCGTAGCATGCATTCCTATACAATGGTATAGAATTACATAGTAGACCTTGTGTCCATTCAAGTATAAGCGCGCGCTGTGTCGTTGTAACTAAGTACGTACGCTGTGTATTTGACACATAAACTAATTTTATTAGAAAAAAAGAAATCCCGTCCCAATTTTTCAGTGCACACAACAAATTTACAGGGTCATCTGGCCTACCACCTGGGGGCGTCGTGGTACGCGTATCACAGTTTGAGAACCACGGGCGTAAATGATAAGTATACAAAATTTACAGATTAAATTACCAGCCATTGGATCCTAGCCTCTTAACTAAGTGCTACAAGCAAATGTCCTGATGTATTTAATGAATTCAGTTCTTTTTTTTTCAATCTTCACAAATAGTTAACAATACGAGGAACTTTAAAGCACAACCCTAAATAAATAAATGAAATGAGTAATTCATTTCCTCTTGTTGTATCTTTGTGCTGTCCAGCATTTTGTGGAGATCACAGATGACCAGTTTGACTTCCACACGTACTGCATGAGGAAGATGACGCTGCGGTCGTATGTCGATCTGCTCAAGCTGGAGGATGTGCTGCGTATGCACCCGTTCTACTTCAAAGCGGCCAAAACGGCCATTGAAATTTACCTCACCCTCCATGACAACCCCCTGACTGATGAGAACAAGGAGCTGGAGGCCGATACGGGTAAGGACAAAATCTTTAATGGTAACTAGGGGAGGGGTGTGCCCCTTATTGAGATTACTGCTAGCCTGCAGGTGTCTTGGAGGTCATAGGGTGCACACTGCTTTACTGGGAGTCAAGAGTCTTGGATTACACACTTGCCTATGAGCAAAAGAAAAAAAACAGAACTGTGCCAGGTGTGAGCCCTAATTGGGGACGTCTGGTTACCACTGGCTAGTGACATGACCCAGGCCAGAAGCTGTGATTTCTAGCTTTGGAACAGAGTCCAATGTGTGCTAGAAGCAAGCAATTTTACCCTTTTGGTCACTTAGGAGCCCCAGTTGTACTTTTAAATGAAAAATAAGGCTGTTATTCATTCTTAATTTAAAGCACCCACCTGACTTGATTACTCGCAAAAAAGGCGTGACAAACACTAAAACACTGATCCTAAATTGTAGCTAGAAACAACTTGACTAGAAGATCATTAAATAATTAATTAGTGTGCAGTGGCAGTAACAAGTCATCCAGTGGCTTAGTTTTACTTTATTCACAGGATTTTCAGTGTTGGATTTAACATCATTCTATCATTGCTTTATATATATAGCTTGAAACATTTTATTAAGTTAACTCATGATAAGGCTGCTTTTTGTTTCTCAGAGAGAAAGCTTGAGCAGAAAAGAAAATTGCAACTGAAAGTAAAAATCCATTCAAAAACGTGTTTTAAAAATGGGTGATTCAAACAGTTATGCGCCACAAAACGTAAAATTCCAAGACAAGACACGGACTGTGGCATCATTCTCCTTATTATTCTTGTTTGGCAGCCAACCTGTCGGATAAAGAGCTGAAGAAACTGAGGAACAAGCAGCGGCGAGCGCAGAAGAAGGCTCAGCTGGAGGAGGAGAAGAAGAACGCAGAGAAGGAGAAGCAGCTGAAGAACCAGAAGAAGAAGAAGGAAGATGATGACGAGGAGATCGGGGGACCCAAGGAAGAGCTCATACCCGAGAAACTGGCCAAGGTGCGATCTGGGCAGGAGGAGGAGGCTTGAGAAGTGTGCTTGAGAGTGGCCACAGATCGTCAGAAACCCGTATATCCATAAGAACCCAGGTCGCCTCTTAGTTGTATCACATGAAGAGCTTTCTGACTACAGGTCTCTTGTCTTGCCATAAAACGTTTTTTTGCAATGAATGCATTTTTTAAGATTTTATAGAAAGTGGATTGTTCCAGTTAGGTGTTTATTATTTTGAGCATTGCAATGTAGAGAATGCCATATTTAAGAGATAGGACACGGTATTTATACAAATAATAAGTTCTTTACACAGTGGTGTGAAGTAAGTACGCCCCATGAAGAGGTTCGTTTACATTTTTGGACAAAAGGATATTTGTTCGTCATTTCAACAATACTGATAGATAAAAGCAGTCTAATTTTTAAAAATAACACTGAAAAATCACATTATGCACTCATTTGTACTATTTAAATCAGCAGAAATGCAATTTCCTATTTAAGTTAGGGGGTTTATTTATTTTGTCCACAGCATTTCTGACTTTTTTTTGTTGAATAAGTGATTGCAAAGAATATTTTTCATTGTTATTTGTTAAATTAGATCACCTTTATCTATCAGTATTGTTGAAATGAAGATCAAATATCCATACATGCAAATATGTCGAAAACACACACCTTTTTCACAGCACTGTATTTATTGGGTAGTACAGTCCACCTTCTTTAAAGAATAGTAAAAGGATGAATAATATTAGTGCAGGTGCTTGTCTGAGAATAGCCAAAGTGTTCAAACATTTAACAAGGTAGTAAACCTGCTACCTGAAGAATAAACACTTTCAGCTTAATAAGGTAAAAATGTTCTTCATTCTCAGCATGGAGACTTATTCTTCTTATTATGGCTGTCATTGTATTAGGAAAGAGAGGGTAGCTAAAGAAGAAAGGCACCATTAACTAGTTTTAAGACCATTATACTAGTGCCACTATTAGAAATAGAGAATGGTTTAAAATATTTTTATCCATAGAAATAGACGTATTGGTCTCTGTTTTTTCTCCTTAACAATTTACAGTCACTTTCTGACTTGACAGGTAGAAAATCCACTGGAAGAAGCGGTTAAATTCTTGACTCCTTTGAAGAACTTAGTGAAGAATAAAATAGAAACTCACCTTCTGGCATTTGAGATATATTTCAGAAAAGGTAAGAATGGGCTTAAATTGTTCCATGCCTCTCTGGCTGTAAATTGGAGTGATAGTAGTGTGTCTTGCCAGATGAAGTGTATTTTGTTGTGATGTATTGAGTTCTGTCTGTGTGAGCAGAAGGCATAATACAAGCAGTACCAGAGGTGAGGCTGAGAAAAAGCACAGCTTTACATATTTTATAAGGGCTTTTAATAATTTTACCTACTTAAATTTATAGCCTGTTTTTATGTAACCGTATACACTTAAAGGTGGCTACAACATTACCAACTTCTAGCCAGACCATGTCAGATCTCAGAAGCTAAGCAAGATCTCTGATTTCCAAGGAAGCCAGGTTACTGATTTACATAGTGCTGGTCCTCTAGCTGCTTCACAAGAATGATCAAACCAGTATAATGGCTGGGGTCACTGTGCTGTAGGAGGTACCATCCTTCTGATGAAACTTGAAACAAATGTCCTGAATACTTGGTCATTAAAGATTCCATGGCACTGTTTGTAAGAGTGAGAATGTAACACCTATGTCCTGGCTAATGCTACTATGGGTTTGGTCAGACTGTTCTGTCTCACGTTATCCCTTATACTCAACTGGTAAAGAACTCTCACATCTCCAGCTGGTCTACTTCATTGTAGGGCTGCTGGTATGTGAATGTTTCTGTGCATCACCCAGTTGGTTCTGGGATCCTTTGGGCTGAAACACATTTTATGAATGCATACTATTATATTTATTGTCAAAGAAAGAGGATTCAGTAATTTCTAAATCGGGCGGTAGAGTCTTCAAAGGCTATGTGAAGCTGTTTGAGCCCACATACGAATTTGGAATCACATGCTGGGTCTTTTTTTTTTTGCTAGAACATATACTACTTATTCTAATTTATCTAGATACAGCACATGAAAATCCAGGTTACAGAAAAGTGAAAAATACTGTATATTTTCACCATACCCTGAACAAATGTCATGCTGTTTTACACATCTCAGTCTGTGATGACCAAACCCTCGCTTTCTCGGCTCAAAGAAATCATAGGCCAGCTTTATGGGTGCCTTTTTCCTGCTGTCTTCATTATAACCAAAATGACGATTCTTTTCGATGGTAGCTTGCTCCCACACAAGAACACATACACTTACCCAGGGTCTGACATTTCTGATAGCTGCAGTGACGGTAATGGGTTGATGAATCTGGAGTGCAGGCTTGATTGACATATATGAGAGTGTAGATGCTATCTTTATTGGGAAGAAAAGTTTTAAAGAAACGTTCAATTTTTTTATTTGAATGCACTATTTGACAATAACAGATGAGTAGTTGTGGAATACAGCACATTAAGACTTAAATATGAATTTTCAGTATAACATATTTGCTTAAAAGGTAGCATTGTGCACCTAAATGTTTTTTTTTTATTTTATGTTGGGAACATTATTGTATTTGTATAACTTTGCTTTCCTTTTTGTTTTTTATGTAGAGAAGTTCTTGCTTATGCTGCAGTCAGTAAAGAGGGCATTTGCTATTGATCCTGATCATCCCTGGCTCCACCAGTGTTTAGTTCGCTTTTTTAAAGCAGGTAAGTTGTGGTTCACTATGTGTTTAAGGGGAATATCACAGGTTTTCCACAGAGAATATTATTAAAGCCCTCTTCTTCTCACAGTGTTGGAGAGCAAAGACTTGGCGGAGGCAGTGCGCACAGTCCTGAAGCAGGAGATCAAGAGGCTATTCGGAGACACCAATGCGAAGAGTTTTAACGAAGCTCTCCTCAGCAAGCACTCCAACTCAATCCCACACAGAGTAGCAGGTAAGATTGGGATTTGTTTAAAATAATCCTTGTGTCCCAGAATGCCTCAAAATGCCTGGATAGTTTCAAATCACACTGTGTTCACTTAGGAAAGCTTGGATTATTTGAAGAATTGCAAAACATGGATCATTTGGCACAACAGTAGAGTTTCAGCCACTGAATTGTTATGTGAACAGTGGAATAGAGGTGGAAGTCTTTATGTCCACTTCTAACAGTTTTGGAGTTAACATTAAGACCCTACATGTATATACCTGTATATGTGCTGGTGCATCCTTCTGTATTCACAATGTAGGCAGCGTAGTCTTGAACTATCACAGACGTAAACAGTTTCAAGCTAATATAAACATTATTATTGGAAGCTCACAGGGATTTCCTTTAATTTGTCAGTGTATTTTTTATAATGTAAATACCCCATGTTCTTTTATAGGTTTTTCTCTTTGAACTTGGACTTATTTTTGAATCCCTCTCTGTTTTGTATTTTCCTGTAGTAGTAGCTTATAGACCGGATTGTAACTCCGCTAATAAACACTACTGATGTCTTCTCTTCCAGCTGCCAAGATGATGTACTATCTGGACTCTTCCACTGGGAAGAAGGCTGTAGAACTTGCCACTGCTCTGGATGAGTCCCTGAACAATAGGACCATTCAGGTAAGAACAGTGAACACAGAGGAGTGACAAAGCAAGTGTGTACAACTTAATAAAATAGTTGCATTTTCATCCTTGGCTTTGTCATGGCCAAAAAAGCACTTTCTACATGAGTATATAGTGTAATGCATATTAACCTGTTTTTCCAAGTCCAAGCAAAAGTGGGCAACCTTCACAGGATTAGGCATACTGCTTGGGAGGATGATTGAAGTTAGGCAAGAGAGGGATCTGTCTAAGTCTTTTTCCACTATTTTAATGACTGAGTCTCCATTTTATAGTTGAAGGACAGGTGTCCTGTATTCCAAAAAGAAAATTTTGAAACTCGTTATTGCTTTGCTCAGAAGGGTCATTTCTGGCCTCCCATAACAAATATTCTGTCATGAGAATGAAGTGACTAGCGAAGAGAATAATTGGGGGGCCAAGTAAGTGACAGTAAGAATACAGTGCTCTAAAACAGGATTGGATACAGCCAGAGGTGTATCTAGCTGCACCATACTTCAGACTTGTGACACTGTGTGTCAGCATGAACAAATGAGTCAAGAGATGCATTTAAAGCAGTTTGCATCTCTGATCCCATAGAGCTTTCCTTCCTGCTGAGCTTCTGGTAACTGAATTAATTAAGTTAAGTGATATAAATTACCACTTTTTCCTAGATCTCTAGCCTTTGAGGATCTGAAGTTTCCCAGAGCAGTGGCTGTCTAAGACGAGCAGTGAAGCTAGCTCACTTTTTTTGAAAAAATAAGAGCTTTTCATCCGATTTCATTCAGACATTATGCATTTTGACAGGATTCGTTCACGGCAAAACACTTCAAAGACATTTCCGGTAAAACTGAACAGAATGTTCAAGATTTTTTGGCTCAGGCGTGTGTTTGCGGGTGTTTTAAAATTCCCGGGTTGCTCTCGGAAGCTGGGAACGTGGCTGCATGTGCTTCACCTGCCTGGTGTTGGTGTCCCGCGTGAAAAACAGGCGTTTCTCTGTCTCGCCTCTAGATCTGCACAGAGGTGTTGGAAAGCCTGCGCAACGGCAGCCTGGGAGACGGCAAGGAAATAGCCGAGACCTACAGAGCAGACTGTCACAAGATCTTTCCCTACACGCTGGCGTTCATGCCCCCGGGCTACGAGGAGAACATGAAGGTCACGGTGAACGGAGACGTCTCGGCCGAGCCCGAGGAACTGGCCAATGACATGTGAGACTGAGATAGGGACTCGAGGGAGCCCAGCCACCATTTCTGAGCACCACAGCCAAGGTTTTTGTCATGCACCTGCAGTACTGCGTCAAAGTTTCTATTCAGATAAGGACTAAAACGGCAATTGTATCGGGAGGGGGGGGGGAGAAGAGAAAAAAAATGGCCATTTTACATTTTTTTAATCTTGCTGATGACTACTTCTAAGCGAAAATAAAATGAATCTCTGGAGACGAAAAGGAATGGGTGATTCTATGAGGTGTTAGCAGTCCTGTTGTCTGCCGCATCCTAACGTCTGCTTCCCGTGTTTTTAAAAATAATTTATAAAAAAAACTAGAAAAAATTATAGAGGCTGTTACAAATAACAGGGTAGGTGCGTGCCAAAAACACTCAAAGCTAAATTGAAAAGGCGATCACTGTTTTATCTTGGAAAGCAGTTAATGCTGTTTAGCACTGGATTCTGAGCACAACCAGTAAAGGAACGGCAGGGCTTTGGTTAGGTGAATTGACAAGCTGTGCTGCTGGAGCTACACAGATGGCTGAGAAGGAAGCTAAGAAGACTTTACCACATTTCCGGAGGAAGAAGGTTACTTGGAGTACAGTATGAGTGGCAAATGCATCGGTTCACCTTCTGTAGGGCTAAAAAGCAAAGTTGGTGGTGTATGATAAAGCTGCATCTTTTGAACAATTTCAGTATCGCAGTATATTACGGTTTCCTTTTCTCTGTTTGTCGGACTCAAAAGAGACGGAATTTTATTGAATATTATAGTCATCAGCAGATATCTTAGTTTAAAAAAAAGCAGGCATTTGTCAACCATACTGAATTCTTTGCAAACTCCTGCCCCGCACACAGAATGTCACAGTGAATAAGTGGCGTGAAATAAAAGAACTGCTCAGGAGGAGAACTGTTCCTTTTTCTTGATCATTTTTCATGTCAAAAAAAGAATCGGCAGTCAGGTTCCTCTGCAGGCTGTCCTAACCGTATGTATGCAGATGCCTAATCTGCATATTAATATAATGATACCTCTGGATCTTTTCCACAGTAAGGTTTTTTGTAATACTTGAAGCCCTGTCTTTCTAAAAGAGAATATTTCTCGCTCACCAATTTCAGACAAGCCCCAGACTTTGTACCTTTTCAGAATGGGGGCCAATTATTTTTTTTTCCAGAACCAGATCTGCTTCTTCTTTATTTCAGTTGTAAAGTTAATACCCTTGTTGTCAAACACATAAGAGGTACCAAATATACAATGCAATAAACTGTTTTGAAAAAGTACTGTGTATTCTGCTTGTGCTTGTGCTGACGCAGGTTGAAAGGTTCCCAGACTGCAACTGGACAGCAGTCTTGCGGTGTTATTTGAAGGTCCGCAGCAAGTGTCGCACTGTCATCACCTGGTCACGAATTCGTACATTCTGTGATTGCTGATATTTTTTTCTAAAGATAATCTAGTATCAACACTTAAGGAAGAAGAGTGGCCTACAAGACTGCTGAGTGCTGGGCTGGAGGTTACTCACCCATGTGAATTGCAGCACTGTATCAGTAAGCTCTACCCAGAACAGAGATTCTCCAAGTGATGCTTAACTACGGTGTCATGGAAGGGTTTGTGGTGAGACAAAGCAACTTCATGAGGTGAAACACCAAAGGACACATGCCGAAAGAGCATTATCTGGTGGACAGCTCAGAGGTTAGCTTTGCTGCTTCATAGCTCCTGGGCCCTGGGTTTAATTCTGGACTGCGGTGCCTTCTGCCTGGAGCTTTATGACGTTCTTCCCATGTTAGTGTGGGTTTCGTCTGGGTGCTCGTGCTCATTTCCTCCCCACCTTCAAAAGTCTGGCCTATGTTAATTGCCAATTTTTAAATTGTCCCTGCGGGCCTGTGTGTGAGTGATAATGGACTGGTACCCTGATGAGGTTGTAGTCCCGCTTTGCGCCCTGTGCTTCCAGCATAGGCTTTGGGTTGATGAACATGATGCTCCCTTGGGGAGTTGTGCTAATTTGAGAAATGGGTTGGGGTGGCATAGTAGCGCAATAGTTAGCACTGCTGCCTTGCAATGCTGGGGCTTTGGGTTCAATTCTGGACCCAGGGTGCTGTCTGTGTGGAGTTTGTATGCTCTCCCTATGTTCATGTGGGTTTCCTCAGGGTGTTCTGGTTTCCTCCCACTGTTAAAAAATATATTGATTTTTTAAAATTATTTTCTGGGACAATTGGCCCTGGTGTGTGCGTGTCCTGTGATGGACCAGCGTCCTATCCTAGGTTTATCCCACCTTGCTCCCATTTCTGGCGGGATAGGCTCTGGAGAGGCCCCCCATGACCCTGAATTAGACAAAGTGTTTAGAAAATGGATGGATGAAGAAATGGGTTGACGGAATAGGAAAGCTTGTGCTGTTTGTAGATCAGCCACTTGGTGGCACAGTTGCAGCTGTAGATAACCTACATAACCTAAGTAATGTGAAGTGGAACTGCTATGCATTTTTTTCTCTATTTCAGAATTCAAGTGTTTCAGCCCTAGGTAACTCTTTTTTAAAGTTGGAGTGGAAAGATTGTTTCGTGGTGATCTGCACATTTCCAAAGCTTTTATGTTTAAACAGCCTGGGTGAGATTTGAGGGAAGTTTAAGGTGTTTAAGTGAAGTAACATAGTTGGTACATAATGTTACCTTTCCGAGCATTTTAGCCTAAAAACTTGAAAGTTTTTTTTTAACGTTTTGTATACACAAGTGATATTTATGATGGCTGGAATAAAGAGTAATGTACAACTGATAGATGAAAGGTGGGAAAAATGTAAACTCCCCATTATCATTCTTTTTAGGAACAACTATGACAACTCTTCAGGAACAGCAGTGTGTTCAATAAAGAGCCTTAAAGGACATACCTCTGAGGAGTGGAATGGGCTGAAGTATTGCACCATTTGCTATCCCACATATAAATAAAGGAGGAATATAACATTTTAATGCGGTTTACCACATAGTTCAGTCCGGGTCCTGGACCGCCCCTGTGTCTGCTAGGTTTTGCTCCTGTTGAGCTCTTAAAACAAAGGCTAATTAATTTTCTATTTTAGACATTTTTTAACAATTGTGCTTCCAGCTCTTAAAAATGGGAATGAGATTTGTAATTAGTATGAACCCTGTGCTATTCTGCAAGTTTCAGGACTGCCCTTGTGTGCTAGTTGAAATATAACCAGTTGGATTTACGCAGAAAACAAAAACTGACTTTTTGTAGTAGCTGTATGAAAGTGTCATTCTCCCCTGTGTTCATCAGCTGATCACTTGTTCAGAGCTATTTAGTCAGAAATAGGTTAAGCATATAATAAATACATTGAGGAGAGATTGCATAACATGCTGCATGTTGAAGCTGTGCGGAAATTCACTTTAACTAGGGTATTTGAGGTCTAGACCAGAAAGCAGATCGTTATCAGGCACAAATGAGCAACAGTGATTAAGGGTCCAGAGGGGACAAAAACCAGCAGACACAGGAGTCCTGCAGGACCAGGACGGAAAACCACTGGGATTTCATGCTATATCTAAAACTAATTTGCTATGACAAGTGCTTTCTCCACATTTACACTCTGGAAACTTTGGAACGTATATGATGTTTTATGGATAAAACAAGGCATTGTCCTACTTTTGCCTTGCCTTAGTTTAAAATGTATTTTACAAAAGACATAGTTACAGTATTCAGCCTTGCATTTACCTATAGTCAATTCTGATCCAAAGGAAGTATTGCTGTCAAAGAAACGGTAAGCTGATTGCCTTAACTGAGGTTACATGATGTAAAAATAATCCTCCACTCTTGTTGATTTGGTTGTCGTGATACACATCAAACACAAAGACAAGTGTTCTCCAGCTTTTGGAATTCTTGTATCATGTCAATGGAGTTATGTTTATAATGTTTCAGTTTTTTTCTCAATCCGGACAGAATATCTGTCTCAAACCACCATTTGAATGATAAAGTACAAGAATTTGTTTTTTCAGAGCTGCTGTCTTCTCATAACAAGAGAGATCAAAATCGGTGATGTTATTTTTTGACAATTTTATTTTCTCATATTTCGTAAGACGGAGATAAAAAAACAAGTTGTCTTGAAATCTGCCTCTTTTCAGTTTACAGCTTGTTTTTTAGCAACCCTGGTGTATCTTGCCTGTTGTAATGAGCAGTTGAGCTAAGAAATGTATGATCCAGGTTTAAATAGGTGGTGATGAACTCTGGAAACTCATACTTCTGTACAACTTCCAGGAACATTGTGGAGGCAGTGTCAATCCTGTGCTCCATTCTAAGGGGGAAAAGAAAAAAACAAGGTCACGAATATTGATAGCTTGTAGTCCAGGAAAGAGAAGGTTTTGGCGAGTAGATTCCCACTTTAACTTGGACTTGTACTGATTTGAAAAATGTATGGCTTTCACTGCACTCAACTGCATATATTTTTATTAATAATGAGAATGAAATAATGAAGAGTTATTATTACATGGGGGAAAAGGTTGAGAGAGTAAACTGTAGAGATGGTAGGCAATTCATTTTTTGACGTGAAGATTCAGATTCAGTATTGCCATGCAAAATTCTTTATAAACTACTTTTCTATTGGGGTATTGAGATCCCATCACTGTGTAGAATTAGTGTTGGAACACCAAACAATAATCTGTTTTTGTATGGATATTTTTTGTATTTTAACCAGCTGAGATAATGAGAGCATTACTTAGATCTGTTGTTTACTGACATCACTCTAATGGTGACACGCCTTTAAGACAAGGCACTAGCATGGACTACAAGCCACAGTAGTAACTGGCAGATGTTTTAAGATCAATGTTCATTAGATAATATTCTCCAAGATGTAGGGAACCTTATGATATTTATTGAAACTGAGCTGTTTAATTAGTAAACTGAATTTTTAACCTCATTTTTGTCTCTGTTTTCTCAATTTTGTTGTAAAACAGGTATTTAGTTTGGCCTTTAAACATGCTGGACTGTGGCTCTTGATAAATAAATTTGAAAAACAGGCCGGCACAAACACACATGCTTACGTGTGTAGGGTTTTGTTTTGTCATAGATTAAACTGTGTTTTGTTTTTCGAGAACTATGCTTTCATTTCAAATATTAATATTCCTGAAGGGACATTACAGCTCTGAATCTGGATATATACAGTAGCACTGTCCTTACTTCCCAGTGGCAAACTTTACAGCTGTTGTTTTCAGCTCTCTTTTGACATCCTGCACTACACTTTGTACCAGATGTCTGGTTACTGTTCTGTTGTCGTCTTCTAATTTTACTTGATGACGAATCCACTGCCAGACCTAAAGTAAAAGGAAAGAAAATAAGGCTATGGGTTTTGGAGCATGGAAAAAAAAAACATTAGTCAGCAGAAAATTCCCAACCAACCAGAAAAAGATCTGTCCAGCTGAAGGCTGATGCCTGATACTGGAATGATATTGACAGCATTTGTTTTATCTATATATAATGAAGTTACATTTCCTTGGTTAATTTTCACTTCTCTTTTACAGCTGCTTCTGCTAGAGAAAGCATCACTGAAAATAATACTTTCTTCATTATTTGTAGCTGATTATGTTTAGCTCTGCATTTAAAATACTGCATAACAGACACAAAGTAAATAATATGATTAAAAAGGACTCAAGAAAAATCTCCAGGGCCAAATGTTATCGTACCAATTGTACTCAAAGAAACGAGACGTTATTCAGAAGTCATTGACAAAACGTTTCCAACAGTCTCTAAAGACAGGAATCGTACTTCACAGGAGAATTGGTATTGTAGTACTTTGACAGGCTGACAGCTGAAGTTTGTTTCAGAGACCACAGCTGCTGATTGTTATACCATGATACACGTCAGCTCTGGTCTTCTCAATACAAACCGGTGCTCTCTTCAGTAGGTGTGTGACGTTGAGGTGTTATCAAGCCACACACCAGGGATCTGAGCAATCCTTAATTTATCAGCAGGCAAGCTGACAGCGACACACCTTAAAGAAAAGTTTTTTCCTCCTATTTTTTTTATTTGTAAAATGAAGTGCTGCTTGTCCATTTTTTTTAAACTTCAGACTTGTGCTGTCCATTTGTAGACCAGCCTGTTATAAGTACCCATCCATAAAAAGTTCTAAGCAATTCTCCTGACTTCAATTACATGAAAGATAATATAAACAGTTATTTGAACTGAACTAGAGGCTATCCTATATGGAAATAATATTGCAGGAAACAGTCGATTTGAATTTGTGGATTCAGAAAAGGTAGGTATTGCCTAAACCAACTCAAACCCCAAATCAACACAATGGACTTCTTCAGACTGAGCAGAGAAATACGAACCAGAGGTCACAAGTGTAAACTATGTGGGAATGTAAAACAAGAGAATGGCAAGCAATTCTTTACCCAATGGCTTATGGGAATCTGGAACAAGCTATCCACATTTTAAACCATGGCCAAGATGGACATCTCATAACCTCTTACTTTCTTATAAAAATGAACCTTCGCAATCACATCTGGGTATGAAAACATTTTTAAATTAAAAACAAAAATATGAATAAAGGTAAACAGTTACTATTGATTGCTATTTCATATTTGGATTGTTGTTTGAGAATAATTATGGGTGATTCAGTGATTTTAACAATGCTGTTTCATCACACTTTGACTTACTTACGGACCTGTGATCTGGAAATTTCTGCAGTAGCTGAGTCTTCCACCTGACCTTTGTAGAAAAAGTGTCCCTCTCCTAGAAACAGTTTTAAAAATCAAAGCAACTCAATTATTAAATATACTGTAAAATTGCTTTTGGGCCTTATCAATGTGATTATTTATAGGGTCTGTTCACATTTTCCCATAATTGTAGCATATTTAATCACAGGACTAACAGTGCTATCACCAGAACATTGTTTTTTAAAGACATCTCATGTAAGAAAAAAGAAATATGCCTGGTGAATAGGAGATCCTATCCACTTTATAATATTCTAGACACTTACAAAATGAAGATCCAAACAGTGATTTGGCTATTGGCTGTTGTTGTACTGCTCTAAAAAATTAAGCAACCAAAGTAGCCTACCTACTGAACTTGACATAGCCCAAGTAAAGCATACACCACAAACCATAAAGAAAGCAGCCTTACCTCTAAGCCAAGCCTCTATGAAAAGAATTCCTACTGCAATGTTATATTTTAATCCATGGAGTGTAACTCCACCCTAGACGAAGCAAAAAGAGGATACAATTAATCCCAAATAGTTTAGCTGCCATTTAGCAACATGTCTTAATAGAAGAATTGTAAAGAGATTTTTTTCTGATCAGAATTAGAATGCATGTAGTTGCATTTCTGTTTTTAAATTGTATTACTAAAGACAATGAAAAGTAAAGTTTAATTACAAATTACATTCTGTATATTACATATAGTAGGAGGAATCTGCTACAGTCCTTGGTTTCCTACAGTGAAACATGTCACAGCTATACAAAGGTAAATGGAGCAATATTCTCATGTAACAACCCCAAACAAAAAGTCCAAAAGAATGTTAGAAATGCAAGCAACATTGTAAACTGTAATGATAAAAAAAAATACTGGGGAGTTTTCCTAAACACAGCTGAGTTTTTGACTTTTGTATTTAATCATTTTTGATATTTCACATTTGTACACATTTACCTTCCAAAGCCATCAAAATATTAAAGAATAATGTTATAAAGTGTTAGTTATACATGTATAGGACTATAATGAGCCCAGCCTTCTTTCTTCTTTTTATTCCAGTAGAAATTCCTTTATTTGATGACACCACAAACACATAAAAGTGTGTTGAAAATAAATTACTGGCCATATTAAAAATAAAATACCAACCATATTTGAAATTATTATCTGAGAAATATATTTGTTCCTTTTGAAAAAAAACTTTGGGATTTATCTGTTTCAAAATGAGCATAGAAATGCACAAAAAAACATTTTTTCTTTAAATTCAGCTGAAATATTTGAGCTAATGTTCACTTGCTAAAATTCCTGAATTGCATGCTTACTTTAGTCTACTGGTATGTGTTAATAGAAATGTCTCTCTGTGGATCTGTCAATATGTTATTTCAAAATTCAAGATCTAGCTCCCAGACATAAATGCATCCTCATCATATCTTTGATCATTTATCCTAAAGGACTGAATTCCCTAAAACACAACAGAATTTGGAATAATCTTAGTAATTTATTGATATCAGATTAGAAAATGGAGAGTCTCTTTCAATGATACATTATGACATATGCCTAACTTGTCTCTGTGAAACACTGACAATACAACATAAGTTTATATAACAATTTTCTGTTTCATATGAACTTCTGATACCAAATGAAAATAGTGAACAATACTTAAAAAGCACTGACCGCAGGCATGGTGAGTAAGTCTGTGGGTGTAACAGACACATCTTCCCGCAGAACGTGCAATTGATTTGGTCCCTGAGTGTGTTCCAGGAAAAGCTAAGAAGAAGGAAGCCCAATATTTTTGTTTTGGTTTTACAATTACATGACAAATTAAAGATTCCAAACATTTCCTATTATTCTAGAATGTATTTGTACAATGAGTACATTTACCATAGAAATATACCATAGATGTCTTAGAAATCATTTTATTTATTGAAAGTTTATGAAAATCCATTTAAAGATCTTTTTCAAGCAGAGAATTAGGAAGCAGGAAAAAAAAATTCATGGTTCTTTAGCTTCTTGCTATTTGATTAAATAAAATGTTTTTGAATAGCAAGGCAGCATACAGCCCAACTATCGTGGATCACTGCTACATTTTGAAAATGTAGATCAGATTTTTTTTTCTTGGTACACATTGTGGACAGTGAAAAGACATGAACGATGACAAATTTGCAATGGACATTTAAAAGTAATATACGTCACCTTTTGCATGGGTTCAATAAAATCAAGATCATAGACCATGAAGCCATCAACTCCAGCCTTGATTTCAAGTAACTTTAACCTTTGAGAGAAACACACAATAAATATCAACAATGATATTGTAAAAAATGAAAAATGTAGTCAATCATCTTCTCTATTTTGTTCATTTCAAAGTAGAAGGTGAGTCTAAAATTCTATCCAGACTGTTAGAAGAGCTTCAGGCACCTGCTTTTCTTGGAAGCCTGTTCCAGACAGTCACAGCTCTCTGTGTAAAGTAACCTTTCCTATTCTCCTTCCTAAATTAACACTCTTTTAGTTTCTGTAGGTCCTCTTTTCACTAGTGAGGGTGAACGAGTCTCCTGGGTTGATCCTCTCCTTATTTCCCTTTGGTTTTTCTACACTTAGATATAATTTCCTCTTTAGCTCCTTTAACCTGTCCTTATATGACAATCCTCAGGACTGCCACAATATCATTTTTGTTGTATTGTGACAGAAAATTAACACTATCCTCGATATTAGACTCTTTTGTGCAATACTTTAGTTAGAAGATTACAAATATCATAATTTACTGTGCTGTTGTAGGAAAAACGTGTTACTTGCCAACCTTGATCCTTAGAAGATTACTGTTACTTGTACCATCAATGTAATGTGCAGTTTCAATGAGAATTTCACGGAAGGAGACTGCTTGCCTGGAGACAGTGGCCATGACCCGCTGGCAGTAAGAGCTGCTTCTGTCTCTGGGCAGAAGTAGTGCTGCCATGCCCCCAGTGGCAAGTGCTCCTCTCCTGTGACAGGTCTTCACCAGTAACTCCATGTAGCTCTTCAGAAACAGCTTCTCCATGTTCACATACTTGCTACGGTCAGGCAGGAGAAAAGCTGGGCGATGACCTGGAATGACAAGATCAATGCTTTCAATGACTTTTGGCGTAGTCCAGTTCAGTTGAAAAAATGTCATGAGACAACTAGAATAAAAAAATCTAAAAGTATTCGACAGGTGCGATCTCTTAATCTGCCATGTTGTCATGACATTTGCCATGTTGTCATATTCTCAAAGGACATAAACAAAGGATGGGCCTTGAAGGAAACATGTCAGGTCCTGATGTCGCATTAATTAATTGGACTTTCAAGCAGCTTGTGATTTTAGTGATTGCAAAAGATTTGTGTTTTAGTACTTCTTTCTAAATTTCAAAGTGCTTCTTGTGAATCGGCATCAGGTAAGACAGATTTCACCCTAGAAGTCCCACAATTCAGATGTGAAAGACAAATTGTGCTCTTGCTCTGGTCAAGATACTAGTTTGTTCTTTGTTTTTTTTTAAACTTTGAAAAACATTTTTGTTGGATATCATTTTTTTGGTTGTTATCGACAACCAAACCACAATTTCTCAGCATACTTAAGAGCCTAACTCTAAACTAATTAATTGCGCATCCTTCTGTGGTCAAAACAAAGTGTTCCAAGTGCTTAGAAATTGTGTTTTGAAAGTGACCTAAAATATCTGCTGTATTTTGCCTCTTCAGGACTTGGGCTGGTCACTTCTGACATAGAGTCAAGACTCTAAACATTAACGTTTGAATTTTAAAAAACAGTTTCAGCATAAAATGTGACCATCCATGTTACTTTGATGTACTGGATTTTTAACTGCTTCAATTGAAAAAAACTGATCCAGCTTTAAACTGGCAACATCACTGGAACAAAATAATTGACATTTGGAAAATCAGTGTTCCTGCATAAAATACAAAAGGCCCTCTAACCTACTTTTCTCAGTAAATATCATGTGGAATACGAATGAGACAGAATTAGGATTGCTTTTATACTTCTCAATAAGTGCAGGATCCCGTGGGGATAGAGATACATTATAAAATTGCTTTTGTTTTAGATATGTTGATTTGAAGAGGTCTGACTTGCATCTACTGGTAATAGAGCAAATACACAAAATTTAGACAAAGGGAATTTAGAAAGGGAAAAAGAATATGAAAAACAATACACAAGTAAAATCATATAGTTTCTCACCAAACTTATTGACAAAGGATGCTGAATAATCCCAGATGCCACAGTTGAGCCCAGCAGAGTGTTCCCGCAGCTCAAACAGGATCTCTTCCATTTCAAATGTCGCCAAAATGTTCTCTATCAACACAGTGGCCTTAATGCTGCCTACAGGCAAACCAAGCTGCACAGAAAGTCATGATTTACACACAGACAATACAGATTCAGCAAAAACAAGTTAAATCTGTCTCTCTATTCTGTTCAGTACAGTGATATAGATCCGCTTCATTAACAATGCCAGTAATGCTGGCATTGTTGTTTCATCCATCTACCCATTTTCTAACACCACTTTATATAGGTTCTTGGGGTGCTGGAGCCTATCCTGGCAAGCAACAGGTGCAAGGGAGGATACACCCTGGACATTACGCCAGTCCAGACACAAAGCAAAACACAAATGCACTGCAGAACCAACTTCCCCAGAAATCAAATAACCTCCCAGTATGTCTTTGAACTGTGGGAGTAAACCAGAGCCCGGGGAGAACGTACAAAAGGAATTGAACCCAGGGCCCCAGGACTGTGAGACTGCAGTGCTAACCACTGCGCCATCGTGCTACACCACGATATTTTTTAAACAACATTAAAACAAGTGTTGGGTACATTTCTAATATAGTGAGAATCAAGATAAATCTATCACTCACACTTGAAACAAATTCAGAGTTATTAACATAAAAATGACAAAATCTTATTTGTAGAACGTCTCTGACTTTCTATTAAACAGACATAGCAGAAGTGTATTTGTTATCAAAAGAGTTGTTCAACAGTGGATTTAAGTTTACAGTCACAGGCTAGCAGCACCTGTGGCCATCACTGGAAACGATACAAGTTGCACATCTGTGATGCATGCTTTGCACTGGGTTGCAAATTCGGTCTTGTGAGATTCTGTTCCATTTCTCTCATAGTGCCTGGGCAAGCATGTGCCTGTTTACCAGTCTCTGAACTCTACATACCCAATGTCATCTCAGCTCGTCCCACAACTGTTCAATGGTGCTCAGGTCTGGTGAACAGAGCATCCATGGCATAACTGACACATTCTCGTCTCCCAAGAAAAATCAGTGTTACATGAGCAGCATGTACATCAGTAAGAACAGCAAGTGAAGTCCCTTGACTTGATCGATGTGTCACTAGGAGGTCAAGTGCAGTCATGTATTACTTCTCGTGGAGTTCTGTGGAGGCTAGCTTTTCTGCCCACACCATTGCAAGTGGGCCTCCCCATTGATTGGTCGGTAGATCACAACAATGAGATTGTTATTTTGCCATGTCTGAGCCACACCCACTGATGTCCATCAGGGTAGTCTACACAAAACCTTGGCAGATGATTCCACTACTGGCAGGTCCATCTGAGGTTTTTTTACCTTGATTTTCACCAGGCTTCACCTCATCACCCATGCACAACCAACTGGCTAATTAATGATTTAGTGCTTGTACAACAGAGTCACTTGATCGTACTGTAATCAGTCAAAAATGATCAATTAATCAACAATGCCAAAAACGTGTAATCAATATCCAAAATCCAAATACTTTTTTTATCCTTTTACTGTAGTATAGATTTATATTTGTAACTTATTTTTTGCCACATAGAAATCTTGGACAAATGTACATAAAAGCAGAACAGATGGTACTTCCTTCATTCTTCCTCTATTGGGTGAGAAGAAGCCTATTCCATTACACAAGCTTCCTACAGCAAGCTCTTTGATTGTTTAATTATTAATTACCAAAAACCCCCACACAATAAAACTAGCTACTGTATGTAAATATTTAATTGATAATTAGCAAAATCAATATAGAAATGAATGAGCTGGTTATGTCCAAGTACTGGAGTGAAGAAGACTTTAATGGCAACCTGTTTAGTATCGGTGGGTGACAACACTTTGCTTGGTTGAGAACATACATTTCAAACAATTCTGATTAAGTGTGTCTCAAGCAAAAGTTGGGAGAAGATTAAATTACATCTCTTCTGACATTTAGGGTTTTTCCCACCTTTTCCTCGGACCAAAGGAATATTTTGTTCCACAGCCTTGCTTCAAGATGGCTTTCAATCTAGAACACAAAAGCCCAAAGGCAGTATTAAACTTCCCTGGCTAAGTGATAGTAAGTTTTAATTATGGTACTTTAGTATTGTTTCATGCAAAATTGTGATTAAAGAAGGTAGACACTGGTCAAAACAGAAATGACGTTATGTAAAGGTAAATAATCTAATCTGAAAATACTATACACTTATCAGTGACAATTTGCATCATAATGATTTCCCAAACCTCGTCTAATAGTATCGGAGGAAAAATCAATATAAGGATTAAATTAGCAATATTTAAAAGAGAAACTAATAGAAAAAGCTATATATTAAACAGGGACAAGAAACAGGAAATGTAATTAGAAGGCAACTCAATTAAAGATTTACAATGGTCATTATTTGTACTGTATATGACTGAAACAAAAAACAAGGTGTTAATAGTTTGTAATGGAGAGTCCTTTCATATTTTAAAAAGCTCCATTTAAAAATACAGTTAGTACAACAGAGTCTCCTCACCTTGGACAGATAGAAAAATGGTCCGCTTTTGTTTTCATACAACAGCTGTCCATTGTGGAACATTAGCAACCCAAAATCAAACAAGGGTCCAGGCACTTCTTTGCCATTAACCTACGAAATGCAAAGACAGGCGTCAGAAAAACATAATCTGGACTTCACAGAAAATCCTGTTAAAAAGGATTGAAGTAATACAACAGTCTGTACCATCATATTGTGCTCAACCATGTTCCAAGCTCGGGGCCTAAGCATAAATACAGGGGCCTTGGAAATGGGTGGAACACCTAGAGAGACAAAAACACACCAAAAAAAAACTTCACAAGAAGGGCCCAAAAACCAATTTTTTCTTTTTTTTTTGTCAACTCATTCAGCAAGCAACTTTTTTTTTCCTTGTCATGTGCTGGTATGACAATCTGCAAGTCATGATGGACTCTCCAAATGTTCTATTACCAGAAGGCCACTTAGTCATGGTATGAGGTGTGGCAAACAAGAACCCAGCCCAGAAGTGTAAGTTCCAGAGCAGTAAGCACAGGGTAATTTTAACATAAAAGGTACTAGGGCTCTGTAGGGGGTCAGGACAGTTAAAAACAATCAATCACTAGAGCCTGGTGGCATCTTCCCAGTCACATTTAAGAAAAAGAGGCAAGTTCCTCATAGACACCTAGCTAGAATATTTCAACTCTCCTTAGAATGGGAGCAGTACCTAAAAACTGGAAAATTAGAAATGTGACACAGATCCACAAAACAGGGGCTCATAATTGAACCAGGAAACAATAAACCAATCAATCTTACTTTTGTGGGGGTAAAGTTATAGAAATGATTAGAAGCATGAGAAGAATATTTCGAAATCAAGGGCATTTTAAAAGACAGCCAACATTTCTAAACATGGGTTTAGAAAGGGAAGGTCTTGTCTAACAGGCCAGAATTATTTAACACGCAACAGGGACATGAAATTACATACTAGTATACTGTGTTCAGTTTTGTTTTTCTGATCACAGATAATATATTATAACCTTGGAAGGAGTTAAAAGAACATGAACAGATTTGATTCCTGGTCTCAGGGGACCGTCGCACTGTATAATGACAGATTGAGGGGGATACATTACATCTCTCCAGTCTACATTTATCCAGGTATGTAAAATCCTAACGGGTATTGACAGGCTCAACACAGGGGACTGTTGTACTGTATAATGACAGATTGAGGGGGATACAATAAATCTATTGACAGGCTCAACACAGGGGACTGTTTCACACTCAGTAGGGAAACAAAGATATGTAGTCACAGTAGAAAACTTAAAGATAATTCATAATGGACAGGGAATAAGAAACAAATATTCATTCCAAAAGTGGGTATCTGGAAAAGGCCTCCTAGCCAAGTGGTTCAGGTCCAAACTCTGGGCACCTTTAGAAACAGCTGAATAGAATTTTAGGTTCACTTCAGAGTCATTACCAAGAGAACAACATAAGCCAAAGGCCACCTTCTTTTTTACAAAGCTTTCTTATTTTCTTACGAGCTTATAACCTGGACAGGACAAAGGAGCAGTTTAGACACATCAAAATAAACTAGCAGGTAAGTAAGGTGAGAGAAAAGAGCGTCAATGAGTAAAAATGCATGAGGACAAGAGGAGAACACCCCATCATAAGACCTCAATCTGGAATTGAACTCAGGATTTAAGCAGTGCCAACAACCATACCTCCATCCCACTTTCTATCCAGTCTGGGGGAAACAAGTGAAAAGTAACTTACCCAGGAACTGATTACGAACTGCCTTGTGAACATTATAAATGCCTTTTATCTGATTGCAGAACGTTGGACAGTTTCCATCATCAAAATCAACCTGCAAACATAATTGTTCAACAGAAAATAGAACTATATCAAAAACAACTCAAAATGAGGAAAAAATGCTCATAAAGCTGTTGTAGTCGACTTCCCAGAATTTCACAAATTATTCCAAATTCCACCGCCTCACCACAGCCTTGTACACTGCCTAATTCATATAACCACAGATACCAGCGACTGGGAGGGAAGTAGAAATGACCTGAACTCCCACGTTATTCACCTGGATCCCCTGAGCTGTGGAGCTCAAGGCCTTTATGAAGCGCTCTGTATGGCAGGGAGCCAGGTCTCCGATGTCCACATGCCTGTTCTGCAGCCTCTCAGGAACAGTAAGGACTGTCCATGTTGGATCATTCCGGATATGAGCCGTAAGGCTGGAAAACCCTGGGAGGTCTCCTGTGAGGTCCAGCTGCACCTTCCTGGCAATCCTCAGCTTCAAAATCTGAGGAGTGGAATAAGAAATATTTAGTGTGCTTGATACAATATATGTAAGGGTCACCAAGATAGCGCAGTGGTTAGTGCAGGGGTCCTGGGTTCAATTCCAGACCTGGGGTGCTATCTGCATGGAGTTTGTATGTTCTCCCCATGTTTGTGTGGCTTTCCTCTGGGCTCTCCAGTTTCCTCCCACAGACTAAAGACATACAGGTAAGTTAACTGGGTTCTGGGAAAACTGGCCCTGGTGTGAGTGTGTGCACATCTGTGTTAATGTCTGTGTGACCTGGGCTGCTGTATCCTGCCTTGCACCTGTAACTTGTCCAATTCCGGCTCCCGAGACCCTGAATTGGAAGAAGCAGTGAAAAAATGGGTGGATGGTATAAGTGAATAAAGCACCTGCTTGATTTCAGTGGCACTAATAAGATCAGATAATACCTGTGTCATAATAGAGATTTGTGTAAAATTAACTACACAAGACAGAAGACCTAATGCAGATTTTGAAGAAAACAGATGGTAGAAAGGAGTTAAATGATTTAAGATATGGATGTAAACTGCTGGGGGTTGGCTTTATTACAAAAAGAAAAGCAGATTTGTAAGATGGGTATAATCTCCTAAAATAAAATGCAGGTGCTTTTGCTTAGTTTGTGGAACTACTGGCCAAAGTGAAAAACACAAGGTAGGCACACACATACAGAAGATTCACTGGGTGCTCCCCTCCCTCCCTTCAACCAGAGTGCTAGTACCCATCCATCTATCCATCCACTTTCTAACTGCTTTATCCAGTACAGTGCAGCAGGGGAGCACTGGGCGCAAGATCTGATACACCCTTTGTGGGCCACCAGTCCATCGCAGAGCACATAGACAAAACCACAACACACTCAACACCAGGGCCGATTTGACCATTTTCCCCAAAAGCCAACCCACCAGTATGTCTTTGAAATCTGGAGCACCTGGCAGAGACCCCTGTGAACACGGGAAGAACATACAAACTCCATACAGACTGTACCCCAGGAATTGAACCAGAGGCCACAGCACGCCAAGGCACCAATGCTAACCACTGTGCCACCCTGCTGTCCTGGTGCTACTACCCATAATTCCAAATGTATAACTAGGTGCACTTGACACACCTGTCGTTGTCAGGCACAATACCACAGACAGTGCTACAGCGTTAATGAAACGTTAAGTGTGGAATGTGCTTCGAGAAAAGTTACCCTGTCAACTTCTTCTTCAAAGGTGGAGACAAGCTCTGCAAGAAACTGTATGGACTCAGTATTGAAGAGAGTTACATATTCATGCTGTAAACCGGGTGGGGCAGGGTCCAGCTCCACGCCGCTGACTGCCTGAAGACATGTGAATACAGATGAAACTTATTCAGAATAGCACAGGAACTGGTATCCTGTAAGAACATAAGTACAAGAAACAAGCTATTCAGGGCTGCAGGTTACATGTTACATATAAGATACTGTACATCAATCGCCACACTTTCTGCAGCGAATAATAAAAAGACGCGCGATACTGATTAACACCCATCAGGATAACACACTAAACTGAAAAGAAGTCAGCTTGTTAAATAACATTATATTTCTGGTTTTAACAGTTAGTGCATTCATGTATGTACTTTAATTGATCTACTTAAAATTGTTGCTGTCGCTTGAAAATCTGGAACTTTACACTTAACATAGAGTTTTCTAGCTGAAATCCTTCTTATGATATCCTGAAACAATTTTTATACCTGGATATGTACTGGATCTTTCTGATAATACACCTATCCTAAAAGGATATTCACATTCAAATACACTACTAAATTATTAATGGCTAAAAATGATAAGATCACTAATGATTTATTTTATTGTAAAGAGTGGAACCAAACTGTAATTACTTGGAGTTAAAAGCTTTTAAATTACTTACAACCATTTTTATTGGTCTTCTGAGAGTCTGTTGCAGGACTTTGGTACTGTTTGAACAGTGTGTTTGCTATTAGATCAAGGACATAGGTTATAGCCTATAAGATACATCAAAATTTAATTTAAAAACAAAAAACAAATCCAGTGCAATGCAGTCTTTAGGAAGTCTTCAATCATTAAATTCCCTCACTGATTATTCAGGAATTACTGGAAAGAAAGGGATTTTACCAGCAACCTATTAACCTGCAGTTCTGCTTTTCGCATTTTATTGTTTAAATAAGCATTATTTTAAAACGCTACTAACTTCAGTTTGATGTATTTCCAAAAGGGGGTCCTGAATGAGAAGTGTCTTAAAAAGGGGTCCTCAAACAAGAGAAGAGTGACCAGTGGAATAAAGCGGTGTGTTCACATCATCCAATTTTGAACGGATATAAACTGTAATCGATACTTTGTGTTTGACTCCAACTAGGAGACAAGTTTGGGAGAATAAAACAAACATCACATATTTAATGGCTTACTCTCAAGTATTTTTTGCAATTTTATGTAAAAATATATCTTCTAATGTATGCCTAAGTTACTTTTTATATAAACTTACAAACACTATATGAACTGCAATCACATATTAACTAACATTACTTCCAATGAAGTTTATATGAAATCCACATAAAATCACAATGTATTCGTCGGCTATTCGTATGACTTCCCTTGCTCCACATCATTTTTATCAGAATAACAACTTATTGTGAAGTATTACCACATGCAAAACATACAAAATAACATGTAAATGTATCTGCAGGTAGACGTAGAGTTATTTTTATACCTAATATGCCAGCTCAAGCATGCAGTTAGTACCTTTATGTGTTGGTTACAAATCTACCTAAAGAGGTAGATTTACCAATGTAAGTGCCTACAGTACTTCGTAAATAGAATAAAATATCCAAAGCACGACCTGGAAAATTCCGTATGTTGAAGTATTAATTCAAGAAATACAGTCCAATTAAGACATTTAACGCTCAAATGGAAAAACAGAACCAAAGATACCGTGAGCTTAGGACAAAGTTTATTCCCTCTTCCTTCTTTCCCCTGTCATCTACTAATGAGTGACTGACTACAGAAGCCTCGACACACCTCTCTCGGCAGCAGCTGATTGCACCCCCTCTAGTGTCCGTCCGCGGTACCGCTGTCTCTTTTTTCACACTTGCACATAGTCTCGCGAGCGCTCGGGCATGTTGACCGTACGTGGCGAGTGATCCAAACAGTGCGTGTAGTTGGTGTAGTGTTTGTGGTCGGAAGGCAGACAGGAGGCAATGATGGTGCATATTTAATTTAAGAGAAATCTTTTTAAAAAATAATTGTGGGCGGAAGAAAAAAGCCCCCCCCCTTTGCTGCTCTGCGTTGTATTTTATTTTGCACGTTTTATTTTAAACTAGTACTTTATAAAAGTCGGCATCATTGCCAGACAGGAATATGTCAGAGATGGAGTCATCCCTTGAGCTCACCACTTCTCTCCCGGGTTCGTCTCTTCCCCCTCTTCGTTCTCGGATCTTCAAAATTATCGTGATCGGAGATTCCGGGGTGGGAAAAACGTGTCTCACCTACAGGTTCTGTGCTGGCAAGTTCCCGGAAAAGACGGAGGCCACCATCGGGGTCGACTTCAGAGAGAAGGTGGTGGAGATTGATGGCGAGAAAATCAAGGTACAGTGAAGTCATGATTAGTAATGTTATGTGATCTGTAGCTCTGTCGTTTGACAGGAGTGAGGCGACAGATTGAAGGAATGAATCCAGGGTTCCCGTTAGTTACCTGACCTGCGTACCGTTCATACATGGCTCGCCTGACGTTCAGACCAGTAGCTAATCTTAGTTCCCCCTTCCCTCGGTGTGATGGGCAGGTCCTGCTTTGAAGTGTGTGTTTTGTGCTGCAGTACTGTACTTCACAGTTGCCAAAAACAAACTTTTCAATGCCAGACCCAAAACCAGGTCATTTCGGATTTACCGTTTAGAACTGGGTTCCAGCAATGAGTTTTAGTTCTTCTCAAGCAGAGCAGCACACAGTTAATATAAAATCAAGAACAAACAATTTTAAGTACAGCGCATCTCTTCCTCCTACAGTACGTCTCTACCTGTCACCGCACGGGATGTCGACTTTCTTTTATTTTGAAATCAAAACGACACCACTATTCGAATACAGACACGAAAGAGTCGTACAGTGATCAATCTAAGTCCTACAGTAACCTGCCAGTAAACGAGTTGCACAGTGTGGGCGCAGTAGCGTGATGATCCACCGTCATTTTCCAAGTCGGGAAGCTGAGGAGTAAAGGTCACGAATCATGATTTACTGTACAGTGCAGTTTCACCAGTGCCTTCCGTTTACTTGCCACAGAGTGTAATAATGAAGTCCAGGAGAAAAGGAATTTGTTTTCTACTTTTCAACGTGGAATTAACCACTGCCTTAATTGAGTCTCATTTTCCCCAAATAACATTTTAAAATATTGAATGAAGTGGAGTCCCTGTCCCATTGTGTAACACTGACCTTACTGTGGGCAGCACTAGTCCCATGCTTGTGAGGAAGGGACTCATGTGCTTTTCTTTTTATCTGCTCTGACCCAGACTTGCATGTTCTGTTTTTAGTAGAAAGGGGTTGGATTTTTTTCAAATCCATAGTGAAGAAATGTTTAAGATTAGTTGGATTTAATTCCTTTTAGAGCAGACGTCGTATACTCAATTCCTGCAAGGCCTAATGTATTCTTAATTTTGTTCCATCCGAGTTCCCAGTTACATAACTGGTCTAATTATTCAATTAGCTGCAGAACTGAAATCCTTCTAATGAAGCTCTGAGGTATTTCATAAAGAAAGAAACAGGTGCAAAGCAGGATACATCCTGGAAAGGACACCTCCCTTACTTTACAGTGTTTCAAGCAGGATTACTTCCACTATAATGACCACCTCACCTTGTATATTTAAGTTTCTTTGCTTGAACTGTGTCTGTGGAGCAACTAACGGGCAGTGGAATTCTGATAAAAACACTCGCACAATATTATTCCCTCACAACAGTAATAAGGAAAACAAAACACTCAGTGCCTATATTTTTGTGTAAAGAAGTCAATGTTTTGAGTAATCAGCTGTGAGAGACCTTAAGAAAACTAATTGTTTGCCTAAGAAATTAAAGAGGTAAATTTCTGTCTGTGTGGAGTTTGTATGTTCTCAGAGTTTTCTCTGGTTTCCTTCCATAGTCCAAAAAACATAATACTTGGTTAATTGGCTTTTGGGAAAATTAGTCCTGGTGTAAATGCGTGTCATTGTGTCTGTCTGTCATTGTGTACTCTGTAATGGACTGGTGTCCTGTCCAAGATGTATCCTGCTTTGCACCTGTTACGTGCTGGGATAGGCTCCAGCTAACCCGCAACCCTGTATTGGATGAAGTAATTAGAAATTGGATGGATGGAAGAATTGTTTAAATGACTACTGCGGTTTGTACAAATCCTAAGAGACACTAGGAGCTCCAGGAACAGAGATTCAGAGCCCTAATTTAGAGTATGCTTTGTAAAAAATTGTCTCTTCCTATTCTTTATAGTGAATTACAATCTGATGCTGTTATATAAAACTGGATGCTTTATTATTTAATTATACAGTTAACAAGCTGGTTGTAAAATGGAATAGGCTGGGTGCTTGTTTAAGAGGTTCAGCTGATTCAGTAAAAGGATCTTCTTCCAAGATCTGTGAAGTTAGATTGTAGACAGAAGTGACTTGTTTTTATTAGATTTGCCAACTGTTTGAAATACAAGTATACATAGGCCGAAACATAACATATAAGAGTTATATGTAAAAATACAAATACCCAGTTGAAACGGAACATTCAAAACCAAACACAGCTGAACATTGGCTAATATGCCTCAAATGTATTTTGCTGCCATTCAAGCAGAGCTGTGGAATAAAATAATTTCTGTCAGGGAAATAGTCAAAATAATGTTAGAATCTGAACACTGAAAATAAAGCAATACTAGTACTGTATGGTACCATTGATTGTTTTTTTTTTCTTTGAATCAGTCTTTAATGAATTTTCATTTTATTTCTTGTAAATTTAAAAACACAGAGGCTGGGAGCCATGGATTTCATTGCAGCCAAAGGTTTGTAATTCCAAAGGGTGTTATGAAAGGTGTACTTTGATTACAACTTAGATGTTTTGCTCAGACGTATACCTGCAGGAAGAACCTGTGTTAAATTTGAAGCAATTGGGAAGGAAAAGCTGAGGTGTGGCTTCTGCTGTTGATCTGTTGCTTTATGAACGTGACAGTTTGTGAATAACGCTAATCCTTGTTTTACAGGGGTTGATCAGGTTACATTTCTTGCAGGCCAGATGAAAGTCTAGTTCAGTTTTAAACAGGTGTAGGCAAAATTACACTCTAACCCTCACTCTAGGTCAGATCCTTACTGTATGATCTAATGCAGACCTGCTTTTATTTTTTCATAGAACCATAGTTTTAGCATTATTTAATTATGCATGTAATCCAGTTTAGGCCAGATGTTAAGTAAACTGGATTTTTAATTGGCCTATGATTTATGCATTAGTGGTTCAACAGATCTCACTCTGTTTCGTACGATATTTTAATAACATTTAACACATTTGGTTAGCATGGCAAATCAGGCTGTTTAGTCTTATAATAGCTTTGAAAGACTAGTAATGTTTCATTTATCTACCGTAACATATTTTCTTCTGTTTTCTTTTTTTTATGGCAGTGGCTGTGTCTTCAATAACTGTCCTGTGTTTTAACATTGGATTCTGTTATATAACAAACTAGTTATGTAACCCTGTGACTATCCAGTGCAGGCAAGACTTTTTTCAAACAGTGGTGTTTTCCTAGGTTTGTGTACAAAACGCTAATGCATATCAGAGGTCTGATTAATGTGCTTGCTTCCTTTTAGTGTTTTCTACTTCACTGTCTCAGAGTGTCTCAAGTGTGACTCAGAGATGAACAAACCAAAAACAATACATTTTTTTCTGGGTCATTGATTGTTAGCGGATGTACAGAGGGTCATTAAAACTCAACAAGTGCTGTTTCCTTTGCCCTTTGTTGCATTTTGTATGTTAATATTTTACATGATTATTGTAAAGTCATACATTAAAAAGTACTTTTTTGTGGCAGAATAAAGATGTGCTGGTTTTGTTGACAGTTATTGTTTGTGAAAAGTATATACATTTAATGAAATAAGCATATAAAAGTCCAACAGCAGTCTGCTTCAGAATTTCAGTTGGTGATTATATTCGGTATAGTTATTTTATGCATTTGTCCCAAAGCATCACAAGGGAAGAAAAGCTAATTGTGACCCAAGGCTTTTATTAATAGCTTAAAGTTAATTTGTTATGTAATGAAATCATTATGGTCTTATGTCTATGTGTAATAAAAGCTGGATAATTATTGGCTCTAAATAATTGAGTCCGCCTGAGTTGGGTGCTATTTCATCATCTTCAACATTCAGATCTTTATACATTCTCTCGTCAACTTGCTTGCCATGATTTCTGACTACCTAGCTTTTGCTAGTTAATCATTTGAAAATAAACAGACACAGGTGGGAACGATACTGTATCAGCCACTCCTACAGTGAGTGTTTTTTCTTTTGCAGGGTTCGGTTAGGCTAGATTTCAGGCAAAAAAGACACCTGAATGAGAGCACTACGGACACTTGGAAACTGCTAAAGGGTTAATACCAATTACAAATCCTATTTGAGCTTTCAAGACCTTTAGACCTTGTAATCTAAAAGCAAATTTACAAATATACTCTTTATATAAAACTGAAATCGGTTAGCCTGTGATTCAGAACTCATCTGGAGAAAAAAAGCAAGAGAGTGCTCCTTCAGGACCAGGGTTGGGAATCACTTCATTATAGCATTTCTACAGCAGGAGTGTATAGCACATCACTTGTGTGGTGTGAGTGAAACATTGAAACTATATATATATTACTGGTCAGTGAATTATTTTAATATAGAGCTGGTTGAACTGACTGCTTCTCTAAAAAAAAAACAACAGTAAATTGCAAACTAGTGTGTTTCTGAAAGTGTAGTACAGTCTCTTGCAATTCCGAATATTTTTTGCAGACATTGCTGGTTAACTTGCCTAATATACCTAATTGCTGGTTTTAGGTATATTAATTCAGTTGTGTTAGCCCTAAATTGGACCCTGTCTGCAGGCCTCATTTAAATAGCTGACATTCGACTTGTAAAAAAAATATGGCTTGTAGTGTGAAGAATTTGTGGATACCTCTTAGGGCTGGTTAAGAGTTACAGCGTTTCGTAATGTGTATTGTTTTAGTATTGTACCAACAGTTGCACAAGTCCAAGGTGAAATCAGTTTCCCCAACGTGATGACGGGGGGAACTTCTTACAGACGCCGTCTTAAAGGAAGGGACTGTCTGTGCTGTGGATCTCATAGATCTTTGAAGATAAAAGTACTGTAGTAATGAGAAAGAAAATGTTGTTTTTTTAATCCCCGTCTGTTTCTCACCCTCTTTCGGTTTGTTGCCATAGCCTGGCTGTCCTTTGCTGTTGCGGCCTCACCATGAGTGGGTGTAGTTGCTCAGGAGCCTGGCTGGGCAGTGGTGTTATTCCAGGCACAGATGCACAGCTTGGTCTTTGCTTTGTTCTTTTCTATCTAAAAGGATATCCTAATTTAAGGAAGAGAAATCTAACTAGCCCCCTCAGCCAGCTGGTCCCGAAGCTCACTGGAACCAGCCAGCCTCAGGACAGCACAACTACAACAACACAAATCAAAGTCAACCAAATCACAGCACAAGCCGGACAACACTATTGTACCCACTGGGCCCCACACGCACAAACACAACGCTAACTTGAATGCTACAGGACTCTGAAATGAAAAGGCACATTAGCCGAGTAGGTGACGAAGGCAAGAAAGATCAAGGAGAAACAGATCCTGATGACCTGGCTGTCCATAGAGGAAAGGCTGTGCTCCTATTGCCAGCAAGGAGAAGCAGAGAAATACTCTGGGATTAGACAGACAATTCTCCCTAAAATAACAGATCCCCAACTTCACACACTTGCCAAAATCAGAACAGCTTCCAATCCTACCGGGGGAAGAAACTCAATAGAGATGGCAGCCAAGTATGTGTTCTGCTGTCACAACCTGAGGAACAGAGAGTGAGCCCGTCTCATAACAGTGTTTTATGCAGTGTCTGTAAATGTCCAATAATACGTTTTCTCTTTAAATGTGTTATTAATTATTTCTGATTTTGCAAAACTTTAATTCATCCATCATGTCAATAAAGCTCTCGGAATTTGAATTTGAGTCTGATTGAGCCCAAGTAGATGTCGCCTGGAGTTGCTTACGTAGCCTACATAATATAGTGGAAAAGTAAAATAATTCCATTGCGAATCTTAAATACTAATGTGGTTATTGAGATTTTTGTGCTGCCACTGTAGGTCTTGGCATCTATTGTGTATTATAAACAGATAGGCTTACTATGTGATAGTCATGGTAACAAACTACTGATTGTCTGAACTGCGTGAATGCCATTCTTGTTCCACCTTTCAAATGTCTCGTTCCCAGTAGCATCTGGCATGATGAACGGGAACTGCATGGCTTCTTGAAAAGCATGGGTGTAAACCCAAACCCACTTCAGAATACACATTGCACCGTGGGACAATCTGTAATTAGTCAGCAATTTCTAGAAGGAGACGGAAAGCAAAATAGTTACATTTGAGTTCCAGTAGTGTATCAAAAGAAAAAAACAACATGTTTTCCTCTGCATGCCTGACTATTCAAAATAATCCACAGGATGTTTCTGTAAAATAGGGAACAATGGAGAAGTGTAGTTTAGGCTTCTTTCTGTTATGTTGTAGCACGTATTCTGGAAAACAAACATGGAACAGACAGATAATGGTGATGGACTGGTGTCCTGTCCAGAGTGTATCCTGCCTTGTGCCTGTTACTTGCTGGGATAGGCTCCAGCTCCCCCACAACCCTGTAGTAGATAAAAATGTTAGAAAATGTATGGCTAGATCAAGCAGATAAATGGTATAAGTGATAAAAGATCTGTATATTAATGCAAAGAGGGCAATAATTAACTAAGAGGAAATTCCTGTGTAAGTGAATGTATGTCAGTGGTCTTCCAAGTGTCCTGAATGTTTGGAATTGTTTAGACTTTGAATGTGACTGAAGGAAATCAATTTGAATACAGCTGTCAGGTAAAGATTAAGATTTAAGATTTAAAGCTTGTTTGACAAGACAGTTGTGTTAATGCTTAGTGCTGGCCGCCTGTGGTCAAACAGTTTCACAGTAAAACAGCTATGAAAGCCTGAATGAGGGTAATGTAATACTGATGGAAAAAATCCATCAGTATTACATTACCCTTTCTAAAGTTACTTAAGATGTAGAAATAAGTTTACAAAACTTTACTTTCTTTTCTGTTGGTGGCATAGCAATACCACTCTATTTCTGAAGTTTACCTGTCTTCCTAGTAAATTCACAGCTCTTTGAGTGTGTAGAGATGAGTTCTGCCCTCCGTAGAGATGTAAAAATATCCTCTCACATCACGGCATGGTTTATCAGCACTTTCTAATATGGATTGGTGATGTTGCTTTCTACTTTTAGCACGGCTACTAAAAAGGCTGGCTGTTGAGATAACTAATGATGGAAGTGGCATAAACACCCAGTTGCCTACTGTTGTGTTTCTTGATGAACAGAGATCAAGATGCTACTTCCTGTAGTTGAATTGGTTTTCTTGTTGTCATCACAGGTATGCTGACACACAGTTTATAGAATGAGTCAGTATTCAGATGGCTAGCAAAGAAATACAACTTCCCAGGAAGCTGATGTCCAACACTCTGCGTACTCATGTGCCAAGGTTTATTATTACAGTTTAACAAGATTTAACAGTTCTTTCTCTTTTATTTGTGGTAGCTTCACAATTTATTTTACAGTAGTTACACAATTCAGTTTAATTTAACATCTGAATCCCCTGTACAGTCACTTAGTTTTAATTCCAGGTTTAAAACAGGAGCTACTTTTTATGTAAACTTGAATTCATTAGTATTTTGTCTGAAATAAGATGCAGTTTTTTGTAGGCTAACTAGAATGCACTTGAGTTCTTACAGAGGAACACTGTACTCCATATAAAATAAAATGGTGTAGCAGTATTTAACAATGAGAAATCTGGCATCATGACAACACTATCTGCACAGGAGGCTTTATTGCATCTTTTATTTTTTGTAATGCCAGTTTTAGTAAGTGCTTAATGAAGCTGCCCACTAACCAAAAGACTAATACTTATCCATGTCATTGTTACAGGATTAATTGTTTTTTAGTGCTGTATAGCTTGAACCCTTGCAGGCCTTTTTCCCCGCATTGATCTCAAATGGATTTTCTAAGAGTCACTGTAGAATTTCTTATTTTGCAGCATCCATTTCACCCTGCATCTCACAACAGGCAACCCAGGGTGCTCTTGCCCCAGTACAGTGACAGGGACACTATACTGTAAAAAGGCGTCGTCCTTCGGATGAGATGTAAAACCGAGGTCCTGACTCTCTGTGGTCATTAAAAATCCCAGAGTGTTTCTCGAAAAGGTGTAGGAGTGTTACCCCAGCATCCTGGCCAAATATTCCATTGGCTTTTACCAGTCATGGCCTCCTAATAATCCCCATTTATGAAGTGGCTTCATTACTCTGCTCTCCTTCCCACTGATAGCTGGTGTGTGGTGAGCGTTCTGGAGCACTATGGGTGCCGTCGCATCATCCGGGTAGGGGCTACACATTGGTGGTGGTGGAGAGGTCCCCATTACCTGTAAAGCGCTTTGAGTGGAGTGTCCAGAAAGGCACTATATAAGTGTAAGCAAATATTAGAATTATTTTGGCTCCGGAATGCTGGCTCATCCCGATGTTGTCTGCGTCTCCTCTTCCAGATCCAGCTCTGGGACACCGCGGGCCAGGAGCGCTTTCGCAAGAGTATGGTGCAGCACTACTACCGCAACGTGCACGCCGTGGTCTTCGTCTACGACGTCACCAACGCCTCGAGCTTCCAGAGCCTGCCGGCTTGGATCGAGGAGTGCAAGCAGCACTCCCTGGGCGTGGAGGTGCCGCGCATCCTGGTGGGCAACAAGTGCGACCTGCGGGACGCCGTCCGGGTGGGCACCGACCTGGCGCAGAAGTTCGCCGACTCCCACAGCATGCCCCTCTTCGAGACCTCGGCCAAGAACCCCAATGACAACGACCACGTGGAGGCCATCTTCATGACGGTGGCCCACAAACTCAAGAGCCAGAAGCCCTTGGTGCTGAGTCAGCCTCTGGGCACAGAAAGCACCGTCCAGCTGCAGCAAGAGCACAAGAGCGCCTGGGTGTGTGGGTGCTGAGAGTCGGGTGCTAGGAGGAGGAACACTGTCCGGTCGCTTGTGTTTTTGTGTGTTTCTTTTAGGGAAAGCGAATAGGGGGAAAATCTCCTTGAGTGGCCTTGTAACCCTCTGAAAAAGATGAGGTTACTACTTACGAGCTAACATAATGCCTTTACTGTGGGGTTAGAAAAGCTGGAACATCTAAGATCAGAGAACTAAAGAGTTAATGTACACATTAGGCAAGTTTGCATTAACAGTACAGATGGCCTTGGCCACTTTTGTCAGTAAAGAAAAGTGGTGCGTTGAAAACCATTGCCAAACCCCGTATAAACACCTTGGTCAGTCACCATTATCCAATTGCAGATGGAAATACTTAAAGAAAATGTGCATTGCGTGTTTATATACATTCACAATTATGCTTAATTTGTCTTAAATATTAGTCTTGTGCTATCTTACAAAAGAGAAATTAAGAACTTAAATATTGCATTACAAATGGTAATGTGCATTCAATTAAGATGATTGCATACACTATAATGACTATAGTTCCAGTGTGTGAATGAACAGTATTACTGTTCCAGCTGGTGTCTTGCTTTCTGAAGTACAAATACATACAGATTGTGAGAGTTGTTGGAGGAGGCTTATTGACAGTGGGCCACTGATATCGTATATGTAACCATGTGTGTTGTTTGATTATTTTCAGGCAACCTTGGTTATGAAAGTAACACATCATTAGTAAGTCCATTAGCCCAACTCTTTTGGCTTTGTTAGATTCAGTCCCTGTGATTTCTGGGGGTAGATCTTCATCTAGCAGGTGTCTCCTCCATTGTCAGCCTGTGTGATTTTGATAAACGTTCTGAGGAATCATCTTCCAGGAGGTTGAAGAGCTTGTGGATGTTTAGGAGAGTCCGTGTTTGAGCTAACCTGGGCCACAAACATTGTTTTTAACTGAAGGGAAAAGGAAAGAGATCGGGGAAGATGGATTTCGAAAGTCTTCTAGTGCTTTAAAGCTCACAACTACTTCAGGAAAAAAAAGGGATTTTTTTTAAGTACAGGGGAAGGAAGGAATAATGAATTATTAATGGAAAAGGTTAAGAAAAATAATTTTTAAACCTCAGTTTATTCCAGTCACTTCATCTTTCCACGTCGTGGCGCTGGGGAGTTACATGGTGTGGGTTAGATGAGAGGATTTTGTTTTGGTCTGGCAGAGCAACTTAGATATTGCTCCTGCGAAAGGACATAACACAGTAATTATAAAGTAGGTTGTGTGTAAAGTTTTCCTGTCTGATTTGCTGGTTTTAGTAACCTGCAGTGGAACTGAGCAGTCTTCTGTTTTCATTCCAGGCGACCTAGTGAGTATGGGCTATTTGTAATCTTTGTTCTGACCTTTACCATTGTGTTGGGGAAGGGGGTGATGTTTTCTATGGTTTTCATAGCTGTGTATTTTTCCTACGCCGAATCAGGTTTAGTCTGAATACTGTTTTTCAGCAACCTGACATTACTGGTTCCAAAAAGTTAGATTCTTAATTTTGAATTCATCAGTCCCTAGCTGTAGGACTTTCTTCATGCACCTATGCACAAGTATTTCAGGAACACTGTGGAGCACATACTGTACCCTCTTAGTAATAAAACTAAGCATTGCTCACTTAGTACCATGAAATTCCCTGTGTGAAACAAATACATATATACCTAATAGTTGCAACTGAACTGAAGTATTCTCACAGCTGGTTCTGTGTATTATTTTTTTAATTGCCAGTTTACTTTTTAACCTGAGAAGATGGAAGGATTTGTGAGTGAGCTTCCATTGTCAAAAACCTGTCTCTGTTTTGTCTGGTGAAACACTCTAACACTTGTGTTAAATGGGTCTAAAAATCTAATTTTATTCCCTGCTCACGCAGAAACACATTAGAACATAATTTTGTGACACCTCATGTGTCTATGCATGATCTAACTGTATATGATTCACTGCAAAATCAATAGCTGTCAGAACCCAACCAAAATCATTGCATTAAATAAATATAGACTGAGCATCAAAAAAATGTCATTACTCATAAATGCAACAAATCACAGAAGTGCCAGGAAAATGCCTCTTTTTGTAGCAGGTGCACTGAAATTCTGTGGTATGGACAAGACAGACGTAAATGCACTGGTAATGATTAACATTTGTCATTGACAGGATTGATTAGGTAAGATCTGCTGTGGAAGACACAGGCTAGTAATTTCTGTGGCCACAGGGAGAAGCCCTTTGCACTGATGTTTTTGTGGATTTCTGTCCCATCCTTCTGTTCCCATTCCCAATAACCTTTTGCCAGTTTTGAATTCCTGGAGCCAGGATTTAATCCCGAAGACCTCAGTTTTATCCCGGATGTTTAAAGTTGGGAAACTTCAAAGTTCTGTATTCCCATATAACTGTATCCTTGTAACATTTTAAAAGAAAACTGTTGCAAGGTGGCATAAATTGAAACATTTCAGTGAACTTCTAGGTACTTGAACAGCATTTGTTTAGAGCTTGGAAGGCAAAAGCACAGCAGTCAAGCATATACACCAATGGCCTACAGCAAATTAGTGACATGAAGTCACAGACTAGTGGTTTCTGTGCCACAGGGGAAGCACTACAAGATGTACATGTGAAACTCAGTCTTTGCACTGGGATGCAGATGCTTTTTGTGGCTTTCTGTCCCTATTCCCAATAAGCCTGTGCCAATTTATAGGTCTCTGAGCCCTAGACACTACACATTGCCCCATCTCATGTTGCAAGAAAGACATTGTCACACGAGCAACTTCAGGATGTGACCAGTTGGGATGTTAAGAGGACAGCCTGAGACTGAAAGAAGGGTGGCAAGTAAGGCCCTAGGGCTTGAGCAGTGTAGTAGTGTGCAGTCAGGTTGCCATCAATCAGTTGATGGTGAAGCATTGTGATTCTTGGTTGTCCAAATCCGGGCATATCATGGATATTTATCTATGTCATCTTGCTAAGTTAAAAACCTCTTGCTGTGAATACCCCAAATAGTGAGCAATAGGATTTGAAATTAGTCCAGCCTTCAACACACCTATAAGGCAAAGGTGTTGTCGTCTTGTTAAATGGGGTATATCGCTTACTTTCTGTTTGTCTTTATTGATTTTCACCAAGCTTGAAATGCAGCAGATTGAATCATTTCATCACCTGTGTCCAGTCAACACTCTGATCAAGGTGACTTAGTGCTTATGCAACAGTCAAAGTCACTGCAGTGCATCACTGTTAGTTATGAAGGGCCTGTCAAAAACAAATATCCAAAACCCATAAGCTTCGTCTAAAGGCATACGTGTAAAGTAGTAATGACTTTCTTTTGATGCTCATTATACTCTTTATTCCAGTGTATCCTATTTTAATTCATCATGGAGAACAAAACCTTTTAAGCTTTACTACTACAATAAAAGGAACATGTAAACATGTTAATTAGGAGGAATGATACACTATTATAGATTTACTCATTTTTATATTCAATAATTAGTTTTCATTTAGGGCTTTGAAAGGTTTGCATTTACAGGTGGTGTAAACATTTGCAAAGCATGGATTTTTTTTAATTGAACTCTGTTATTCAGGTCTCTCTGCTGGCATTGCTAGAGGGCTTGACATTTTGTTTATGTGTTATCTAATTTACACGGAGAAGATTGCATCCTGGGAGCCAGGATTTAATCCCAAATACCTCAGTTTTATCACAGATGTTTAAGGTTCACAAACTTCAAAGCTCTGTATTCTCATATAACTTTATCCTTGTAACCTCTTTAACGAAAATTGTAGCAAGTTGACCATTGCAGTGAACTTGTGAGCACTTGAACAGCATTTGTCCAGAATTAATAAGCCAAAAACACAGCAATCAAGCGTATATACGCTAGGTTAGTGACATCAAGTCTGAATTGTGAGCCTAGACCAAAATACACGCCGAAAATGGTGGAACTAAAAAAAAAGTACCATTAAAACGTAAGATTGTCAAACTACGGTACATATACAGTATATTTAGATATTTTTAATTTCTCACTCTTATCTAATCAAGTAATAATTTCATATTTTTCAGGAAACTTGAGCCATAAGGGGGGCTTTGAAGGCAGTGGTCCTGAAAGCATGTTAATGGTTTTAAAATGTTGGTGGGTGGTGGTAGCGTTTTCTCCTTGATAGAAAGTTGTAGGAGGTACTGGGCCACAGATACCCCATTTTTTATGTTATCTGAGTCACAGGTACTGTGGATTTTACACCTGTTTTATATTTAAAAATCAAAAGTACATTTTTGGGTTGGCTCTGAGAAATTCCACTATGCAGCCCACTTTGACAGAGATTAAACTTGTAAATGCTGTAGGGCAGGGATCTCCATCTTTTTTCCTGGAGAGCTTAGCGTCTTCTGCTTCTTTGTTCTATCAAAGTTTTCAGTCACATAGCTGGTCTAATTACTTAGCTGCCTAATTGCAATGCATCTGACCAGGCTCTCAGTGGTGTTTTACAGGTAACTGCACAACAAAGTAAATACTTTGAGTAATGAACATGAAAAAGACCCAATATAGTGTACATCAAAGAAAATAGGGGAACAAAAAGCAGAAAACACAGTCCTCCAGGAGCTGATTTTGAGACCCTTGCTGTAGAAGAATATGCCATAACCTAGCCACACTTACCTGGAAGCACTCCACAGCTCGACATAGCCCAGAAAGAAATGTGGCATTTTTACCCAAGAACTACCGCAACAAAAAAAATCTAAAGTTTTCTTCCAAATTTGTGGGCTATAAAAATGGGTTTTATTGAACAAATGATAAATCCCATTCCTCTTTTGTCTTTCTTGTCACTAAAAATAACTAAAATATTCAATTTGCTCAGTAAATAAATAAATTGTTGTACTGGACAATTCCACACCGTTTTCCAGAATCCCATTCTTTTTTGGAGGATTTCCCTTTGATCAAATGTTTGCCGATAAGATGATAGTGTTATTTCAGGAATTTCAGTCAGATGACAAAAATAAGCAGAATGTGCTGTTTATCATGATTGTGGTTCCTTTACAGTTTTAAAATAGAATCAATATGCAAAATAAAAATGGCCCTGCAACACCGCTCGCTTGCTTAAAATGCTCTTCTCAAAACCTCCAGGGATTGTGCACAAGCAAAACTATTAAAGTATTGCCTTAAGTGAAATATGTAGCTGCACTTTAAAACAAACCTGCCAGGTAAATGTTTGCATACATTCTAAGTAGAACTGTGTGGTTTGTTTTCATTTTAAAGTTATCTGAAGAACAAAGGCCACCAGTTTAGTATTGTTGGTTACATATTTAGGGAGTTTATTTCCATGTTTGGCACAACAACTACACAAGATGATAATTTGCTCATTCGTACTGTACTTGCTTATAAGGCCCCAGACATGACCATTCCGGGCTTCGGTTTGATGACTAGAAAGTGGTCATCACTATGCCTTTGCCATCGGAACTGGGCTTGACTTGTATAAATATATCATGGAATTGTAGATGGTTCTTGTTGGTGTACAAGCCTCTGGTAGCCTAAAGGGTTTCCTCCACCGAGTTTAAAAATAAGCTGGTCAATACACCACAGTACACAAACACTTCTCGTCTTGCCTTAAAAGCGAGAGATCAGTTTGCAATTTTTTTGTATTACAGAAATTGCCCACCGATAACTATTTTCTGTATGTCACACAGACAAGTTTGGCTGCAGATACAGAAGTCGTTTGCCGCACGTTCATTGCCATCTTGTTTTTTTTTGTGTCAAATTTAGCAGTTTGCCACAAATGCTATGCTGGCATCTTTCTAAAACCTGTTCCACCATCATAAAATATACAGGTCAAATTCCCGACATCCCTTGTAAGAATTCAGGATGTCTTTTTTCACTTTTGTCCAAATGTAATTTAAAGACCCTGAAAAACTATTTCAGGGGAGGCTGGCCCAAACATGAGCAACTGTTGTTTTTTTTCCCCCACAGATCAAGACTTCATTTTGAGAAGCATTAATAGTGAATGGGAAATAAAAAAATGGCACGAAATTCACAATTTTACATCCTTGCTCATGGAGCAAAATTAAGGGAAATGTCTTGTTTTAACTGGCAGCAATGTACATGTAGCCATTTTTTATATTTTAATACAAGTAACATGTTTACAAATGTTTGTCCTTGCTGTTATGTTAATGTGCAATAAAGTTGCTGGAGCATTTTAGTAATTTGTTTCTGGTGCTGTATTTTCTACTGGATGCAAAGAAGTAAATGGGAATGAACACCTTTTCCTACTCCAGGCTGTAGATCCATTTTCGTCTTTGTCAGTGTGCATTAAAAATGTCCATTTATTTCTAGCAGTGAATCAAGAAATTAGGGAAAAAAACAAAGAAGCTCGGCTAAGGAAAACACCAACATAAACTGAATAATTGCTTTTGGGATAATATTCCGTTTGGTCCAGGTCTTAAGCAGCCAATAATTATAAAAATAGTATATTAAACTTAATTTTGCAAAGGGATTTGCAGTTGCTTAGAATCAGACAAGATAATACATTGAGTTACTGTAATTTTATAAAAACCCAGACGCACAGAATTAGATACCATTTGTCATTCAGTAGCAGTACATTAAACAGTCATCCCATTTAAAAAGAAAAGCCCACAGTGCTACAACACACTAATGGTCTAAAAAGTAGTTTGGGACTCAAGGAAATTACATTGGATTTTCTTTGAAACTTCATGTAGTTTACTTTGAAAGAAATGTACTGTAGTTCACTAATATCGCACACCAACCTGGAGACAAAATGGTTGATAAGCAAGGTGCAGACCAGTGCATGTTCCATTATTAATGAAAATTACTTAAATGTGTATAACAATCACACTAAGCATGTCTTTATATAAACCATTAAAACAGTTTCATATTAAAACACTTTTATTAGGCATAAATTACAGAATTAAAAAAATGATTGCACACATTTAAATCTGGATGCCAGATCATGTCCAAATCGGTGTAAATGATGCATTCAGGTACACCTTGTATTCCACACATGGCAACTGCTCAGAGAATTAAAAGGTATGCTAGACTGCATCTGGTTTCCTAAGGGTAAAAGGAAATGGCACATTTCAGTACAGTACTGTGTGTTCAAAACCCCTCCCAACTTCAGAAAACATGAGAAAAAATGTATGTATAGTTTGTTTAACTATGTAGGATGGTTAAGCTGTCATGTAGCTAGCTGAAGCTTATTCCCTTCCTGGGTTGTTTTTTCAGCTACAGGGTCTTTTTGATTGGTGTATATAGTAAATTCCACTCAATGTCTCTTGAACAAAGCTTTCAAAGGTCAGATTGAGGATCATTTCAAACAAGAGGGGGCACGTGTTTACAAAAAAGAACAAGCATAACTGTCACAACAATAGCATGGCTTCATCCAAATGATCAAGACAATAGAAATCACTACAATTTTACGACAAACATACAGCAGTGAAGCTTCTCCCTAGAAAAGGAGAATGCTTTTCCCCATCTGTACCATAACTGAATATAAGATTACACCAGTGTCAGACTGAAGGGCAAACAGCTCAAACACACGAAGATTAATCTCAGACCTGTCCTCAGCAGAGGACCAGTCTTCCTCAGTGAAAGTATAATTACCAAGCTTGTCTTAATACTAACTGATTTTCTTCCAAGATCACAATTTTTGAGTTTCTGATTTGGAATTAACATTTAAGCAATTGTTTAGACTGTACAGCACTGTCCTTGTTTGACCTGTGGCTTAAATTTGGTAAGCAGAAGACTAGGAGAGGTCTAGAATATAAAAATAAGTCTGAGGAGAAAAAGGCCAGTGTTTGGACAGTAGCCAAAAAAAAATAAATGACCACCTAAAACAACTCAACCTTGACCTGTCTAAATCTCTCTCAGCACATCTTCCATAATGTAACTATTTTCAATATCCTTCAGACAGAGGGCAATGTAGTACTTAATTAAGATTTATAAAAAAATAGCTGTCTTCTTCGTTACAAACACACACTTATAAATAGCCAGAACACACAAAACAGGATGTCAGTCTTCCTCTAAGTGGCCTGTCTCAAGCCAGCCGGATGTAAGGTGGAGGTTTGGAAGACATCTCCTCCTCCTCCTGCTCCACAGTCCGGTCACTGAACTGCACAGGGGCATTGAACAGCCTGTCGTCGCCATGTGCTGGAAAGAAAGGGTCCCCGTGTCTTTTAGTGTGAAAACTGGCAGTACAATAGCCTGGTCTTGTTCAAATGTAATCAAACTCCAAGGCAGAAAATGACTGGCTCTCCCTCAGTGATACTCCCAGGTATTGGACAACACCTGGATTCGGCGCAAGCAGAGAAGCAGAATTTAAAATGACTATACAGTACATCATTTTTCATTAGGAACACTTAATGTTTCCTTAAATTTGTACCCATCACATGCAATGTCTTTAACAGCAAATGCAGTGCCAGTTCTTCCCTGAGGACTCAGCAGGACCTTCAGACCCACTGGAAATCACAGCCTGGAAGCTCTACTTGATGCACTGATGTACATGCCCTCACTTCAATCACACTAGCTCAGATACCCTCTCTCTTTATATACATATAGCTGCCTTTAGACAGGTGAGAGGTGCTGCAGTGATACTAACGTGATTTTCCTCTACCTTGCCAGGTGCAGATCAGCTCTGTCTGTGGATTCTGGTCATCCTGTGAAACCAGTGTTTCCTGTCAGACAAACACAAAATATTAAACTTCTACGTTTCACCATCTGATTTCAAAGATTGTTTTTTTAAACGGAACAGGCACCTAGAAAACAGACGGATCTACATGTTGCTGTAGCCTAGTGGTGTCCTTGTGACACTTGTGAAAAAATAAAGTTTGATATCAAAATATTTCACTCATTATCTGTCAGTTTTATCACATATCGCCACTTTAGATCTTATTTATCCTTAAACCTCCATTGTGTCTGAAAACAACACATGGTACAACATAAGGCTGCAAGAGCATTTCATTACAATGCACTCTGAAAAAACGATTTAATAGTCAGTGCAGTATGCCACCTATTCAGGGATGAGCTCATTTGTATCAGTGTGTAGAGTTATAACTCTGCACAGCTGAGCCAGGAGTGGTAGCAGTCTGCCATTTTGTAGCTGCAGGTGCCCATCAGGACCTAATGAAAGGGGAAAGTATCTCTCTCACCACCAGTTCTTCATGCAAGAGGCAAGTGAGTTCTAAGTTGGAATACCGGTGATGTAATGCCTTGTTCAAATAAGTACACCATTTTGGGTTTTGCTTTGAAAGCTGAAGAGTAAATTCTTTATCACCGTTAATATGCTGTAATTTTATTTTATAAGTTGTCCCCCAAATCAACACAAAATATAAATCACACATTCTCCTTTCGGCAAACACTTTGTATAATCTAGTATCGTGGTATACAGATATTATGCAGCCCAATGTCCTGCTATACAGCAGCTGTGACAAAATTATGTTTTTTTTTAACAAAGCAATTAGACTCAAGTATTTTTTAAACCAATTTATATCCCATCTGTTCCTTGACAACTGGCGCTGCTTCATGAATCCTGGTCACAGTCAGCCAGTGATGTGGCCCCAGGCTGAAACACATGATCATCAAGATTAACCTGGTTTTAGGAGAATCTCTTTACTGGCCTTGGAAAACAAAATTGTAAGTTTTTTACAATTTTACGTCCTACTGAAGCTAACAAAGACTAAATGGAGTAAACTGTTTTAGAATCCTTTGTGTGTGTTTTTTTAATAAAAAAACCAACGTCCATCACCTGGAAAGTTGGCATTCAAGTTGCTCATGGTCTCCTCAAGTGAGGATATCCCAAGTATTTTACATTCCTGCCCCTGCAAAAACCAATTCCTTAAAGACCCCCACCCCGCTACCAGATTAGCTTGTTTTTTTTGCTTTTTGGAGGAAGCAGATCGCACACTTCTTCATATACTTGAGCGTCGGATCACGTGTCACGCAGGGTTGGGGGCACGCGGGACGGCAGCCTGCAGCCCGACCTCCAGTGCTCACCAGTCCCGTGACGCTGTCGTAGCAGGCGCAGTAGGGGAGGCTCCGGCAGCCCAGGAAGGCAGTGAAGAGTGCCAGCACAATGCTGAAGGAGCAGGCCAGCAGCATCGTGATGTTCGCGCCTTTAACAATCTTACTCAGGATAAACTTCTGCAGACAAAGGGAAAAAAAACACAGGTATAACTTTCCCTACAAGTAACAACAGGAACAGAGATGGATTTTAAACTACGCTGAAAAGGAGGTGTAAAAAGGCCTCGACAACTCAAACAAATCAACTTTATGGAGTTAAAAGCAAATGGTTGCTAGGCAATGGTCTCACAGCTATAAAGACATTTCATTAAAGAGTCTCAATGGTGTTTCTCAAATGGGAAACAATTCCCACCCTGGAATACTAGAAAAGTTTCAGGAACAAACATTACAAGTACATAATTGTATATGCACTCCCCTGTGGCTTTCAACATGAGTGTGCCTTGAGGTTAGCAGCACACAGACTTGTGTAGTGTGCACTGCTGTTGAAGCAATAGTGGAAGTGCTCAGATCCCAGGGCCTGGATGTTTCTGAAAGCTTTTACTTAATTCCCAGACTGCAGCCAACAGTTCTGACAACACTGGTGTATAGAAATATGCGTCATAAAAATAACGGAGGAACAGGGAAAAGGGAAGGGAACAAATTGTTTGGACTCAGAGAAAGTTAATGTGAATAAGAAAACAGCAATAAGAAATGGAAATAGCTAAACGGGTAAAGTGTCTTCTGTGAAATAGCACTACAACATGGTGGACAGGTGATCTCATTTGCTTTATTTAGATACAGACACATTGAAATGGATATCTTAACTCCCAATTTTGTTGAGTTGTGGGGCAAAAATTAAAAAAAATGTTGAGAAAAGGATATGGCCATAGAATATACATTTTGAGGAGTAAACCACAAAAGAAAATGGTTACTGTTTGCGGAGTGTGAATGTGATCAGGATGAAAGAGCTCATCGTCGTCTTCGCCGTAGCTTAACGTCAAGGAGGAGTAGACCACTATGATGATTGTGGTAAAACAAGAGAACACTGAAACTGCGATCATTGCATTCACCTGCAGAGGAAAACAACACCCTTACTAAGCAAATTCACAACTTCCAACTCCCAGAAACACCCTGCAGTGACTTCACAACTTAACCCTTCCAAATTTTCTTTATGCAACCAGAGCAGTTTCACAGAACAGATGGCTGTGTTCTCCAAAAAAGAAACCAACTTTCTTTGAAACCAGTATTTGAATGTTTAAGTGTTAGTGAACAAATTTGCCACATTATATAGTAGCAAAAAGTATTTTAGATTTAACAAGTTTTAATACAAGTACATTTCCCCTTGTTTCTTTCTAAAGGCAAGATGACAAGGTAGGTTCTCATACTCTACTCATAATGGCTTTTGCCACTAGACAATGCATACAGTTTGTTCACTAAAGTTAAATATTCAAAAACTTCTCTCAATCTTCAGATACAAAAGACATCAACGATTTCTTTGATCAAATAAGGCTGGGTAACGTGTCAAACTGAAGAAATTGCTGTACAGTATATTACATGATATTTTCTTTTAATTACTGATAAACCTTTTGACCCACAGACAAGTATGGCACAATTACAGTATATCTAAATAGATGACCTATATTAAAATTGAGTATTATAAAACCACAAATGGAAGACTGCAGACTTACCAAAACCCAAACATTGTATTTAAAAACTTCAATAAAGCCAGTACAGTAACATGCAGCTTACCAAGACTGGATTCTTTCTCTGGGAGGAAAACAAAGCTAACACTCCTGGGATAGCCATAACCTAAAACAGACAAAAAACACATTCTTAAAAAAAAAACTCCACTTAGGAGTGATAGGGGTCATGATGCCGAAAAAGGCTTGTAATTTGAATTCATTAAGCAGACCGATGTAAAATAAGAAAAAAAAGTGTAAAATGGTTGTGTCACGCACTATAAAAAATAGTCTAAAAGGGTTCAGTTTTAGTCTCTCACATTTCTCTTTCCAACAATCTTAAGAACTACACCTCAAGATCCAGAATACCGTACAGGATATCAATAAACAAAACTCAATGTAAATAGAGCTGCTATGTGTCCAGGGTGTATACAATATATTATGTCCAAGAAGTGCAGTATGCCGAATACAATGCAAACTGTATGTCCATGTAGCCATTATGGGTGATTTGCTGAAGGAGCTGCAGGTTGGCTATTTAGCAGTTATATTATATATATATACTGAGCATTAAATATAGTCTCCTGTAACATGCAAATTCACAACATTATCAGCAAATTATTTTTGTTGCAGGTACACTGTTTTTCTTTGACCAGATGAAAGCATTAATCAAAAAGCGATCTACTGTGAAAGTCAGAGGCTATTAGCAGGCATGATTGCTTTTTGAAGCTACATTCCCTAAATAATAATAATATATTATATACTGTACAATAATAATAATAATAATAATAATAATAATAATATTCCCTAAATATTGCAACAGGTTTAATTTGCCATCCTGTGGGATTCCGCCCAATTTCTCTCATGGAATCTGGTCAAACTTGTGCCAGTTTATCAATAAACTCAAACAAACCCATGGGAGAGCCATCATATTTTCATCACACAGAAACTGCTGTTGTCATTTGAGTGGCACAGCATTAGGATGCACATAGCCCTGCGAGAATGCTGTTAAGTCTGGATGCAGGAACGACAGTACGCGTCGTCCCAGGACTAGATCAATTTTTTTACTGTGCAGCGTGGTTACACTCAACCACTACAGGGTGATTTCTGTAGCTATTAAACACCCCTACCTAGACCCTCACACTTGGACACCCCCATCAGGTGGTCTTTTGTACTCAACATTAACGGATCACTGTCCACATCTGAACCACCCTTGCTCATTCTCATTATGGTGGTCTATACATGACACGAAAGGGACTCATTGCCTCCATTGCTGACAAGCCCACCTGAGGTTCAGTATTATTCACACCTCATTGGATTGCGTTGGTGAATACTGCTTGTGTGGTCAGCTGGCTTACGCACGGTGACTGGTTCGCTGCCTCCTCACAGTCGAACTGCTGATGCGTGGGCTTTTGTGACCTGGCGCTTCTGCTGCAGTTGAACTGGCAACGTGAAATGGATCATGAAGATGGAGCATAACGATCTGTCACCCTTGCCAGTGTCTCCCAGATAGCGGCCAATCACTGAGAGACCGTGTCTGGCTGTAAGGTTGTGCCAGGTCTGAAACTGCTGGCTATGTACATGCCAGACTGCAAGAGACAGTGCTCTGAAATCATTATTTTCTTGATAAAGGAGGGCATAGGGATTGATTTCTGTATTTTTCAATCTGGATTTTCACCAAGCCTGATATGAAAATTGAAAACATCCATATCCCACCAATGAGGTGACTTAATGCTTATGAAACAGCCCAACACTGGAGTACGATCCCAGCCAGGAATAATCCATTAATCTATAGATGGTCTAAATGTAGTCACACGTAATCAAGTGGCAAGTTCATTTTGATGCTCAGTATTAGTGGATCATAAAGATGACTATATACAACATCTCCTTCATTAGAAAGGGAAGAGTTCAAGTCATGGGCCTCCTGCAGTGATTCATTTCTTCAGCAAGTACTTACTGACAAAAATGCATTAACCAGACAAAAGCTCACCACAGAAACAGACAGGCTTGCCAAAGAGAATGCCTGTTAGTGATCTCATAAAAGTGAGTGTGCCAGTGGAAGCAGCTGCAGTTAGTTTTTTATGATGCGGTGGTCTGGAAGGAGACTTCTACCAGTTTTCTAAAGGCATAATATAGTTTCCCTTCAATGGCACCAAGTTCATCCATGAAATAAACACTCGGGTGAAGCATGAAAAAGCAAAAGCACATTTTTTCTTAAAAGAGGAAGGCGGTCCTAAACCAAAACCACATTTCAACCAATGAAAAACACTCAAAGCATGAAAACTGAGCCTAACAGGCTTGTCAGGAAAATGTCAAAATGTCTGTCCGCAGTGTGGAATAAATGAACGTGGGACTTTGGCAGGGTTACTACACAGGAACCACTTCTAAGACAGGAATATATCAAATGCTGGTTACATTGGTACCAGAAGCAGTAGGACTGATGTAATACATAACCTTATGAAGCAATTACAGGCAATTTAGATCTACCGAATTTAAATCTACAAAAAGGAAAAACAGAATGTCCTTCCAGGGACACACACAAGGAATCCTCAAAAGTCCCAGACAATGAGACTTTAGTTTGAAAGGATTTCTCCTCAGACAAGAGGTTTCTAGGTTTTATTTAGAAATTCGTAACCAACAAATATTTTTGTTACCTCCTATACACACATTATGTTTATATTCCTGATGGTTAAAAAGAAATCAGCCTGAACTCTGAGACAAATAAAGGCTTTTCACTAAACCAGGATCTAGTGAAAGACTTAGTGACTGCTAATTGTTGTTCAAAGAGAGTGAAACAGTTGGAGAACATGTAAATAATATATAGTTATCACAATAAAATATAAAAATATATAGTTTTCACAATAACCAAGTTTAAAATATGATATTTGTAAGGGAAACTGTAGATAATTGGGGCCTACCAAGATGAATCCAGGATGTTTAATTACAATAATGAATAAGTGTGAAATGAGAGGCAATGGGAAAGGCTGAAAACCATTGCTATCAAGAAAAAAAACAAACTCATGTACTCTGGAATTCTGTACCAATGACAAGATATACACTACTCTTTGACTCATTAATTTAAACCAATTGTTTAAGGAAGTCTTCCAGAATTCCATCTAGAAAACGTTCTAACACTTTTAATATGCTCATCAATTAAATTGATGTGCAAAACAACTGATGAAATCCTTTGCAACCATTCTATCGATGGATCGATTTGATTTGGAAGGAAGCGACTGTACAAATCATCTAGCAGCTCTGATCAAATCTGCATGGCAGTCTTACAAGTAAATGGCCCTGGTGGGACCTTCTCACTCTAATAATCCCTCAGATAACACATGTTTGAAATGTGAATGAAGCAATAATGTTTCAGAAAGCGACATGGGGATGGAGAGGAGTTCTGGTCTGAACACACTCGGAGCACAATTAGTCACCCCGTCACCGGCTTCCTCACCACACTCCAGCTCCCCAGCCCAAAGTAGGATTGACGTGCTTACCACTCCGGCCCACAGTGGTGCCCTGGTGTGGCTCAGCGTGGTGTCCTTCCTAAAAGCGGCATCCATGAAGCCGCAGACCACACACAGCCCCGCGCAGGCGATCTGCAGGATGCCCAGCACGACCATGCTCCTCTGGTTGAAGATGAAATACCTGTAGCGGTCCATTCTGGGTCACCAAACACACCAGCTCCCGCACTCTGTGTGGAAAGCCCAGCCCTTCAAGAAGCCAGGGAGTGAACTCTTTTATACACTTCCTCACAGTATTTAAAATGCCGAGCGCATCCCTCAAGCATCTGCCTAGCAAAGTGTTACGGATTAGCACTTACATTATCACTGGCTATCAAATGGTTCACATACCTTGCCATTTATAGGGGGCAATACTGTGCTTCTGAAAAGGCTGCCACAGGTTTACTATAATATCAACGCACAATTGCTACACTTGGATTTTGGACACAGGCCAGCACAAGAGCAAAGCAATAAATAAAACACCTAAATTTAAATAGAACGCCTTTAATAAAATAGATAAAATGGTAATTTGAGTCATTTATCCATCCACCCATTTTCTAAACACTAGATGCAATACGGGGCTCTGGGAGGGCCGGAGCCTATCCTGGCAAGCAATGGACACAAGGTAGGACAAATCCCATACAGGACACCAGTCCATTGCAGAGCCAGTTTTCCCAGATGCCAATTACTTATCAGTACTGCTTGTCTTTGGACTGTGGGAGGAAACTGGAACACCCCGAGAATTCCCACATTAACACAGGGAGAGCCTATAAACTCCAAGCAGGTCCGGAATTGAACCCAGGGTCAAAGCGTAGTGTATTAAAAAAAAATAATGAGAAGGCAAAATATCAGCGGGATTACAGGGATAAGTATACCAAGAGGTGGCACTGTTCTCTCCCCACATGCAGTAAAACAGGGCACAATGCCAGCTGCTACCTGATCTGAAAAACTTTTTTATTTGCTGTGGGCCATTATCTCCCTGCAAACAACTTACAACTAATACATTTTCATGTGGTGTACTTCATGAGTTCACCGTTTTCTATTCTGCTAGCCACTGGGATAGCATTACAGTCAGCCAGTTATAGACATTATTCTCTCAGTGGAGACTGCGAGTGAGGACGTTTGGGTTTCCATTAAATGTGCTTGTCATCAATCGACTCTAGCACGAACAGATGAGGGGACGAATATTTGCTCCCATTTGCACCTGTGAGCCTATTATATTAAAATTCGATTGCACCACACTGAGTCATGTTTTTCACACTAGCAAGTGCATAGACAACTTATCCTAAAGGCTCATTACACAATATTTTTAACGTGGACGAAAATCGGAGAAGGCGCGGAGTTCTGGAAGGGCAGATGTGTTAATATCATATCGTAAATCGCACAAAGAGGGAGAACTAGTAGTTCAAAGTAAAGCCATTGCTGCTCTATGTGGCATTAAAAAATAAAAAGTCTTCTAGCAATCCTGAACATTTTGAGACAGAAATACAAGTTAATTGATAACTGTAACATGACCTGTTACTTGTAATTTACAAAATTACAGTTCTACTTGATTAAATTACTAGGAGCCTGCTTTAGCGATGGGGTAAAAGTGTAAGGTAGAATAGCTTAAGTCTTTAAAATTAGTTGCCTACATTTGCATTTTGAGCTCTGCACACAGTTATAATTGTCTCTATACAGAACGAAAATGAGCGCAGGTTTAGTTTTGCTGTATTTGCGTGCTGTGTACACTAGGGAAACTGAGCAAGTCTTTTTGTTCCATTATGGTTCAGGCAAATCTAGATCCTGAAATAATTTTGTTAGAAAGTGGATAACAAAATAAGAACAGGAGCAGCATGAAATCAAGAAATGCTAATTAGGAGATCCATTAATTAAGGAACTGCTAAAAAATACTTTCAAACCCATCTTTTATACTGTGTTTTCACGTTATTGTAATCAGCAATATCATATAATTATCCAAATGTAAGCACATACTATAGTGCAGATAGTTCGGTGCAGTTAAAACGTTTTATTTTGATCGTCCAAACATTACATAATGAAATAATTACCAATATTGCCAACAAAATATAGGGGGCTTAACGAAGCAAAAATCTTTCGTAAGACGACGTTCTGTATATTTATCAAGGTTGTTTAAAACATGAGTTATTAAAATGTTCTTTTGATTTTCTATATAAACAAAGACTAACGGGTGAGACGATACCAGAGTAAACGGGACAATGTTTGGCAGATGCAAAATGCTTTGTTTGGTAGCAGGAAGAGCGGATAAATAAACCACATCAATAAACTTTCTTTTGCACTGAGCCAACACGCCATGCAATATTTTTCAACTTTAAAAATTACAAAAATGAAAGTTTTTCAAGATCTTACCTTTGATACAAAGTACGACACTTCTTAAGGGTTCAGTTCCTGCTTGGCTTTTTAGTTAACGCTAACAGGTAAATGCTACCATTCTCTGTTATCCATTAATCAGACTGTGCAGGTGAAACGCTTGGGTAGGGTTTTTTAACTCCTTACCTGCCGATGGCTTTCGGTCTTGTTCAGTTTTCAGACATCCTTAATGTATTTAACACACCATGAACAGTAATACGTTTTATGTCATCGTTGGGTACATATTTACATTATTCAATGCTATTTTGAGACATTACCACTTAATACTTTGAAATGGTGGGAAATTTTGTATTCAGGAGAACATTTTTTTCTGGCAAGCAATTAGAAGTATATTTCAATATATTTCAAATATTACTAACTAATTAAACCTGCTAAATTTGACAATTTCACAGTGAAATAACACAATTACTATGTTAATGTAATAACTAACTCTACAATTTTATATATTGTATTAATGCTGTATATTGTACTTTATTGTACTTGTTTATACCTTGTTAAGTCAGTGAAATAAAACTAAGAAAAAGCCACCAATGATGCTTGTATATATACTTTTATTATTTCTTGGTTTACAGTACAAGAGAGGCCTCCCAGACGTCAGTATAATTACAAAGGCTCGCCGTTGCCATTTTCACATTTTTCCTCATTTTTTCTTATATGCATTCCTACACACAGCTAAAAAAATCTACATTCAACACACTTTTACGCACAAACACTCTGCAAACAGGTTCTTGTAAACATTCGCCACAGTGGCTCACCTGCTCATTTGATCATATGCAGAAAATAATCCACAGATCTAAGGCTATGAATGCCTGAAAAATATGGTAATAAACCATTCCCTGGAGATACCTGGGATTCCTACTAAAGACAGCAGGGATGGGACTGGAGCTAAAGGGATCCCTCAGTTCCACTGAAGTCTAACACCATCAGAGGCAGCTGAATCACAACTCACCAGGTGAATAGCAGGTGTCTCATCTGCACTGTCAGAATCAATGCCTGACAGAATAATTCCTTGCAGTTTTCATAGCGCTACTTATCCCAAAGGATCTTGAGCGCTTTCTTACGAAAGGCAGTTCTTTACCTAATGACTCTATTCTAATGTTTCACTGTGTTTTACTCCCAGTATGAAATGTTATGGCTTTTACAAAATAAAACTGTTGACTTAAACAGGCTAGCTTTGTTCTCCCTTGTGTGAAAGACAATACACTTGTTTCACTGCTTTAGCACGACAACGAGAAGTTTCTATGTTCTTATAAGGTTGGTTACTATTATGCAACTTCATACATTTCGACATACTCTTAATTTGGCATCTTTAGGTTCAATCCAAGAAAAGCTGGTATGAAATATTAAGTTTCTTCTAACTCCTAAAGGGTTTACTGGTTTTCCCGGAGTCCGCAAATACTATGTCAAAGCTGTAAAAGATGAAAGTTTACTGTATTGCATTTCAGATTTCCCACCTGTGCCATTTGTAAATCACAGTCATCTGATACACATTGTCACTTTCTTGTACAGTACTTTTGTGTTAGTATCACATGCCTACAAACGTATTATGTGTGTAAGGAATGGAAAAAAAATCTTTCACTCTTCATTTTGCTTTCACAAAGGTAAATAAATGCAAAAGTATTTCTAGCTTGCTTTGTTAATACTAAGACTTTATAATAAAATGAAAAGTGGTCTCAGGGTCAACTGACGTTTTAGTTATTCACACTGCTTAATTATTTCCTGTTCATTTGACAGATTACAATTAACCTGCAAAATGAACAGTTGAAACACATTGCTTACTGTAAAATTAATTATATTCCTTATATGTATAATAAGGTTATGCGTTGTAGTCACTTTGTTTAATAATAAAGAGACATACAGTACAAACAATAACTGAAAATTTATAATGTAGTAAATGGTGACTGAAATTATCTCTTTAAAATAAACATTTTAATTTATATATTGGTTTAAAACCAATTTAGCAATTAATCAGGCCCTGGACATTACTTCAAGAATATTCTAGATTATGGCAGATGTAAAGAGAAAAATGTGTCACTTAAATGTTTTTCTTTGTAGATAATGTTTCTAAAAGCAAGCAGCTATCTTAGTGATGAAGATATTGCTATAATAAAGTGTTACACAGTTTATATTTTTAAAAGTATCTATTCTAATGAAATCCATTATTGTGAAGTCAGTTTCCAAAAAACATACAATGATTAGCATGAATAAGTGGGTCTTGAAAAGAAAGGAAAACAAATTTTCAGATGGATGACTTACTCAAATTGTAAATAAACTCAAAGTACAAGGGTAAATTACTAGAAGTACTTCTGCTTACAATACAAAAACAAAATAGAAGCCCATTAAGTCCCATGCATTTAAGCATGAAGATTTTAAACATGAAACACACAGCTCTGCATAAATAACTGACATGGCAAAGTGCCATCAGCAACACATTTGAATGAAATTACACTTTGATGACCATTCATAAAACCTAATTTTGTTTTAAATTCATTGCAACCCTGATTGCGGGGGACCCATTGTAGCTAGACTTTCCTTTTAGAAGTGGCTAAGGTGCAGGTGATACTTACAAATGTTAGGGCCAAAAATTTACTGATATCTATTTACAGAATAGAAAGAAGATAACTTGTGCTGAAGAGAAGGGTATGGTATGTTCACATCCCAAGAGAGGAGAAGTACATTAGAAAACACATTGACCACTCCACCTACTGTATGCTGGAGGATTTGAAACCTGTGCAGCTAGAGGAACGAGGCATCTTTCCTGATTTTATCCTGGTTAATTAAGCTTCCAGACTCAAAGGTTATATGTCTGTAAGGACAAAGTGGAATTCAGCATTTCAAACATGCTCAAAAGTTACTTCAAATATCTAAGATATACTGTAAAGGTGAACTATCTAAGTCATGGCCAAGATTATACAATGCTTCAAAAAACTTCTTCAAATTGTGAGCCCATACATATTTTTTGTTGTGTTTTTTATTCAATTTTGCATGAGACATCAAACATTAATTAACAACAAGCAAATCTGTGGACCCAATGTCACTAAGACTGTAGTTAGTGGTGGTAACCTGGGTTATTTTTCTTAGTGTACCTGAACTTAGATATCTGAGGGTTTGCATTTGGCTGTAACAAAAACATTATCAATTTAGATCAGGAAAGATAATCCAAATGTTACATTTTACCAGATATTAAATATTCACCCAGGAACAACACACTTTACATTCAATTGGGGAATCAAAATAAAAGATTGAAGTATTAAGTTAAAATTAAGAATTTAGGCTGTCAGAAAATTGGTACAATTACTGATTAATCCTCCAGCATACTGAGTGCAGTTTTACATTTTCTGCGGTGGACAAGCAAATTAAATAGTCATTGCACAAATATGATCATAAACATCATACTTGATCTTAGTGCTCAAGTACAGTATTTGTTCAAACACCATATTTGTCCAAATATCAATATAGGTGCTTATGTACAGTTAAGTGAATCTGAAATGATATATGATTTGGTACATTTTACTTGTTTGCTATTGTGATTGTAGTGCATTGTGAGCCTCACTCAAACACACCACAGTAACAGTATGATTTCAGAATTTAATGTGCTTTTAAAAAGTTAGTAAATGTTAAAAACAATTTATTTTCACACATATTGGGAATATTCTTAACTTTCTTTATGCTTTTAAATAAAAATGATATTGAATTAACTGCTCATTATAATGGATACAGCATGTGACAACACTCTTATCAGATTATTCAGAATGTTTCGCTTACCCAAAGACAAGAATATCCAATAACCCCTAACAGTGAATGCCTAAACATAATTAGTATATGAATTCATTTGAAATTAAGACAAACAAAAAAAGTAACAAAAACGTATTACTTGGTTTAATTTCCAAGAAAATGAACTAGAAACTGATTGAAATCTCACATAAAAGTTTTAAATGATTTGCTCAAACAAAACTTGAGTTACTGTAGATCAATAATGATAAAAATGAATGGGAAACAAACCTACTGTATATTTTCACCTAGGATGTATTGTTTATGTCATTTTTAGCAGGGTTGTTTTATTTAGATTTTAAGGACCAATGCGTCACTTTAGCTGACCATCACAGTTCCATGTCCACATACTATACACACCAACTGCAGAGAATAATCAATGCCCTTTTCAAAACCATGTGGGCTCACGTGGAATTCCTGAAAATACTTTTTACAAGCACAGTTTACATCTGAATCAGACAAGGTGTGGCAAAGTAAAGTCACTGTGTAACTTCACGTGGGGAGTGACAGGAATACCCATCAGTCATTGTTAAAGGAATAATAATTATGTGTCACTACATCATTTCTAAAGGATCAGAAACAGGAAAAAAAACATTTCTTCTAAGACTTGGATTAAGGAATCATCAAATTTCAGCAATTGCAAACATTTCAATAACACTACAGTCAACGAAAGTCACTGTACAGTATTATTGTGAATGTACTATGCATGCATGTATAGAGGAAAAGGAGAAGCATAGCTAATGCTTTTACGCTCAGTGATTAAATGTGATAAATTAATTCTGGCCTCTACACTAAATGTTAGCTAAACGGATACGGAGTTCTAGCCAGTTCGAATCCCTGGTTCTTCAGTTTTCTACAGAACTGTAGTGCATAGCTCCTTGTTGTTATTTGTTCTATGTTCTCTGCGGTTAGTCCCTGATGCAGTGCTGCTGAGCGGCCCTCACTAAGGCGACGCCTGGAAAGCCTGCAGCTCCTGCTTGTACCAGTCCGGAGCCTCAGGCCCACTCTTTCCTGAGGGTGTGTGGTCGTATCCGTAGGCAACCGTCAGCTCCTCGTCCCCCTCCACGGCCCGGAGAGTGCGGATACATTTGATGGGGCCGAATCGGGGGTGAACGAACCTGACGGCAGAAATCCGCTGTGAGAACCTGAACCTTTGACATCTTTGATCACAGACCAGTGAAACACTTTTATACCTTGATTCACTGAGATTAATCAAGGCTGATTATTACTGTCTGTAATGATCATTTCTGAGGTTTACTGAACCTTACTGATCCATCCTTGGAGCACAGCAATAAAGATTCCAGGTGAATTAAGCTAGTTTACATGAGGTTGCTTAGGTCTACATCCATAGGTATTTATAGAGCCTTAGAAATTGTTTCTGCAACTCATCAGAGGTTCAATACAGTATGTTCATATGCTGTGTCTTAATCACTCATCACTAGAAATTTTAATGACCTTTTTCTGGGATGCAATTTATTTAAATAACTTATTCATCATTTTATTAAGTTAAATATTATTTCTGCATCTATGTGTACAAAAGGTTTTTTAATATATTTTTTAACCCTAAAAAAGTATCAGGATTTCATACACACATAATGAAAATCATTTTTAGAACTCATCACACTGCAAAACTGCAGACTAGAAAAGAAATCATCATTTAAAATTCTCAGGTGAAAATGATCATTTTCTTATCATTAACAAAGAGCAAATCTGCTTCTATTGTATTGGAAAACAACATAAGCCATTCTAAGAAATCTGCGCTATGTACAGTAATACATATCCTCCAAAATATAGTCCTTGGAAACGTTGCAAACATTTTCAAATGAATGGAGACATCTGTAGAGGGATAAAAACTGGGATGTGAAAATATCAGACAACTACTCCAGCTACATAGAGGTTATAGAGCACCCAGTGTAAACTGAATGAAACCAAACAGAAACTGGCTTCACAAATGTAGAGTCGACACCAGACAGCTGGATGCTTATGTGCCTGAGAACTTAAGCACCAGAGGAGAGTCACTGCCAGTGGTGTGCTATTCTCTCACGATGCCATGGCTCACTCAGGTGATTTACTATATATATATATGTGTGTGTAGGCACTCATTCATTCATTTTTCATGCCCCAAGAGTATATTTGTAACAGTAAGGTCTGAGATCCAAAAAGTGGTTGAAGCTCCTTTGCAGGATTGATTCTAAATAGGTCTCAAGTTTCTGAAAGGGTTTCTGAAAACATTGACCTTAAGAGTCCTAAATTACACTTACAGTAGTTAAAGGGTTTGGATATGCATTATAAAAGCATTTTTTCCCACTTTTAAGCAAACTGCTGAAAGCCTAATGAAATCTAATTTTTTCTACAGAACAATGTTTCTGATTATGGAGGTATTAAAATGTATTGGTGGATGGATCTATATGATATTTACATCAAGCAGACAGCAGACAACAGCACTGTCAAGGTTATAAGTTCTGAAATCCATCTGGACTGAAAGCCTGTGGCTACCTTTACCCCCCTTGGTACTTACGGGTCATATTTGCAGTTGGGAGTGAAGGAGTGGTTGGCTTTGTGCCCCAGTGATGCACAGTACTTCTTTATATTGTTGTATGGCTCAGGGACATCTATCACTGTGTCTTCATCGAGAGATATTGTGTTCCCATTGAGGGACCAGTCTCTGCTGTCCACCTATACCAGGATTTTAAAAGAATTATTATAAATAGTATTAAGAGAGACATTGAAAAGCAGTATAAAAGCAAATAATATCAAGTGAAATTTCAATACAATTCAAGTTAATTTGCAGTACTGCTGTATATTTTCTTCTGTTCTATAGTTTCTGTTTTACTTGTTAGGTACTTGTTCAAGGTACAGTAAGTGGTATGTGTATGTCAAAAAGTTTGCTAGATTCCAACAACTAAAGTTTTTTCTTTCTTTTTTTTGGAGAGACTGGCTTGAGAATTTCTGAGGTTTTCTAAGTGGGTGTTACAGTATATGACTCTTTTAACCCTGTGTGTTACTGTTGCATTGTATCCTGAACTTATGAGACAGGATCTGGGTTTTCACAGCCTGTACCTCAAATAAACAGCTTTCTGACAATTGGCAGGATTTAATTTATTTTCATTACAATTGAAACATGGTATTGTGTCTTTTGCCACCATTAGTTTTTTTTATAAAGATGCACACACAAAAAAAAAATATTTTAAAATTTGAACCAGTTATTGGTCTTCTCAAAAGGAAGAAAACATTTTCTATTTCTACCACTTTTTTTCTCAAATTCAGGGGTTGCCAACATGCAACGTTGGGATCTGGAGCTTAAAAGGTTAAGATGTCTCTTTAAATTGTTAACAGCTGAAGACTGGAGGTGGAATAAAAAGGTCTATCTCAGCAAGGCCTAAGTATAAATAAAAAAGAAAACAGTTGTCGAACTGAAATTAAAAAACCTGTACACTGCTAGCAGTGAAGATTTTATCACAACTTTATTTTGTTGGAAAACAGCATGGTGTTGTAAAACACAAATTATTTGCGATTTTTCTATGAGGTTATTAGCTTTTGCACAGTTTGCATTTTCAACAACAATGATTTACCAGCCATATTCAGATGTATTTCCCACTGTACTGTAGTAAGATTTCCAAGACAATCCCTGGTGACCTCACTTGATAAAGAGGCCCAGTGTCTTTCAAGGAAATGATGAAGTTCTCAAAGACACACCAGCACCATCTACAGCCAGAATCAGGCCAGCTGCAAAAAGCATCACAACCTTTTCCATAATAGTGGGTCAAGGATAGAACCAGTAACAGTTAAGTGACAAGGGTTTTTAACTGAATAGTATTCCTAAAATAGTATAGTTCTATAAAACAAGGTGTAAACATGTAGATAAAAATCAACACGTTCAGCAAAACAAGTGATGCACTTCCTGCCGTTATGATTAACGTTCAGCCAGACTGAGGTGTTGCTCACCTCTTGGTGTGTAATGCGAACTCCATTGTAAAAAGCCATGACTGTGTTGGGCTCGGCTTCTGTTTTAGCAAACAATCCTTCCCCAGCCCCTGAGATTAAAGAATCCGCAACATACACCCTAGAGGATGAAAGAAATGTCACTTTGCACTTCCTGTCTTTCATCATTTTCCATTTGTCAGGGTTCAATAAAATGTGAATGTCAGTAATAGGTCATGCAGAAGGAAGGACAGGATAACTTTACTAGACGCAGTTATATTAACAAAGGCGGTTACAAATCTCAGCTCCATTTATCTCTTATTGAGCAAACCAGCCCAGCGCCAGCCAAAGGTTGTCATTTCCATAATTTCTGTGTTTAAATATCTCATACTTTGTCTTTGTTTTTAAGCATTTCTGAAAGCTAGAAAAAAAATAGTGCAAGATATTCTAATGTGATTGTAGAAAGAACTGAAGTTATTACCTCTCCCTTTCATAAGGGTCAGGCAGCAGGCCATTAACAGCAATGCAGGAGGAGGTGGCTTTGTCATAAGTGTAAACTGGGCCTGGAAATCAGACACTTCATGGTCAGTAGGTGCCATAGCATTGCATTTGCTGAACACCCCTTCTTATTTTTACAGATAAATGCCATGTAGATTGACGGCATTCCCCCATAAACATACCTAAAACTAAAATGTCCTTACCTGTTTCACAGTTACCTTGTTTTCAGAAATAACCTCCCGAAACGTCTCTCAGCAGTGCAATGATTTGTTCCACTGTGTTGTTACAAAGACATTCAATTGTTTATTTGTAAATAAAAAAATCCCCCATAATACAAGGAAATTAATTGATTTCCTAAGAGGAAGTAAATCTGCAAAGACATCTTCTCAAAGGAAAATAACTATAAATCATCAGGTTGCTAGCTGTGGATCTGTATCTAAAATTATACTTAGGGAATGTCAGGGCATGTGGAAAAAGATTCTGTCAGTTTCATTTCTGGACAGGTGAGCAACTTAGCAACAGTGTAGGAATTTTGTGGAATGTCATTAGTGTAAGGATGTCATGATTCTTGTGAAACCCCAGCTCTATAAAACTAACACATTAATAAGTTTCAATCAGAAAGAGTCATGACTGCTGATTGCAGGGAGGACCTAAGCATTCAGCCCGGTGAATTTGAATTGGTGGCATGTCATCATAATATAAGACAGGGAACAATTTATCTTAGACTGTATCAGGACTGCTGGTGATGTACTGTAAGACTTGTACTGTGACAAGGTCTACAGTACTCCAAACCACAAACTCCTCTTTCACTAACTGGCCTCTTTCAAGTTCTTCTGACAGAATTTGCTATAGTTCTGACATGTTATTCTTATTGTGGTGTCCCACTTGTCTCTATACCATAATGGGACTTAGACAATTAGCAAGAGCTATAGAAAACACTGTCACTGGACTTGAAGCAGACCAGTTAGTGACAGAACAGGCCGTGGCATGCCAGACTTAGGCCTTGTCACAGCCAAGTCCTTACTCATCAATATCGACTTGCATGGCAACGTCAAGCATCAGATAGAGGTAACCTTGGTTACAGAAGATGGGAAGAAGTTATTTTCTCAGATGAATCAAGGCTTAATCTGTGCTTTGCTGATGGTCACCTGGGTCTGCTGACATCAGGGAGAGTATTTTGCTCTCGCTCTCATTCTCGATTTGAATGAGGTTCGGGAGATGGTATGAGATGTAATTAAAGCTGCTCAATTCCAATCAGAATTTCCATTGTAGAGGATAATTACTTCCCAGCACTAAGTGGACAGCATCTGGATGGAAACAGTCCTCCTCCCACTGTTAATGTAACCTGATGGACACAGACAGACCATTTGCCAACACATAATGCTTGCCTCCACACAGCCAGGGTTACAAGAACACTTCCTTACGCAATGTTCCAAGTGTTGGACTGATCTTCATGATCATGTCCAACATGAAAGTTACTGAACTTTTCCTTAAGTAACTGAAGGGTTGAGATGAGAGAGCAACATCCTCAAACAAAGTTGTTACAGGCCTTAAGCTTTATTGAATCACTCTCCAACAGGCACTTGTCTGTGGATGCCTCATTGAGTTACGGCATGTGTCAGGGCACAAGCTGGTCACACCTGTTAGTAGGCTTTCTGTGACTCCAAACTGCATGTCTTCATGACATCTGTTACATCACAGTCGATCCAAACCATTTCAGACTGTGGCTGTTTCCTTCTTATTGCATTGACATACCAAACCAAGTGAAGAATTTGCTATACGAACCTCCTTTGAGGGGGGTAGTAAATAATAGGACCTTCAAATTAAGCTAGTCATACTCACTGGCACAGTTACTTCTGCAACAATTCCAAACTCAGCACATTGGGACTAGAATGCAACTTTTTTTCCTAGATAAAAAGGAATTATTAGGATATATACACTTTAAACATTTGTCAAACCAATTACTTAACTATAGTTCCACAGCAGAAAAAGAAGTAAAATGGTAAATTGCTGGCTAGTAATATTGTTCAAAAGATGAACGATGGCAAGTACTGTATTGTTAAAAAAATAGTTTCTAGAACTACTAAACTTAAGGAAATAAGCTTTGCTTTCTCTACCAATTAAAACTAATAACCCATGTTAAATTGTTGGATACAGCATACTGTAGTTCAAAATCATCCTGAAATAGGTAATCTGTTTGAAAATATTGTCAGTTAATTGAAAAATGATCTGAAGGCATTTTTGTTTTCAAAATGTAACTCACTATCATGTAATTTATGGTTGATTGTGTTAATGATTGCCAAAAGCTGACTCTGACAGCATGGCTCACTGGAGAGGTCATAGTCCTATAAAAAGTGAGATCATGCAATGTCTTATTGTCGTGGTAGTTGACTAGGTAAAGTCCATACCAGAGCCACAGTGGCTTGCTGGGCCAGATCCGATTCCAGTTTCTGCACCGTAAAATGGATGACATCTTGACTTCTCCCCTCGGGATAAGACGCCCCAAGACAAATTACTCCCTATCATTGCTGGTCCTCATTTCTATAGCTGGGAAGATGGTGCAACAGGGGTAAAGTACTGTACTTCGCTCAAGGGTATAACGCCATGTCTGTAGCTGGTCTCATAAATGACAGGTTGTGAATTCAAGTCCAAGAGCTTACCCACTATGCTACACTGCCCCCGGTACATGACTGGATTTTAGTGTCCGTCACATATTGTATAAGTAGGGTTAAAAATATTCTAACAGAAATAAATACTGAAGGACTTTCGGAATATCTGTAATAGGTCCTAAAGCCATTATTGATTTGGTTTTTACAAGACCGAGTTTGAACACACTTTCCATTCTGGGGCACTTACTGTCAGGCTGTATCTCAAAATGGGGCCGTCCATTCTCCTCAGCAGAGAGAGCGGCCAGTCGAGCCTCTATGAGCTCTCCTTCGATGAACTTGCCGTACAGCGCAGTCCTGCCATCGGGGTAAACATACGCCACCTTGTTGCCTGTCATCTCCCCTTCCTCGTTCACCTCGCCCACCAAACTGCCTCCATCCTGCAGGTACACAGTGGCATCTTGTCAGAAAAGGACCAGGGTTCAGCAGTTGATCATCTCAAAAAATCCCCGATGCCAGGATTGATTACAACAGTTCTCAAATTGTTATATTCACTGTCAGTTACATGCCTTGTATCCACTTCAACCACAGTCAATGAAACTAGTGAAAACTATTTCATTATAGAAACTGAAAAATGCAGAAACTAACAATGACCTAATAAACTCCATTTCTATCCATAAAAACTCTAGTCAGTCAGCCAAAACATGACAATTTAAAGCTCATGTTGCAAAAGTTAAAACCAATTCAAATTTTAAAAAATAATGAAACCTTTATAAATACTTTGGAATTCAGTGGTGTTTTAGTCCTAATGGTATTTAGTCATGATGGTATTCTGACAATCAGATATGACAGTGAGAATCTGGCACTACTTGGTGCCACTGTTTAGATTCTCTCCTGTCCAGTGCAACTGTATCTGTATTGTATCTGTAACAGTCTGTATCTTTATTTCTGTTACACAAAGAAAATTAAAACCCTGACTGAAAAAATGACAGTTCTTACTACAAATTTTTAACTCATGATGTGATCCAACAGGAGATTTTGTTGTCATTTTGTTGTATTTCCACGCATTTTTGCTTTTCATAATACCGAAATCTCCAATTTACAAACTGCTTGTGTGCCAAATGTTCATTTATATGTTAGTTGGTTGTAACTCAGAACCTTGTTTACCATTGAGAAAATGTTATAAATCCCCAGACTTGCCAACCAAAGCCTATTTAACCCATATTACAGCAGTCTGATTGTCAAACATGTACCCATTCTGTGACAGTATTGCCTTTCTTTGAACAGTATTATGTCTAATTTCATTTCAAAAAGTACGACTTCCCTTTTCCTTGATACAGAAGTATCACTAGCAGTACTCTCTTATATCATGCTTATCATCCATGATTAGGGGTTTTTGTTGGTCACAAATGGAAGGATCACAAACTGCTTTCACTAGGAAGGCAATGAACAAAAAACTAAGTACTATGTATAAACGATTCAATGCTTCACAAAGTCCCAAGAACGACAACTGGTACACACATGCTTGATGGCACTCATATATCCTAATTATTTAATTAATGACACCGTATGGATCTCTGTTCATATGTATGGATGGATAAATTGTGTTTTGGTATCTTGGGGAGTGTCTGTACATACAAGAAGAATCTGAATTGTTTCAGTAGTTATGTTTTATCACTGTACAGGTAGGATGCATAAATCAATCCACACAAGACCTGGATTAAAGACCTGATAATTCTTTGCATTGCCGTCTGCCACAAGTGTCCTTTTTAGCCAAAGGGAAAAGCAACTTTACAGCTAGCTTACAGGATAGTAGATCCAGCACACTCCACACCGGTTGTTATCCTTGTACTGGCCCTTGAAGATTAGGCGGCCATCAGAGTCATATTCATGAGCTGGTCCATTCAGCTCTCCATCCACATACGTGCCATGAAGAACGCCTCCATCCTCATAGGTATACACACCCTGTCCCTGGAGCGCATCATCCACATAGAAGCCCTCTAAGGTGCTGAAAAGAGGGATCAGACTGAAGGTTAGTAAGACATTATTCCTAAATAATAATAATAATAATAATAATAATAATAATAATAATAATAATAATAATAATTGCTTTGTCTTATATAGTGCTTTTCTGGACACTCCACTCAAAGTGCTTCACAGGTAATGGGGACTCCCCTCCACCGCCACCAATGTGCAGCCCCACCTGGATAATGAGACCAAAGTGATGATACTCGATGACTAGGAATTTGAGATTCTGGGGGATTAAGTGGGATATGGCAGTGTGTAAAGAACACGCCATATAGTACATTATTTTTGTTTTTAAGCACCTGCTGTAACAAACAAATAAGTCCAGGACCCAGAGATGAAGCCAAACAGGTGAGCTTTATTACATGCATGCAAGGAACAATACACTCAGAATTTTTCAAAGATTATAATTGCAGAGCACCAGTTAACATGACAAACTTCAGCCATTTCTGATTCTACTTTTACCATGGTAAGGGCTGGGGGGGGCCTGTTTTCAGACATTCTCAAGGCCTTGAACACTTTGAATGACTGGTCTCATCTTCCCTTAGTTAGGGAATCTCTAGCCCGCACTTGGAATCTCTTATCAGTTAACTTCCAAGAGCTGAAGCAAGGGAATATTTTGTACAAAAAGAAGTCTTTGTGCAGAAAAAAGTTAGTTAACCCTCTTTTCACATCCACAACCATCACACACTAATGACACAAGCTCACCATTTATGTATAAATGAATACTGTCCTTCTTACATGAAAATGAAACCTGAAAATTCCTCTCAGATTTCATAGGTTTCTGCTTGCTTGGAAGACTTTGAATTGATGGACGTTTGCCAGCTTTGTTCAATTAAATGCTAATAACATAATGTAGCTCCAAATAATGGGAACCCATTCTCAACATAAAAATCTAGTTTCTCTCCTTTCAGTTTTGGACAATGAACCCTCTCCTTCCCCTTCAGCAGGTAATACTGGGAGTTCTCTTTCAGACAGTTGGCTCACTTTTGAATCCAAATTCTTCTGTGGTGATTTCTTACTTTTACAACCTCTAAAGTTTGCTAGAGCCTATTCCTATCTTTCCTTCTCCAATGCTCAGATGTTTTGCCATGCTTTTGTCACCTCATATCTGGATTACTGCAATTTACTCTTGATTGGCCATCCCACAGGTAGATTACACCTGATAAGGAGTCCATCTTCAATAGTTGGACAGAAGCAATTTAACTGTGATAACATTCCTGCTTCTGAGCCCCTGCTTCACTGGTTAGCTGTCTAAAATATAGTTAGTTATATATAAAACATAATGAACTATGGCCATCAGTACCTGTCCATCTTGCCATCACTTTTTTTCATTAGACGACAGTTCCAGCTCTTTCTTTTCTATTATTCTGAAGTCAAAATACATACAGTAGCTCTCGGTGGTAATTTTTTATCTATGCTGCTTCTGCTCTCTGGTTTCCCTTCCAACTGGTTTTAGTATTCTCTTACTCTGGTTTGTTTTGTACAAGTCTAGATTACAAACCCATGTTTTCCATTGAATTTCCTTTAAAAATACATTTTAACATTCAGGGTTGGTGATTGACTAATGGTGTACAACAGGGCAGGGTTCCAAACTTATACCATTGTTGTTAACTTTGCATATCCTTATATGTGGACATTTCCATGCACTGGGGGATGAAAAGTTAATTGGTTTTAAAACTGTTATCTCCTGATGTGAATTTTTATTGAAAATGCTACCCAGTTTTATGTTTTTTTATATCATTTTGGTATCATTTTTAAATGATAATAATTATAATTGACTTGTTTTTAATCTACAGCTCTTGTGAAGGGTGTTTTCTTCGAAAGGCACTATATATCTTAAGGCTGAAATGGCACTTTCTACCAAGACCAAGACATTCAAGTTGTACTTTGCATGTCTTTGTTCTTTATGAAAAAGCTGTTAATATAAATGACCTCAAACAGACAGAATCTCATTTCCAACATGATTAGATGCACTAAAAATGCTCTACTTGACACTGATTGTGAAATGGTGAAAAAACGCCAGTTTTAAATTATCTAAAGCTGGAATATCAGCATGGAGGAGACAAATGGAGAGTAAAATATATACAGTATAGGCATCTCAATTAGTCTGTAATATTTCCCCTTACCTGAAGCAGGGCTTACTGTGACTGTAAGTGTTAGAATATCCTGACAAAACATTGAATTAGCAATTACAAGTGCAAATTGTTTGAATTAATTACAGCTTCCAGAATCCTATTTCATTAAGGAAGATTAGGGGCAGCACTCCTCCTAAACTCCATACTCATTTTTATTAAACCTAACTATAGCGGCATGTTTACTCTTAAATAATCCTTTAAACAACATACAACATGAATTTATTTTCTGTCTGGGTTTTCCAATCTTAATGTCTAATTCTTGGTGTCTTAGGGCACACTCAATACATGACAGTCCTAGAGGAAGAACTGAACCTTATTGTTATATACTGTAGGTTAAATTTTACCTTCAGTTAAAACTACAGATCTGTTTGATCAACATGTTGCATTTATATTAAATTAGATAGAAGTTCATCACATCTACAGTGTCCCTCAGGAAGAAAAAAAGAAAACTGGTAGATGTAAATCCAGGAGACCAAAGTATATTGAACTTTGTCCTTTAAATTGAATGTATTTATTGTTCTTTAAATACTGAAAGCAAATGGATTTCTTCTTCAAATGCCCACATATATTCTAACGGTAGCTATTTTATTCAAATCATTGATCATTTGTACACATCAAGTCCCAAGCTATTATTTTAATAAAACAGGTAATGCAAAGCATGTGCAGCTAATAATACTACGCTGTCACTGTCAAACTAACTGTGAATTCTTTACTAGAAGCTGCTGCAGGAAACTGGCTGCAGCTCTGAAACCCTAAGATGATGCAGAGATCAAACATAACATTCAATTAATAAATATTATCTTTGTTTTATATCAATGTGGCCCCAAACACTACAGACACTTCATTGTCTCCCATATAAAACATTCAGTACTTAACAGTACTGTCAAGTGTTTCTTTGCTGCACAATGAGATTTTGGAGAGAAAAAATCTGTTTTTTAGGAGTGGCATGTGAAGTCACAGCCAGTAGCAAGCAGCAAGTACAGCAAAGCTTTGGATTAAGTCCTTAGTAATATTTCTCCTTAGTAATATTTAAACATTAAGAAATGTCTCAAAACCCACCATGCCAAAGATAACTCCAGTACTGAATTGCATCATTTAGTGAAGACTTTAGTATTTCTTTGTCCCCAAAAAATAATTTATAGGATTGTAACAAATGAGAAGAGAACATGCAGAACCTGTGCTGAAATATTCAGTGCATTTGCTGGGCTTCTTCAGATCACCATCGAAATTCAAATGGATGCAATGAAAGTGCCATATTCAACTTTTTATATGTTTATTGGCTTGTCTTGAAATATCTACACCTCTAGTATTGTAACAGCTTACAGAGACATAGGTTTATGATATTTGCCATTCACATTTGGAAATTTCACATATAAAAAAAACAAACAAATAGGGCTGTTATTTTAAGTGTGTGCCTAGCTGTAGGTGGATTGAGGGACAGGTAAACACAGACTTTTCTGGTTTAATCTAGTTAATTAATGTCTTGATAAATCATTAGAAGTTTCAACGCAGACACAGTACAAAAAGACGGGAGAAAGAAAGGAGAATAGAAAGAAACTAAGAAGACAGAAAAAGAAATACCATCATCCTTTTCCTCCTTGTGCCATGCAAGAGGACCTTTTTCTCATTATTTTTTTAGACCAGATTCCAAATATGTATCAGATTTTGCCTCTAAATTTCTTATTCTTCCTCCAGTGCTGTCCCAGAGAATTAAAAGCAATTGTGAGCCACAAATTGTTACCTACCACACAGGTACAGTGTTAACATTTCCATTTTTCATTTTCACCTCTTATTTTGTATGATGCGGACTGATATGCATGCTCACCAGTTAAGAGATTTCTAAAAGCAAACAATGAAAAAGCTGTCCCTGAAACTAAAAGGTATAGGGGAAACGCAAATACATCCAAATATATCCTTTTCCTTCAAGATACCAAACTAATTAACACTGTTGGCTGTTGAGAGCAACGAGGCTTAAGTTGGTGTGCCAACAACCAACTTGATTGAAGATTCACAACAATTTCAGCTGTAGTGGGTTTACAATACTGTACCCACCAACTCACTAAATTCAGATGATTAATGATGATTGGTAAATTAAATAAAAAGCATACATAAGAAGAATTACATGAAATTCAAAGAAAAAAATTAAGCGTAATGAAAATTAAAACCCTTTAGTCTAGTTCAGTGGTTCTCAGTCCTGGTCCTGGAGGACCAGAATCTGCTGGCTGTAGTTCCAAAAACAGTGTCAGCTGGTGCCTGTAAGTGATCTGCTGCCTAACGTTTTTCTGTACCCATTCCTCAGTTTCAAAACTACCCTAAAGCACATTATTTCCAACAAATTAATTGATGTACAGACACCGGAGCTGTCACATAGCATCAATGTTGTTTCCTTATGCTTACTGTAAGTTCAACTGGCTGTATTACAACTACCACACCTAAATGACGATAATCCTAAAACTCACTAATTGGCACAGGGTTCATACCATTTACAAAACCCACTCAACTTTTTAAGACCCAAAAGCAACTTTTGTATAAAAAAAAAATCTTTCTTGAGAAAAGTGAAATAAATGAGCCTGTAATTAAGAACTCAGCTGTAGAAAAAAAAAAAAAACAGAAGACAAAGTTGTTATCCAGGAGCAGGAAAGGGAGCTACTGGTCTACATGGTATAATGCATAATGAGTTTAATTTAGACGAATCTAATTTGTCTTAAAGAAAAACTATCCATGCTTTCAGATGCTATAACACAGCTTTGTGTTTCTCTAAGCTGAATTAGCTGAAGTTTATAGAATTAAAATGTCACTGAATATCACAAATCAATTTAGGGTTAAACATAATAATAATCAAAGATAAAATGAATAATAGAACCACATATGCTAGGTAAATTAATTTACTGTTGGTATAATGTAAATACATAACTTTTATCATTTTAATTTTACTCCATTGTTATTGTATCATAGATAGCTAAATTAAATGATAATTTTCTCATATTTGGTGGTTATCAGGGACAAAAAGGGAGCTGTTACTTTATTTGTTCACTAATGTCATTGGTTATATATTGACATAAAAAAAGAATACAGTATCCAGTTTGCTCTCAAACAATTCAGAGGTGCCTGGAAGGCTTTTGAATTTAATTACACAGCTTCTGGCCCAGCAACTTAAAAACATGGGTAAAACACAGTGTCAACAGCACAACAAGTCCCAGTAATCAATACATTTTGATTGCACAAACACTCCACTTTAGATCAGAAATGTACTTTTCTATATGAAGTTACCAAGGCACTTGGGACCTGTCCATCGCCCATCATCAGACACCAACACTGCCACCAGCTGACAGGAAGCCCCAGGTCTAGACAAATCTGTGTGACACCCCAAGACGAATCACCTGAAACTGATTCCACACAGCAATAATGATATTTACTGTTGTAACAGACAAATAAGTTCTGGATCCCGAGATGAAGTTTAAACAACTGAGTTTATTGCATGCAAGTTACAACAAGATCAAAGTATTGTTCAGAATATAGGTACAAAACTTCCAGTATATATAGTAAACTTCAACCGTTTCTGATGCAAATTGTTACCATGGTAATGGGGGGAAGTCACCTGTATTTGGACATTCCCAAGACCTTGACCACTTTGAATGGCCGGTTTTATCTTTCCTTAGTTAGGGGGTCTCTATCTTGCACTTAGAATCCCTTATGAGTTAACTCCCATCCCTGCCATAACTCAAAGATACTTAAGCATGGAATGTCTTGTGTCACAAGAAGTCTTTCTGCAGAAAGAAGTCAGTTAACCCCTTTTTCACATCTCATATCTTTCTTCAGTACTAACACAACCCAGCTTCATGGAAGACCCAGAAACATGACTACAGTCATCAGATGTTGAAGAGAAACTGGCACATGATGAAAGTACCCTGCAACATCAAGACACATTTGTAAGTATCTTGTTTGGTGATGGCAGAGCATGTGTACACTAGAGAACTTTGGTGGATTCGCTGAGGTAGACATAAAGAAGCAACATTGTTTTGGTGGTGGTAGCACAGTGGTGGGACCAAACTTAAGCATTGTGGATCTTTAGGCCAGAGCACACCACAGTTTTTGTGATATAAAGGACTCCATTCTGTCCATGGAAGCTAATCCATGCAAGTTTATCTTTAGCAATTCTGGAACCTCTTTATATTTCTGGGTAGACTCATGCATTAAATCACCTTGCTGAAGTCTACATCGACATTATGAACAATTCTCCTGTTAGGAGTCTAGAACCCAAACCACATTCTGTTTCTCTCCATTGGCATAATTTTAACAGAGACGTTAAATCCAGCTTTAGGTGGTGTCTGGTTATTGTCTATAGCAATTAACAGCAATGCATAGATCAACTTAATCCCTTAATCTTTCAACACAATACAGCATTTTCTCCGGTTTTGTGTATTCACGGTGTCAGGCCAAGTCTGGCCTGAGGGCATTCTCGAAGCTACTAGAACATTTTCAGAGGCATTGAAGCCTTTCAGACTTCCTCAAAGGCTCAATTCATAATTCACACGTGCCTTTCCTCCACACTTGAAGACTGCTGCACTCAATAACTGTAAAGGTCTGTGCTTTATGCTAAATTTTATAATATAGCTTTTTATAATAGAAAACTGTACAGCACTGTACTTTCCGTCATCTAGCATTATTTGGCATAATTATGGTGATTTTCATGATGTGTTAGTTATACTCGTGGTATGTTTATAGTGTAGGAGAGGTTTTTTTTTCCTACTTTAAAGCTCTTTTCATTGTATTCAGACTGTTCAGTAATGTATGACTAAGAAGAACTGGGTGTAATTATTCTTCGTACATAGCAAGAATTAGTCAGGATGCTCAATTTCAATCTTGGTTTAGTGTCATACATTAGCTTGCTGTATTGCTGTAGCTCAATGCAATTCAGAACTTGTGGTATGAGTATTATAGTAACATTCATTCAAATCAAGCCATCCACCATCAAATAGCATTGCTCATCTCTGGTATTTGCTTTTCAGAACGAATAGGAACATCCCTGTGGTCTGTAGTGTCTCTGCCAGTTAATTCAGGCTCTTTAAGGTAATGCCAAAGAGACTCAAATTAAAAATGATTACTGAATTTAAAAAAATAAACAGTATACTGTATAAGGGTATAAGAAACAAAAACACATTGAGTGATGTACATAAGCTAATCCAGGGATGAATGGCAGAATCTATGTGCACAGTTTAAACAAGTAGATCTTGAGGAGCTTCTGTAAGATTGTTTAAGAAAGTACAGTCCTAATGCTTCTTAATCTCTGCATACAGGGTTGCTTTTCTATGGTCTCTCTGTCTCTGGTTCTATACAAACACCGACTCAGTTTGTAGTTGACAAATTTTACATTTTACCATTCAAAGAAATTCTTGAAGTATTCACACTGAAAAATTAAGTTTGAATTAGGTGTTCCAAGAGAAATGCACTTTTGCAAATATTTATATAGAAATATACAACAATATTTACCAATGTTTTCATGTACCAGATCAGGGTTTTATAATATAAACCAGTGCAGATGGATAGATGGAAATGGCAGATGATCAATTTCAAACGGTTTTAATATATTTGGTCAGAATGAGCTTTTCTATGGAAAATCTATTCAAGACATGTACGTTGTAGGGCTGGTTTTCTTTAATTTGATTCTGTTTTGGAATAATCACATTTTGCAACTGTTGTTTGTTAGCTTAATGTTAAACCCAATTAGCACAGAATTATTCTTAAAAACGAAATATGTGTATTAGCAACAGCAATCCACAGAACCACTGTAAGGATTATAACAAATTTCACTACCTCTTCTAAATGCAATTTTTAGATAATTTAAAAATCCTAGACCTTCATCTGGTTTCACTGGGAAGCTGCTGTGAAAAAGATAATCATATCATAAGAGCAACTAGTCTTGGTTAAAATAACATTTAAAATTAAGTGATATTCTCACACATTAAGAAGTGTAAAGGGATGCAAATAGTCACATTGCAGGCCAGTACAGTTTTGAAGTGATTTTATTTGGACATCCATCCATAGAGCAGAAAAAAAATTATGTTTATTCTACTCTAAAATAGTCACTTTCAATGGCTTTTTTAGAATCCAAGCACAGCCTTGGCCTGCCTCTTGTGTTGCCGGAAAACTCAAGACAAGAACAAGTACAGAACATTTATACATGTATATCGCCACGAATGTAGTATGAAAAGGCATACAAGGTATAAGAATGTTTTAAACACCCATCACATAATGTATGTTCTGATGGTCAGCTGTCTGAGAATGCCACATTTGTTTCAGTCAGGTAAACTGGTCACTCCCAGAGTCAAACATTAGGTGTGCCTGGATTCTTAACATCCATCCCTCCATTTTCTAACCATTGTATCTGTACTGACAGGGACAGTACACTCTGTACAGGATGCCAATCCATAGCAGAGCAGACAGAGACAAACACAGACACGCACACTCTCACACCAGGGCCAATTTTCCCAGAACTCAGTTTAGCAATAAACCTATGTTTTTAAACTCTGTGAGGAAGAATCAGGACAAAAATCCATGTGAATACATTGAGAATATACAAACTCCGCACAGATATCACACCTCGTCCGGAATTGAACCCGGGACCCCAGTACTGCGGGGCAGAAGTACTGGCCACTGTGCCGAAGTCCTGCCCATATTCTTAACATACAGAACTAAATTCTACAACTGCCATTAAATAAAGGTAAAGACTCTCAAAAATACACCTAAAAGGAAGAAACTGGAGACAGACCATTAGGAAACATCTTTGGGCTAGATCAGATCATCCAAGGAAACAAGGACCCTAATTACTTACCTTCCATCAAAAAAATAGAACTTGCCTCTGCCATTCTTCTCCCCATGAACAAAGTGTCCTTCAAAACGGTCACTCGAGGAGTAAGTGATGGTACAAAACCCATGAGGCTGGTCGTCTTCATCAAGAGGCCCTACAGTGAGAACAAATAAAGAGAATTTAAGTTAATCTTTTTTATAATGGTTCAAAATGTGACAAAAAAGTCTGTATGTCTTTAATGGGCATTTTCTTCAAAACATGGCAAAAGAAGTCACACTAAAGATTTTAGTTAAGACTTTTTAAATATATAAACACCAATATCCAATCATAATTTCATCAATCCATTTTCTAACTGCTTCATCCAATTCAGGGCCATGGGGGAGCCAAGCAACAAGCACAAGGCATGATATGCCCAGGACAGGATATCAGTCCATCACAGTGCACACATAGACACAGACACAGGAGGAGATTCAAGTTCCCAACAACTTCAGCAGTAAAAGATCACAAACAGGCAGAAGCCAGAAGCAACAAATACATCTAAAATCTTGCACTTTGGGTTGAAAGCAATTTATCAACTTGCAAATCGCCATTGAGAACTAAACACTAAGTATGCCTTAACTACTTTATGATACTCCCAGTAACATTTTCTCCTGGCTACATTAGGAAATACTGTGGTTTAATATATCAACAACAAAAATACTACTACTAATTCCTTATATAGCACTTTTCTGGACACTCCACAAAGCACTTTACAGACAGTGGGGGTCCCCTCCAACACCAATGTGTGGGTGATGAGATGGTAGCCTAAATGCATCAGTACACTCACCACACATCAACTGCCAGTGGGGAGGAGAACAGAGTGATGAAGCCAAGACAAAGATGGGGATTATTAGTAGGCCATGATTGGTAAAGACCACATTTTCAGAAATGCTTCAGACATTCCTGTTCATCTCATTTAAACAAAATAAGTTAGTCTTACCTTCCTCCTTCTAACAACAAAAAATATTTGTAAATGTAAACATTACAGAATTTATTTGCAGCAGTATGTGAAAACGTAACTATATATGTACTTTTTTAGATAAGGTAGAGAAAAACAATCAGAACCACAAGTCTTCAATTTGTCCTGGTCTGTAGTGCTTTTTTTTCAAGAACTGGTCAGGCTCTCATAGACTGGACTTTAAGTGTTGATTAAAAATATAAACAGGCTAAATGCAGTTTAGTTGTTTTTTGTATTATGTCTGTATTCACTCAAATTTGAAAGCGCCAGGCTCTCAAGTATTTTTTCATGAGATGACAAGTTAGCCTTAGTCTTTGGTAACACTGAACAATATGGTTAAAAGATTTCATTTAATAAATTAGTAATGGAATTAAAAATAAATGAAGGATAAATCAATTAATGACCCATCAATGTGATGGGCAGGAGTTTTTATTAGAGGAAATGCAGCCAGGACATTCTTTAAAATGTTTTCTAATGTAGAAGGAGTGACTGTTGATCATGTCTGATCATGATGTCCATTAAAAGTTAATGAACTAGAAGTCTTTTATGTTATGAATGTCAATATTTCAAGGCCTGGTTTAAGAAAATTAGTGTTTATATACTTTCTTGTGACTGTACTGTATATACATCAGGTGTATAAATATGTATTAGAGCACCTGTCTTTAGTAACTGACCTCACATGAAAATAAAAACCTAACTTGGCTTTTCTTTTGTCCTGAGTGTATGCGCTAGTGCACCTATCTATTTTGGATCATGGATTAGCCTGGAAAGTATGGGCAGCCTTTCAGACACCACCCAGTTCTGCAACTTTTACAAAGCAACAGTGCACGCGCTCGTGTGACTGGAGTGCGCGTACAATTCCTGCTGTGCTGACACTCCCAGAGCTGCTATGCCATGCCCTGTCACCCGTCCCGTTACTGACTGAGCACCAGTGTCAACTGGGTGTCAACGGCGATGCCATCTGCCCACAGCCTGATTCCCTTCCTGCCCAGCAGTGAAACAGGATATCCCAGTTATTTGTGCAGATAATCCTTTGATCACCGAGACACGACTCCACCACCTGCTTTGTCACCCACAGCAGATTGCAGGATAAAAACCTGACAAATGGACTTGTAACATTGTTGTAAATGAAAAAAAAGAGTTATTACAATTTGAAATATTAGTGAATATAGTGTATTTCACTGCTAATTAACATTGTTGTTTTTTTCCTAAAGTGTATTAATAAAAAAGGAATGGAAATCATGCATGATTAGTAGGTCTCATACTATCAGAAATGTAAAAGTCTAAATTGAAATCCACAGTGATAAACAGCGAAGACATTGTAACAGAGATAATATATTTATACAGTATATAAGGCTGAATCTACTTGGGACACAGTAAAACTAGAATATAATGTAGTTAAGAATGGTAGAATATAATGTATCCTATCTTGCTGTTCAGACAATGCTGGTTTATTGTTTCAAAGCACTTGTATAAAAGCACACTGCTAATGTGCCAAATTAACATAATCAGTGCAACCTCCTCAGCCTTTCAACATGTGAGTCTGTGTAGCTCGCAATATACTGCTGCCAACTGAGGCCCGTGGACTGTTGCCCAATCAGATGTCGGGAGTAAACACACTATAAACTCCCTGTGGAAACACCTGTGACAAAATGGTCTTTCAGCGCTGTGTTAGCTATTGTAAGGGGGGGGGGGGCGGGAAGATGGATTCAAATTATTTGATAGTGGAATTCGCTTCTCTATGAAATGGTCCTGTGTGGTTTGGAGCTGGAAGCCTCTTGAAAGAAGAGGTTTTAAAACCCAACAGAGGTGGCTGTGCACACCACATACTGTACATATGGTATACAAACTTATATTCATATTATTTCAAAACGTTTTGGTGATGTAATGAGTCATTTACTAAATTAATCCCCGTAATCCAACCACAAGTGTCCACATCCCCCAGTAAAAATGAAGATTATAAACTAATGATGACAATAAACCATTTTGATTCCAGGTGTGTGGGTTGCATAACTAATTTACTGTATATATCAAAGCAGTGTAATTTCTTATGCCCAAGGAATATTGTAGCCCTCTAGTGACCTATAATAGACCTGTATCCTGATGTACTTCAGCCTGTGACCCAGATCGCTCTCTTGCTCCCTTAACCTGATAATCTCGATAAAACACGGTGTTGGTGGATGTTGTTAAATTATTATAACTATTAACTTTACAAACAATACCACTCAGACAGGAAATACTGCAGTATAACTTAAACAGATATTACATTTTTTTAGATTAAGTATTAATTTGCCTTTAAATCAGCTTGCCAACATTGTAGAGCAACAAATGTTAATTACAATTACACCGCTTGTGACTTTATAATCTAATAAACTGTTTCCATCACTAAACTATTATGAAAATACAACTTGTCCACTCTATGCTACATCTTTAATTTCAGATTTTCTTTGTGAAAATCTTTTGGGCATATATTTTTAAAAAATGCTGGAGATTGGTTTTCAAAATAATCATTTACAAAATTATTTCTGTCCTTGCAATGATCTAAAAAGACAGTGAATAATCTACCCAGGAAAAGAAAGCTAGCTGATGATGTTATTTCTGATCTGGTAAGAAACCTTTGCTATGATGTAAGAAAAAGTTATAAAAATCTCAAAGTTCAGTGTTAAAATGGGTGAGTTTTGCATGGCCACTACACCACACTGTTGCCTGTTCAGTTAGATATAGAAGCTTTAAAACTGGGTACACAGCTCCTGTGGTCAAGCATGGGATTTATCTCCACACAGTAATAAGAGGTGCAAATCCTGTAATCTGATCTATACCTGACAGAATGTGTACTATATGATGACACATTTTATAATCGGATGTAGGTAATATTATCTTAGTAATGTAACAGAAAAAGTGTTAAAACTGAATGTGGTGCTTTGCTGATTTACTGTCAACAGATTCTTCTACTTAAACAAATCACTGTTAATAGAACAATATATCATATGCCTTAAAAACTTCAAACTTATGATGCTCAGCTGAGGATTGCAGCTGATCAAACTGTATTACTAAGTAATTTCCTACTTCTGTACTTAATTTTGAGTGGTTTCCAAACAAATCTAGTATTAATTTAGTCCACTGTAGTACTTGCATAAAGCCAGTACTTTGATTGCTATAGTGATCATTTTAATTCTCAATTTAGGAATATTGTTCTACAAAGACCTGCATTTTGAAGGCCAAATGTTAAGTGGCACTGCCTCGGATTGTTTCATCACATAAACCACTTTATTAAGCAAGACTGTTTTCCTCTGAAAGTAATTTCACTGCAATCCTCTTCAAAAGTATATTTATTCCAATCACATAAAAGCAATGAACTGCAGGTTTCTTTTGAATCTTTAATTGAAAAATAATGAAATAATGAACAATTTGGTTTGAAATAATAAAAATGGCCGCCTATTATTTTGAGCTATAAAGGGGGTTGGATTTTTACAGCTCTCTTAGATTTCAGCATTCTAGAAATTGAACTAATACACATAATTGAGGAGAATGCGTAAAATACTCCAGGAGTAGATTTAGAACTTTGTCAAAACACAGATTAAGAGCCTTAATTTTTCGGAGAACAGATTAAATTCACTTTCCTTCATTTAAGAACAAAAACATTAACTAGCTGCAAGGGGTGTAAACGCATTTTTTATATCAATTGGTATTGATATTAATTGGTAGGAAACTACAAAGAAATGTGAAGCCATGTTCTCCCTAATCAAGACACAACCTTTAATGGCTTCTGTGCTGTTGTAATATTGTCCTTTTGGGTTACGGCCTGATTTATTAAGCCTCCATTCAAATACTAACAGGGACTAGACAAAAGTTAACTGCAAACAAAAACACTAAAATATTAACTGTGTTTACCATGTACATCGTTAAATCGTTTCAGATTTGTTTAATTTAGTATGTCTGTTTTGAAAAAACAACTGTATGTTGGAGTGGCACTGAGTGACGCAGTGGCACAGCGATTAGCTGCATAGCAGTGCTGGGAGCCCTGGGTTTAATTCCAGACCTGGAGTGCTGTCTGCATGGAGTTTGTACTATATGTTCTACCAGTGCTCACATGGGTTTCTTCTGGGTGCTGTGGTATCCTCCCACAGTCCAAAGACATACTGGTAGTTTAAGAGGCCCTGGTGTGCCTTTGTGTTTCCTGTGATACACTGGTGTCCCATAAAGAGTATATCCCTGAGACAGCTTCCAGCAACCCTGCAACCTTGGACTGGGAGAAGCACTTAGAAAATGGATGGATGAATGATTGACTAGATTGTGCGGAGAACTCCCTTCCTTCTGTCTAAACATTCCTAGAATCCTTAACCTCCATTATATGTCTCTATTATAAGCCTGTAATATGTTACATGTTACGTGATGAAACAATATAAGTTCATATGTCTATCCGTTTTTAGAAAGCTGGTGTTTCCTAGTAAGGGTTGCTGCAGCCTGAAGTCTATTCCAGTAACATAGGGATGAAAAAGCATTGCAGGACACACACACAGGCAAGTACTCACTGACAATAAGTAACCAGCAGGTGTTTGGAAGGTGAGAGGAAGCCAGAGCTCCCAGAGAAAACCCACTCAGACGTACAGTAGAGAACGTGGAAACATCACGCAAAAGACACCCCAGTCTGGAACTGAACTCCCGACACTACAGCTGTCAGGCAGCTGCAATAACTGCCAGGTCACCTCACCAATGTCTTGCTCATTCAAGGCATGATCATTTAGACAGGCTTATTCGTTTCCTTCAGAAGCAATATATTGGAAAAAAAACCTGGACACAGACTTGGAAAAGATGTCTCCTAAAAGCTATTTCCATAAAGAAATCAATGATAATGGCGGTGTTTAATTCAGGGATTAGGATTTCCACATTTACTGTGGGGACATACATACAGTACTACAGTGTGACATTCCGCTTCACAATGTATAATGTGGAGCTGCACTCAGTTAGGAGGCTTTGTGGACAAAGGAAAGAAGGAAGGCTTTCACACGAGCAGTTAAAAATGGCTGAAAGAACTCCAGGTCCTTAAGCGTGAAGAAATTACTAAAAATCAAATCGTTTATTTATCAGAATGCTAGAGGGAAATGTTACTGAAATCGGTAAACTAAAGTGTTTTAAAAAATAATATTGTTTAAAGAAATGAATAAAAGACTCTTCGTGTGCTAACTTTTCATATTTAACACCACTTAAGAGAAAACATAAAGAACATACTGTACGAGTTTGGTATAATCACTTACTTTTGTATTGTGAATCAAGTCCGATCATATTTGAAATCATGTGAAGCATACTGTACTTGAGAGTACATGTAGTCAATGGGAAAATATATTGACCTATAAATTGAATATTTAAGAAGACACATATTGTTCTCTACTAAAAAAAAGGCTAGTGTGCAACACTAGCACAGCTTAAATAAAAATATCAGAGCAAGCATAGTTTTCATATAAAAAAGAAACTATAAATATAATTACTCAGTCTCTCTCTTACTTACATATCATAAATTGGAATATTTTCCAGTCTAAGTGATTGGTCAAAACTCCCCTTAACTGAAAACATCTGGACTGACTGAAAACCTAATAAAGACAATTGATGAGCTGGAAATGTATTTCTTATTGAAACCAATCAAATCTCTCCCTGGACCTCAATTTATAATATACTATGTCTACTATGAGTCATTAAACCATCCCTACCCATAGATACTCAGGTATCCTTTTTTAATTGATAAAGTGAAACAAAGAAAAGAACACACAACATAAGAAAAGCCCGGAAAAAAATAATTTGGAAATGTTGGCATTTCAGTGTTTTGGAGAATAAATAAAATATGCATTTAATCTTTCACATAATTTCATTCTCATTCACACTTCAGCCTCATCCTCAAAAGAAAACAATAAAGGCCATTCAACCCATCTTGCTTGTTTGGTAGTTTAGTAACTAAGTAACACCAAAATTTAATTCCAGCCATTTCTTAAAAGTACCCAGCCAGCTGGCTGGAATCCTCCAAATATCTGATATCCAAAACTCTTTGTGTAAAGACGTCTTTCCTAAGAAGACTTTTGCAGATTAGAAAATAGATTTATTTTCGTTTTAAGTCATTAGCTCTACCTTAGCTTATACAGTAGCTAGGAAATAAAGCATTTGTTTTACTACATTTTACACCTCTTTGCAAAATATTACATTGGTTATTCAAATATTATACTGTACCAAAACATGGCAAAAATTTACCACTACGCACTGAATCTGATCAATCTGCTAACGTATATTTGACTATAATTTTCCATGATCCTTTTGCATGTAATTAAATTAAATAATTTAACCAATGAAAAGGTTCACGATGGAGGGAAAGAAAACACAAGCACTCAGTGAGCCAGAATGATTAGTAATTACATCTGTTAAAAAAGACATATAGAGTAAAACCATCTGTGCTTGTTGTACAACAACTGTAGCGTTTTAATTGAAATTTACACTAAGCCTTTCATTAGGAAGCCAGGTGAACAATATTAAGTCTTACACCTGTTGTTATTGAAAGTAAATCAGTGTTAAAGCAAGAAATTGTAATTATGGTTAAAAAGAACTACAGTATGTTAAGAGCTGCAATCAAAGCAAACACATATTACATATTATTAGTGATATACTGTCATGATAACTCTTTTTGCAAAAGGTTAATTTTATTTTCAGTAATGTCCCTATGATACCCTTAAATTAATACTTTAATACAATCTATTTTGATTAGAAAACTGTTCTGGGTTATTCTCCTAATAATGCTTGATCTATGATATTTTATATTTTTATATATATACAGTATACTTACATATTATTAAAATGAAAGTGTTTGTATCGTGTCAGATTGTAAATGTGCCAGATTAGGGTTTCCTGTATCTGTCCAGTCTTTCTTGGTGTGAACACTTCTCTGTATTATGCTCTAACACTCAGTCACTTTTAATTGAGCTTTAAGTATTAAGAGGGATTCTGAATAACCCTGGCACTTCACAGATCCAAATGGTTAAACTGCTTTATTAGATGTGAGACAGAGACAATGCACTGTTCTAGAAGAAATGATTTTAGAAAGAAATGTTTTATTCCTATGATCCCTGTAATTGTTAAAGGGAGTGGTATGGAAACAGTAAATGGATATAAGTACTATGATTGGCTGTACTGTAAATTGACTTGAACCACCAATGTGAAGGCACAACAAAGGTTGTAAGTTAAGGAGTTTTAATGTAAAAAGCTTTGTGTGGATGCCTTTTTGTGAGTTTTATTCAGAGCATTCTAACCTTTTGTATTCAGAGCTTTGGAGTTTCCTTGTCCTTGCAGAACAAAAAGAAGTTGAACAAAGTTATCAGGACTGGTGGCAAGATTACAGGCGCATCCTTGGACTCATTAAGATGTCCAATCTTATTGTTCTGGAAGAGTTCTGATTGAGTGATGTTGTTAAATGTTGTTTTGTATTATGGTATTGTACTGTTTTTGTATTCAAAGGTAAGCATCTTTTGTAATGTAAACTTCATTTAGTAAAGTTTTTCATGTTTTATGTTGCAAGATTAAAATGAAAAGACGCCAGCGACAAACCTGCTTCTCAGTTTTACAAATATCCTGCCAATGTTATTGTTGATATAACACTCACTTACTATTGAGCAAGATACTACTTATTTGCCTCATTCATATTCATAACTTCAAAGGTCCAAATCCCCCAAAATCTGGATTTAAAATTAAGATACTTTTTTAGTAGAATGGGACACAGCTGATGTACAAAGAGTGTAATTTTCCAGGACAATTCACTTGTGAATTCAATAACCAATTCCAGGCATAAAACTACTTTTTTTGTGCACAAGACGAGTCTCAATATCAGTTTCAAAATGTAACAGTAATGGCATATGGAGAAAACCCACATGGTTCATCTGCAATCTTCCATATCCCATGCAAACATTATTAACGTTTGTCACCACCCCCTCTCCTACCCACATGAGCACTCAAAACTTGATGATATCTGCATAAACTTTGGTGATTACGTTTTTTTTTTAATTCTGAAAACATGCCGCAATAAGAACGTTTAATAACAGGGATAGAAGTTGCAGCGCTTTCCAATTAACCTGTTAAAAAGTAGCAAATGTTACGGTGTCAGCTTACTGGCAAAATGCAAGTGTTTTTTAAAACGTGAACATTCCACACTGTGCTGTGCTGCTGTCCGTGACACGTGTTCTGCAAACGATGTAATTTTCCGTAACAAAACGACACGTTCCTGAACACAGGATAAGAAAAGAGTTTTCACGAAAGAAACGTATTGCTTAGACGGTGATAATTATTTTGTGTCTCCTCAACAAATAAATCGTATTTAGTCGGATAAATCTTTGAGATACATCGACGAAACTGAAGTAAATGCATAGATGTGAACTTAGAGAACAGTTTAACGTTGACTAATTGTGCGAGTGGCATCAACATTATAGCTTTTTCGTCCAATTTTTAAAATATACAGCTTTATGGCTGTCTGTTACATAAGTATACGCTGCAAGTCCTCTACTTCTCTAGCTGATTCAAGCTTCACTCCTCGGTCTCTTTCATAAATAAACTCTCAGGCGGTTACAGTTTTACCAAATGTTAGGGCCCAGCAAGACTATGCGGTGCCGAAACAACACGACATTTCGATCATTATTTTTTGCAAAGTTAATAAGAAAATTAAAAAGACGAAAAAATACAAGTTTGCTTATTGTCCTCACCTTCCACAATTTCTTCCACATTTTCCTCATCGCTGTCCATGGCGGAAGAAAGCTGTAGTTCACAATTGTGACAGCAGAGTGTTGAAGAAAAGGAAGCTGTCTTTTATTGAATATATCTCCTCCCGTGTATTACTCAAACACTTCGCTGTAATGCCTCTTTTTTTTTTTTGGTGCTGAGACGCTGACATCACCCTACCAGCTACGTGATTGACAGTTACACAATGCAACAACTGTACAGCCCACTAACTGCACTTTTAAAGGAAAACGCTCTTTTATTAGTGCTTGATAAGATTCGACATAACTCTTAAAAAAACACCTAAATATATTTTAAAATTTAAATTCAAATGCAAACTGTCGCGGTCGGCTCGGTGGCGCAGTGGTTAGCATTTCTGGGTCGGCTAGCCGGAATCCGGGGTTCAATTCCTGCAATACTATCTGTGTGGAGTTTGCAAGCTCTCTCTGTTCCCGTGGGTTTCCTCCGGGGGCTCCGGTTTCCTTCCACAGTCCAAAGAATTGTCTGTAAAAGCTGACCCTGGGCTGTGTGTCTGCTTCCTTACAACTCTGTTTTGGTTAAAGAGGGCGGATGGAAAAATCTAAGATCTAAGTTGTTGTTGTTTTTTTTAACTTTCTTGTAATGGAGCTACAGTAAATTTAAATTAGCCCATACTTTATGTTCCACAGTTCAGTAGATGCTTTTTGTATAATAATTAAAAATTTAAATAATAAAAAAACGACAGATCAAGATGAGGGAAAGATCTATTTAGGTAGCACTTGTCAACGTAATGTACTCTAATCCATTGGTGTGAAAAAATATAGGTTGTATTAACATTTCTGTAGTGACTGAATTAGCAGGAATCATTTGTAATCAAAATGTACACAATCCTGTTCTTTTTGTTCTTGATCCTCCCCTTCCAATTATTTGGTTAATAAGCAATAACTTCAGCATCCTTCCAAGAATTAAAAAGTAATGTTTTATTTGAGTGAAGCTAAAGAAACAGTTAAGCACTAATGTGGGTAAAAATAAAACAGACTTAACTGAAGAAAAGTGACTCGACATACAGAAAAGAAAGGGGAGCTGTTGATCTTCTCCACAGATCCAGGCCCCCAATGACAAAGTGAGATGTGAGCCACTCAGAGCTGTTACAACAGGACAATAAGAATTATAACAGTCATGTTAGGTCAGTTCCAGATATCACCAACTAAAAACTGTATCAGTTCAATACAAGCATAGGCCTTATGGGCAATCAGCAGTACACTGCTGAGGTTAGCCAAGCTGTCTGAATAACTAACCTCTCCACCTGCGGGCTAGCAGAGCCTAGGCTGTTACTCAAAAAGTGCTTTACTGCACAACCACCATTCTATTCTCTTCTGGATTTAATTAAGGCCGGATGCATCAGAACAGTCATTGTAGTGAAAGTTATCTTCTATGTTGAGTACGCCGCTGAGTGGCCAGGTATGGTTCTTTATTACAGACACTTTCCACACAACAAGGGTAGGGGGCTGATTGGTCCCTTTCTTGTGCCAGGTGGTGAGGGCAGTCAGAATGCTCATTCACTGGATGTAAGCCATTCCTATTCTAATATACTCTACCCCTCTATTTCTCAGGCACAAGTCCTGGTCCTGGCCTTACCCCAACACAGGTCTCAAGCAGTCCTGGTGACTTGGGACTGATCTCGGGGATCTTCCCTGCCCGAGTGCTCAGACTGGATCTGTCATACTGTTCCAGGTGGCAGCCAGATTGAAGTAAGAGTGTCAGGTCCCTGTGGATCGTCTAGGGGAGCTGGTATGTTTCTGTGGGGCTGAGCATGTGGCAGACAAACCTGCTGGGAAGCTGAGAAGTGGCTGCTCTCAATATGGAAGCTGATCCTGTCTTTACTTCTGGGCTGGGGAGTGCATGTAGGTGGAGTTGAGAGTAATTGGCTAGGGCTCCCTTGGCTGTCTGTGAAACATGAGCTCCAGTGATTTCTTGGGCACTGGCAGGCTTGTAGTGACAGCAGGAAGAGATCTGTCACCCCTCTAATAGCA